ATATTAAAAAAATAATAAAAAATAAATATTTATAAAAAAACTTATAAAAATAATAAAAATTAAAATTATAAAAATATTATATAAGTAATTTTATATTTTAAATTATATTTTTAAAATTAAAATTTTATAAATTTAAATAATTTATTTTTTAATAAAAATATTAAAATAATATTAAACTTTAAAGTTTATAATTTTATAATAATATTTAAAAAAAATTATTTAATAACTTTTTTTATAAATAATTTATAATTTTAAATTTTAATATATAAATATATTAAATATTTAAATATAATAAATTAAAAAAAATATTATATTAAAATTAAAATTATTAATTTTTTATATTAATTTTAAATAAATATTTTAAAATTTTATAAATATTATAATAAACTTTTATTATAATTTTTATAATAATAATATTTTATATTATTAATTAAAAATATATTAATAATTAAAAATATATTAATAATTTTTTTTTAATAATTATAATAATATATATAATATTTATAAAAATAAATTTTATATAATAATTAAATATATTAAAGTAAATATTATAAAAAAGTAATTTAAAAAACTAAAATAATAATTTATATTTTAATTCCTTAATAAAACTACTGCTTATTAATTATATTATAAATAATAAAAAAATATAAATTAAATTTATTAATAACTATAAATTAAATTAACTATATAAAGTTTATAAAGCTTTTATTAAATTATAAAAATTAAATATAACTTAAATTTATAATATATTTTTTTTTTATTTTTTTTTATAAACTTTACTTTATACTTTTTAGTTTTTATTTAATTTTATAATTATATATTTTATAAACTGTAAGCTTTTATAAACCTAAAAATAAAACCTTTAATTTAAGTTTAAACTTAAAACCTTAAAAAATAAATTTAATTATAAAAAAGTAATTTAAAAAACTAAAATAATAATTAATATTTTAATTTTTTAATAAAATTATTATTTATTAATTATATTATAAATAGTAAAAAAATATAAATTAAACTTATTAATAACTATAAGTTTAATTAATTATATAAAGTGTATAAAGCTTTTATTAAATTATAAAAATTAAATATAATTTAAATTTATAATAAATATATTAAAACAAATTATTTAAAAAATTTAAAAAAAAATATATATAATATATTATTAAAATATTATAATTATTAAATTTTAATTTTAAAAATAAATATTTTTATAAAAAATTTTATAATTAATTTTATAAATATAAAAATATAAATAAATAAATTTTTATTATTAAAAAAAATAATTAAAAATATTATAAATATTATTTTTAAAAACTAAAATTATTTTATTTTATTATAAATTAAATAAAACTTATATATTAAATTACATTTTTATTATAAAATTTTAAATATTATTATATAAAAAAAATATTATATTAAATATTTAAAAATTAAAATATAAAAAAAAAAATATATATTTAATTTTTAATTATAGTTTTATTATTTAAAAATAAATATAAAAAAAAACTTTTTTATTAAATAAATATTTAAAAATAAATATAAAAAAAAAACTTTTTTATTAAATAAACATTTAAAAATAAATATAATTATTATTTTATAAAGTTTATAATTAAGTTTATATAAATTTAATTATATTAAAAAATATATTATAATAAGTATAGAAATTAACTTATATTTTTATATAAACTAATAAACTTATTTTCTTAATTATGTTAAATTCTGCCTAAATAGTAAAACGTACTGCCAATGCAACAATACTTATAATCAAAAAGCTTAACTGTTAAGATCCAAAATTAAGCTCTTTTTTAGGCATCTAGCTCACTCTTAGTAAAGTGAGTTTAAGTGAACTTAAGAAAAGCTTAAGGGACCTTATATTTCCTCTACGATAGTTCAAAATGGCTAAATATCCAATTGGTATTAAGTAATTAGAATAAATGTACTTAATAGTCTCTACAAGTTGTGTGAGAAGTTATTGCCTGAATATCCAGCCCGGCCTATCCGCCATGAACCATATCCACGGTTTGTCCCTTGGGAATCTACGTACCTCTTAACTATCTACCTGTACGATTCGTCACAATTAAGCAAAATGGCAGCACTACATCATCAAGCTCTCTCACCTGCCCATGGTCCACAGCTTCGGGATCATTCTCGATCCAGGCTCACCTCGGCATCGGCCCTGGCGAGCATTGAGAAGCGGCGTCGGGACTTTGTGAGAAGCCTGGGCCCATGTCCAAGTGGATGCCATGATCTGGATAAACATGTCCTCCTTGGGGGGCTTGAGCGTGGGAGCGTCGTTGGGATCAGTGCCGAGGACGAGGATGGAGTGGGTGTGCTGGTGAGTTGCTGTGCTTTCTACATGAGCCTATGCGTGGGAAGTCTTTCTCGCCTTTGTCTATTCTCATGCTTATCTTCTGCTTTTGTGCTTGCCTCAAGATGCTAACTTAGTGTGTGGCAGTTGGGTCTACAAGTGCTGGTGTGTTCCCTGCTGGACAAGGTGGTTCATAAGGTACAGATTATAACGCCCAAGCCTCCTAGCACTATCGTCGTATTGCTCAAGAACAGCATCACGGCGGAGCTCAGGGCAAGAGGCATCACGGCTCTTGATGGGGCTGCGGTGCAGGAAAGAGATTGCCTTAACAGAATCATGCTCTCACGTGTCTTCGACATGGATGGGCTGTGTGAGGTGCTTGCTGACTTGGACGATGCGGCTACGTCTGAGGTCCGGAGGTGTGCCCTGAATAAGCCGGAAGTGGGTGACGCACAACCGGTAGAGAAGACGGAGGCCAAGACACAGCTTGGTGCCGGCGCTGCTCTTGTAGACGTAAAGCATGAGCCTCAGGGGCCGCCTGTCGTTGCTGAGATTCAGGATAGCCAGGATGAAGATGAAACGCCGCCTCCTTCGCAATCCTCAGCGACATTGCCTCAGCTCGAGGTACTTGATGAAGGACAAAGGAACGAGGTGATTACTTCTGATACAGAATCAAGAACTGACTCGTCTGGTATCAGTAAAATCGTTGCTGTCGCCAACAGCCACAATTCAACAGCGGCAACCCCTAACATCATTCTCATCACTCACTTCTCCTCCCTCCTCACTAGCTTCTTCACACAGCGCGACAATTCGGCCGCTCACGCAACCCTCCGCCTCCTAGCATCCCGCCTACGACGCCTCTCCAGAACACTCTCCTCCAGCCCTCTCATACTTCTCATCAATTCCACAGACTCCGGTGCAACGGCATCCACACCGGCGGCCCATTTCCCAGAGTCTCACAGCTACGACATCCCGCCACCAGAGCAACCATCCAAGCGGAAACCTTCCATTGACCCAACTCTCCGCTCTATTTTCAACCCGGCCTCTCCCTCATCTGGGCATGCCAGTGGATACAAGCTGAATAAGCCGACCTTTGGCCTCGTCTTCACACAACTGCTCGACATTCATCTCCTCTGCACACGAGCTCCACGCCCTGGCAAAGCCTCTTTACCGCGTGCCCTGACTCTTATCGAGGTGCTGCTGGATGACATTGGCCTGTGGGAAGGTGAAAGGGGCCTTAGAAGGAGAAGGGAACAACGTTGGACAGTGGTGGCTCCTTACAATGGCCGAATCATCGATGCCTCTGACGGTAAGAAGCTGATAGGAAAAGAGTAAGTGATTGATTCGCCATAACAGACTTGGGGTATGCACCATCCATTTTCAACTCTCCTCCTTCACCTCCCATCTCCAACGTCAAACCCCTTTAGTTGTTGTCTTCTACGACAGCACAGGAATATTCAAATGCAACAGTTTCGAGAACCTCAATGATATTATAATTTCTAGACCAGTTAAAAATTTATTAATATAAACTATATATCGCGTCTATTTACTCGCCCTTGAGTTTGTCTTGTGTCACACTGAATGCCATTTGCAAGAAGTCCTGCTCTTCCTTGGTATGAACATTCTTCAGACCAGTTGCCACGGAGGCGCTGGGATTACGACCAGCATACATGACGTGCTTGCGGTCATGGTGTTGAGTCTGGTTCAACAGCGTCTCAATACGCGGCTGTGTGAAGCTCCAAGCTCCCGCGTTGAGAGGCTCCTCCTGTGCCCAAACAATGGTCTTGGCATTAGGGTACATATCCAGGTTCTCCTTCAGCTGCTGCCAAGGGAAGGGGTTCAGCTGCTCAATGCGGGTGAAAGCCACGTTGTCAATCTTGTTGTCGGCACGATACTTGTGCAGACTGGCCCACACCTGACCTGTGCAGAGGATGACTCGGTCAATCTCTTCGGGAGCTTTGATGGTACCGGTCTGGTGCTCTGGGTCGGGAATGATCCACTGGAATCCAGCATTGGGGCCGGTGAAGTCCTCAATGTTAGACCGTGCCAATGGGTGGCGGAGCAGTGACTTTGAGAAGAAGATGACAAGAGCTGAAGAAAGCGTTAGTTTGTCGGTAAACTAATTTTCCAGGGAGAGGACTTACGTTTTCTGAACTGTCGGTGCATTTGTCGGCGCAGAACATGGAACAAGTTAGCAGGAGTAGTCATGTAGGCAATCTGCATGTTGCAATCTTGATGCTGTCGTTGAATCTTGTCCTCGGATGGGAAAACGCGGGGATCTTCATTGCAAAGCTGCAGATACCGCTCCAGACGGCCGGAGGAGTGCTCAGGGCCCTGGCCGTCATATCCATGGGGTAGAGACATGACCAAACCGGTTCTTTGCATCCACTTGACTTCACCAGAGGCAATGAACTGGTCGATGATGCACTGTGCATTGTTGGCAAAGTCACCAAACTGCGCCTCCCACATGACAAGCGCATTAGGAGACGACAGAGAGTAACCGTATTCGAAACCCAGGGCACCAAACTCGCTTAGAGAAGAGTTGGAGATGACAAACTTTCCTTGGTCTTTGCTGATGTGTTGCAGAGGGGTGTAAGTCTCCTCAGTCTCCTCGGTTTCTTGGTCATGGAAGACAGCATGGCGTTGTGAGAATGTACCACGCTCGACATCCTGACCAGAGACTCTTACATGATAACCCTCGGTAACGAGCGAGCCAAAGGCTAGAGCCTCGGCGGTAGGGAAATCAATGTTCTTGCCTTCGATGACTGACTTTGTTCGGTTGGTCAGAATTCGCTTCAGGTTACGATGGATTTGGAAGCCTTCGGGGGCCGATCCGATGACTTCACCAATGTGGTTTAAGGTGTTCCGATCGACACTGGTGTCATTGTGGGGGAGGATTTCCGTAGCGAGCTCTTTGGGCGATTTGAAGCCATTCCAGGCTGATGTAGTCCACTCCTTTGACGTGGGTTGGTAGTCTTTTGATTTAGAAAAGCTTTCTTCGAGCATGCCCCACACCCACTGCTTGTGCTCTTCGATGTCTTCCTTGGTGAAGGTGCCTTCCTGCAGCAACTTGTTGACGTAGACGTCAATCTGAGGAACCTTTTCCTGGATGCGCTTGTACATGAGAGGCTGAGTAAACGAGGGTTGATCTGTCTCATTGTGACCGTGCTTCCGGTAGCAGATTAAGTCAATAACAACATCATGCTGGAACTCGGCTCGCCAATCGGCGGCTAGCTGGCAGACAAAGTTGACAGCTTCGACATCGTCGGCATTGACATGGAAAACAGGAGCGTCGATGGCTTTGGCAATGTCCGTGCAGTAGGCCGTTGATCGGGCGAATCGAGGATCGGTAGTAAATCCGATCTGGTTGTTGACGACGAGGTGAATAGTACCGCCGGTAGAGAAGGCAGGCAGAGAGTGGAATCCAAGACATTCATACACAATACCCTGCGCAGCAAATGCGGCATCACCGTGCAACAGGACGCTCATTGCAGTCTTGTGGTCCTTCTCATCGTTGTTATAGTGCTGAATGGCGCGAGTCTTACCGAGGACAACTGGGTCTTCGGCTTCCAAATGGGAGGGATTGGCGACGAGCGAGAGCTGCACGCGCTTTCCAGAAGGCGTGGGTCGCTCGAAGTTCATGCCTAGATGGTATTTCACATCACCAGAGCCTTCATCCCCAGCAGTCAGCGTTCCGGCAAATTCGCTAAAGATAGATTCGTTCGGCTTTCGGACGACGTTGCTCAAAACGTTCAATCGACCACGGTGAGGCATGCCGATGACGATATCCTTAACACCGTAATCGACACTGCGATCGATCAGAGCCTTCATGCCAGGGACCAGGGTCTCGCATCCCTCAAGGCCAAATCGCTTGTCGTTGGGGTATTTGGTCGCGAGGAATGATTCAAAGCTGGAGCTCCAAATTAACCGATCGAGGACACGGCGCTTCTCATCGATGGAGTACTTGAAGGGCTGGGGAACTTCGAGGCGTTCGCGCAGCCAGTCACACTTCTCGCGGTCGGGGATGTGGATGAATTCAACACCATAGGAGCCAGAGTAGATTTTTTCGCATGCAGCAATGATCTCGCGGAGGGTCATTTTGTCGCGACCTTCCCGCTTGAATCTGGGCAAGATGCCAGGTCCAAGAGTGTACTCGGTATCGAGATCCTTCTCAGTGAAGCCATAATGCTCGAGCGTCAACTCCTTGGGCTTGATATTACCAAAGCCTGCAGCGGTGTTGCGAATGCCAAGAGGGTCGATATCAGCCTTGTGGTGTCCACGAGCTTGATATGCGCGCACAAGCAGCTGGACCTTCAAATGGTTCGTGACGTCGGAGCCATCCTCAAGAGCCAGGCCGCCAGCAAGACGAGGAACACCCCCTGTCATACCGGGAACAAGGTTCGGGGGGGGCTGGAATGCCTGTGAGATGGGCATGTCGCCGCTCTCCATGTTCTTGAAGTAGACCTGCCATGAGACGTGGACGCTCTTGGGGTCTTGCTTCCACTGCATGTACATCTCATCGACATAGTTGGCAGTGCTTCCCGAGAGAAAGCTGTCGCTTGGGTTGGGGGCCGAGTACGTGGCATTAGGCGCTGTCGCCGTCGTCGCGGCGTATAGTCTCCTGGTCGTTAAGGGAAGGGCTGTAAGCCTTGTTGCCCTGGTCGCCAGGCGGGTGCCCTGGACAACCCTTAGTGAATTTCTCCACATTGTGAACAGCTTAAGCAAGAGTAATAAAGAGTTTCTTTTGTATAAATGTATACATCAGATCCTATCCGTTGACCAAATCGCGAAATGAGCGGTAGAGTGGTAAGTCGTGAGGATGTGCGGCGGCCGGATTTGGTCGAGAGAAGTTAAGTTTGGGATTTCGGACTGTCGCAGTCAATTACCTAACTGCCGCGGGCCAGCAGGAAATCGGAAGGAATTGGCCGGGACTTCCCGGAGATTTCCCGGGCGTTCCTGAGACTCTTCTTGGAAATTTCCGTTTAAAGATAGGTAGTTCAAGGAAAATATAAATTGTATTATAATTCATCTAATTATGTAAAAAGCAAGGCATCGAGAAAAATCAAAAGTTATCCCAATTAGTCGCGGCTATCGAGTGTATTTAAGGCCAGCTGGATCAATCAGGCCTGTTCAACGAAATAAACGTCATTATATTTGATCGAGGTTATTCAGTTGATTACGTTGTTAAGGCTACTCAGATAAATAGCCGTTTTGACATAAGTCGGGGGAAGGGAAAAACATATGTAGGAAGCCGCGGAAATAAAACAGTAGAGTTATAAGAAATTAAAATTTTCTAGGCCTTTGATTGGATAGAAAGAGCGGGTCATAAATTGATGTAGCCGATTAGAAGACGACTTCCCGGTTTTATTGTGGCAATGGTTGTAGTGACGTATGTAGCATTTAAACAGCGCAAACAAACATCGCTGGTGCTACTCGCACTCTGTAGTACTCATCCACTGCGCCTCCCCGTATTGCTTAATCAGCCAAGTACACTGATTATTTCAATAACCAAGTATATTCAAACCTATCACGAAGCCTGGAAATATCACTATGTGTGGCCGATACTCACTAGCACTTGTAAGTCGTGCATATTATCAAGGGTCAGCCGTTTTATATCTAGTATAGAACATTGCTAAAAGTTTAGCCTCCCTCTTTAATTCGCCAGCTGCTGGAAGATGATGGCGTTCCAATAACAGATGTTCCTGATGACGAGGGCTTTGAGGCTCCCCATCAGTCATATAACTTTGCTCCTGGGTCTAACGGCGTTGTCTGTACGGCTGATACTCCCCACCGCGATTCGCGGTCCAGATGCAATGACTCTCGCATCACTGAAGGTGAAATCCCTAGCGGAGAAAAAAACGACCCGGAGGAAGTCAAATACAAACTTCAAGTAATGAAATGGGGAATTGTGCCTTCATGGTCGAGAAAGAACACTACCCCTACCCCGAAGGCCATAAACTGTAGAGATGATTCCCTGAGGACGCCTGGTGGTATGTGGCAGACCATGAAAACCCGCAAAAGATGTATCGTTGTAGCTCAGGGATTCTTTGAATGGCTTCATGTGAGCCCCAAGGAAAAAGTTCCACATTTTGTAAAGAGAAGAGATGGCCGCTTGATGTGTTTTGCCGGCCTCTGGGACGCTATTCAGCACGAAGGTAAGGACCTGTATATTCGCGAGAAACCTGCCAGCTAACTACTGACATTAATCTATTATCAAAGCCACTGGAGACAAAAGCTATACTTATTCAATAATTACAACCAGCTCAAACCAACAGCTCCGATTTCTGCATAATCGCATGCCGGTTATCTTTGATGCTGACTCCAAGGACTTTCGAGAATGGCAAAATCCACTACAGACTCGATGGACCTATGATCTACAGTCTTCACTCAAGCCTTATGAAGGAGAACTAGAGGTGTACCCAGTATGCAAGGATGTTGGAAAAGTTGGCCGCAGCTCGCCATCTTTCATCATACCGTTGAGTAAAAAAGACAACGAGCGTGATATATCGCGCTTTTTCCCCGGCATCTCTCAGAAGTCTCAGTCAGAAGGATCAGACAAGGTAGGGAAACATGAAAATGACGGTGATCAAGAAGCGAGCATTTCCAACGCGGAGCCCAGTTCCATTGGGAGAGCAGATGCCCACAAGAAGCACAAGATTTCCAGCGGTTACAGTCCTCCACCAAAGAGGAGGCAAGTTCAGCCAGGCCCACCAGGAGTCAAAAAAATAACAGATTTCTTCGGTTGATGATTGTCGCTACAAGACTGGGAACAATGCGTGGATTTTGATAGGGACAGACCTTGAATGCATTCGTCCTGTTTCAGCGAACACCGGTTGGTTACGGACGCTTATGAGTATATGAGGCGTGTCTCTACCGCCACACCACGGCTATTTGTTGCTTGCTTCCTTCATTGGCTTGACTAGCCATTATTTGCAACACACCTAACTGGGCGACGTAATGCCTGCTGCAACGATTCAATCCTTTTGTCTAGCTTATCGGTAGGCATGCGTTCAACCCAGGTGACTGTGCGATCTCGTCGTCTCTCTGCGAAGATCCTGGTCTAACACCTGCCTATTCTCATCCCAGGCGAAAAGCGAGCCGAATGGGAAATGCTGAATGACTGGGAATTTCGATAGAACCTCGGCATTGAACATTTTGATCATACCTTTATTGATTTTACCCCATCCATCTTTTATGCCAGAAATATCAAATAACATTGGGCTGTGCTCCCAGAATGGACCCTTTTTTACGTCGTTGATGAATGCAACAGCCGAGAAGTACATGTTGGTTTGTCTCATGTCTTCGACAATGGTAGGATTGGTAACATCGCTCGGTTTTGGTGCGCCCCTTACGGAGCCTTCAGTGGGCATCGAATCAAGCTCGCTGCTAATCGGGCGCGTAAGCTGCGCAGATCCGAAAATGTATGGAATAAATGAATGATCATCTAGACCCCATACACCGTGAGAGCCTGCCGGCTCAAGAGTATATGTCGATATGAGCTGCCTTACAATATCGAGATACCTAAAGCAGTGAGTTTATGCGAGTACTTCACGATCTCGTCACTTACGGTTCCACGACCAAGAGTACAATCTCCCTCTCAATGCCGCCGCCTTGTTTGCCGTCCTTAAAATGCCCTAGCTTCCAGAGACACCCAATGAAAGCAATGAAGTTGAGTTCATGCCCTGTTCCATAGTCTAGGCGCTGTGGGCTGCCAAATGCTCCTAGCAAGTAGCTTGCTACTTCATCTTTGGCATGCCCATTGCCTATTCGTAGAGTTTCTCCAAGCAATCCATGATCGAGCAAATCATCCAGTTCGGCATTCAACAGTTGATACCATTTACGAAAGCTTACGTTTCCGAATCTTTGGGATCCAGGATCTGGTGGTGCTTTGCCTATGAGATTGCGGATGCGCGATAGTAGCGTTTGGCAAGATTGGATGGAGGCTGTAGTGGTGGAACTGGGGCCAAGGGGAAATACAGACGGAAATGATGAGCCATTTGGTTGCCGCGGGCAAAGAGCATGATTGAGCTGAAGAATGAAGAGGCCGATGTCTCGATAGGCTAAACTGACAAGGAATCTGCCCACATCATCGGTCTGATGAATGCGCTTGACAGGAGTTTGGAAGACAGGAGGGGATGACGGGTCGACAATACCAAGAGAGGTCCAATTCTGCACATGGGACATCTTAAAAGAGGTGTCTAGCTCATTGAAGTGAGTAGAGTAAAGTGCTAGGTAATACACTTTTGAAGGAAAATTGGTAGGTACTAAGATGTTACTTAGATCCCTGCCTACCTAAATACAAATAAAATGTAAAAAGTAATTTCTACATTAGATTAATATTAATAATATTAATAATTTATATAAAAATACAAAAAATATTTAACTGATTTTAGATATTTATTATACTATAGAAAATATATTAAAATAATGTAAATATTTAAATATAAAAAGTTTAAGCTTGCTATTTATATGTATTATTAGTTCAAATATTTTAAATAGCATAATTAATATTATTTAAAGTCGCAAACTTTAAATATATACAAGAGGATAACCATACTTTCTTCCCTCGTGCATGTAGTATAGGATTATCCTAGTGGATTCTAAGTAGGGATGCGATACTGTCATGTGCTTCGCATCGCCGACCTACCTATGTCTCATGTTTTAACTGTCTAAAGAAGTAACGTTTCAAGATATTCGCGTTCACGTCTAATGAATAACGGCCTCCTCCTCCCATCAACTTGTACAAATTCCGATCTCACCCTGGAAATACTCTATACAGCGTCCTCATGTGGCGGTAGACCTCGTGACGACATCCCACTCAGGAGGTGTTTACTTAGCCCACCATCTGTTGCTGGTTAATCTCCAACTTGCTACCCGCGCATCTCGCTGCCGTGACCAACTCAGAATCAAGACTTCGAGAGTTGCTATCTAGAGCTAGAGAGCATAGCTGTACCGGCTTTTGCCCGGGGGTCCCGCCGCCTCACGGCCCTCACGCCACACTCAATAATGGTATGTTCTTCAGAGTGTTTCATGCCATAATGTAGAAGACGCCACCGAGTTGGAGTTCACCCAAATGCAGAACGGGACATGTCGGTAGCATGGCCGTGGCTACAATCAATTCAAGCATAATTAGAGCAGTAGCGATCTCGATTCTGCATCCGTCGCTAATGAGATCGGCGAATTAGACATCATCTCGACTTCATGGCGAAGTTGCCGGCACCTTTTCTACACGACGTGGCCATTCAAGTCAGCTCTCAATCTCAGATCCCAGCCATCACGTAACAGAGGCAATCGGAAACCTATATGACGAAGACGATGACCTAAGTTCCGAGACGAGTCGCCCGTTGAGTTTTGTCCCTGGTTCTGCCTACCAAGAAGGAGGACCTCAGCCACAGCATCCGCGCATTGAAAAGCCTTCCTACTCAAACAAATCGTCAAATCTCTTTCTTCAACCAACCTCAGATCAGCATGCACAACCAATATCCCACGCTGACAATGGTGTTTCGAAAACTTCGCCGATACGTCTTTCGATAGGAAACAATCAATGGGGCGACCAGCTGGACCAATATACAATGCCTTTAGCATCCCCTACCCTATCACTCCGCGAGGTCCATACACAGACTCCCGGGCAGCAATTTCCCCTGACCAATATAGATAACCCAAATGATATCGCTCAGGAATTGAGCAACTTGCAAGCGCTCAGGCGTTTATCTATGGATGTGGGCAACAGTATTGATCCAGATATACCGCCAATGTCATTAGCAGCAATGCCGGCCGTAGCGCCACGAGGAGGCGACGATGAAAATGACCCGTCGAGGTTGCTTTGGGTGCCAGCTAGGGTACACCCAGAGCTTGCCCCAACTGAATTCAAGACCTTCCTGGCAAGTCGCCTTCAGTCAATTCGGAGGAGATCCGGGGATTCATTTCTTTCCGTTTCGGATGAAAAATATGGCAATGAATCAGATCCTATAAACGCCTCATCATTAAGGAGAAAGAAGTCTTTACTTTCTCGCCAAATTGACAACTCAGACGAACGAACTCCTGAAGGATTCGCCGATGGGATAGACAGATCAGAGAGACATGGTTTCAAGGATAATCAGCAAGACCGAGAACTGAGTCTAGATGAGCTAGTAAAAGACCCTTCAAAAGCAGTTCAGAGGCTTGCTCAAGAGTCCCATAGCTATTCAGGCAGTTTAGAGACTGGAATGGATGATATGCCCATCCTCCCAGTTGCACCCAGTAGCGGATTACGGAGATCAACTCGGACAACATATCGCAAAGGAGGGAGTTTACGATTCGGGGACAAAGCATCGTTTTCGAAGCGAATGGCACAACGCCAACAGAGCGGCGAAACTATAGAGGTGCCCGTTGCGGCGGCTGAAGATATCTCTCGGGGATATCCGCTGATTAAAGTCCAATCAGAGCCTGCTTCTGAGAATTTCTCAAGGCCAACGCGGCCGGATCGAAGACAAGATAGATTTTCACAAGAACCGACAGCAACGTCAACAGATCTCGACAGTTCTTCGGCCTCAAGGCCATCTCAGTTCTCTGGCCGAGCTACCAGCAACATCATTAACCCAGATAAACCAAGCGTTTCTCAAGATAATCGGCAGCCAGAAAAATTCCCACAGCGTTCTTCATCTCAGGCCAATGCCGTAACAGATGAGGCTCAGTTTGAATCTACGACGAATAATGTTAGCGATGACTCACTCAACCACTCGAATTACCACTCTCTATCCAGCAATGCCAAACTCGAAGACAACAGTTCGCCTAGCTCTGCGAAATCATCTGTTCCGATTGTGGCGCAAACTGGTACCGCTGCTGTTGTGAGCCCGGTCCCATCTGGTGCTTCAAATGGCAACGCAAATCGCACTGACATCTCAACCGGTGCCTCGGCGCATACGCGAGACGACAAAAAATCAGACAAGAGATCGAAAAGAGATAAGGACGAGGACTCTCATAATTCCACCAGGTCTGGCTCCGCATGGAAATGGCTCAAGGGTGTTGCAGATGATAGAGACAAAAAGAAAGATGAGAGCAAGAAGTCTAAGCATAAATCCACATCTGAAAAAGTCCAGGATAATGTGCGATTGGATGTGATCCAAACTTCAATTGAAAAGACTGCTACCAAGGGTCGCGAAAGTTTAGTCCTTGACCGGGAAAGCCTCGATAATAAGCTTCCAGACGAACGAAAGAAAGAGAGCCATCGCAAAAGCGACTCAAAGAAGGAAAAGGATGGGAGTTTGTTCTCTTCCATCTTTGGTGGTGGCAAGAAACGAGAAGAGAAAGAGAAGAACAAAAAGTACCAGCAGCTGTTGCATGTTCCGGAAGACATCGTGCCTTACAAGCCTTTGCAACCAGATATTGATTATAACTGGACTCGCTTTCCACTTCTGGAAGAGCGCGCTATCTATCGAATGGCACACATCAAATTAGCAAACCCTCGCCGGTCACTCCACAGCCAGGTGCTTCTGAGCAACTTCATGTACAGCTATTTGGCAATTGTCCAAGCTATGCATCCCCAGATGAATGTTCCAATATCACCCCAACAAAAGCGGCTCGAAGAGGAGGCACGCCGGAAACGAGAAGAACAAGAATACATGGCTCAGCGTGATGCACAGGACGGCGCAGATGAACAAGACCAACACCAGAGTCTTGAGCAGTACGATTTTAATTATCATCGTGTAGGTTACCCCCTTTCCTATGAACTGGAAGTATACTAAGACTCTTTTAGACGGCAGTGCAATACGCTGATTCCAGTTCCGATAAGCCGGTCGAGTATGTGGATGATGCTCAGATATATGAAGATGATCACACACACGATAATCATGGAGGTTACGGTGATGACGATTCTGGCGGCTATGGCCAGGAGGTGAAGGATTATTATCGATATCAAAATGATGTCTCAGATCGACATACTGGCCAGGATGGCGTGTGGTGATACTTGAGCCATAGGATTGACTATCCGCCCAGTTTCACAGATTATTTTCACAGTTTGTAACATTTCCGGTGCGTGTTGTGGCGCAATGGCATGTATGTCTTGTATTTTTGGAGAAGAGGGGGATTGTGGGTGGCGGAATTCTAGTATACAGCGGCGTTTAAGGAGCTTTGGTGCGTCTTGGTTCTCCCCCCATTGGGAGTTGATTGGAGAGCGTGCAAGGCTGAGATAGCGGTGTCATGGCCATTTTTCGTGGGAAATAGATTAAACGACTAGAAGTCGTGACTATTAATCAAACTGATGGATATCATTGTCGAATTACGAGATTAAGCATCCTTGGATTGGTTATCTATTTAGCTGCATTTGGGATGTATGAGCATAGTTGTGTAATCGTCTTGGCACCCACCGCATTTTACGATGTCGAATATTTTCTTATTACACAACGGCCAAACAATGAGTTTCTCAATGGCTCAAATTATCTCACTGCGGCGAAGTATGATGGGGTACATGTAGCATATGACAAGAGCGACAGCCCATATTATACGTTGACGTATGAACTGTCATGCCGACGAACTGGAAGTTAGGAATCTCATGTTATGATATCACATCATCAGGTCGAGAAAGAAACAGCTGGAAATCGTGATTTTGATATCTGATAAAGATGAGTGTCTGATTTAATGGGCTTCCAGGTAACGTATCTACTGCTTCTTCTCCTCTGGTTTGGAAGCAGGTAGTTTGAAGGTCTCAGGTTTGCGATCTTCACCTGACCCAACTTGTTCCCAAGCGCTGGATCCTCCTTCAAAATTTCGGAAGGCCTGGGTAAGTTCCAGTGGCTCGGTGACAATTCTTTTCTTCTCCTCGTCGTAGCGAATCTCGGTATATCCTGTGAGTGGGAAATCTTTCCGTAGAGGATGACCCTCGAATCCATAGTCCGTCATGATACGTCTCAAATCAGGGTGGCCTGTAAAGAAGACGCCGTATAGATCGTACACTTCGCGCTCATACCAATTAGCGCCGCCGAATAAGCTGGTGATGCTTGGCACAGGTGATGATTCGTCGGCGTAGGTTTTGACTCGGATGCGAGAGTTGTATCGAACGGACAGCAGATTGTAAACAACCTCAAAGCGATTGCTGCGTGTTGGGTAGTCGCATGCCGTAACGGTACTAACTTGAGTGAATTCTGCAGCAGTATTATCTGGAGACATAGAAGGTCAGCCTCTGCCAAAATAGTAGAGGGCGGCGTACGAACACTTCAGGAAAGAAAAGACCGGGATAACTCCAGATGGAGAAATGTAAATGGTGAGCTCATCCTTCCAGACAGAGAATTGCTGGATGTACTTTGGAAGGCACCCCATCAGCCAGGTTCCGTATCGATGAAGATTGTCCGCCTTGCTTTGGTATTTGGCTGTCGGGTTGATGATCGGCGCTTTGAGGGTTCCAATTGCGTCTCTCGGAGCTTCTCTCATGTTATGAGCCTCCTGGGGCATTGCAACCATTCGAGGAGACGAGATTGATATCGCTCGGGTGATTTGTCCGGCGCGAGCTCGCGTCAAGGCCTTTGCAGGCTCAAGAGTTGAGCTCAGAGTCGCTCTCCATGGGACCTTGCTTGCCATAGCGAATTGCTTGCCAGGATGCAATGGCTGCGAGACTTGATTGAACTGGTGGGGGACTCGATTTGTTCAACGAAGCAATTAGCTCAGATCTCCGTGGACTCTGTTTGAATATCCGGTGATTTGCCGTTGGATGTCATAGTGTGTGACGGCTCGCACAGTGCATTATTTGTATTTGGTGGGTTACTAGGTACATTAGTACTGCCTAGGTACATACTAGGCAGGCAGGTTGGCATGGAACTCACCAGTGCATTTGTATACAGTATGGATATGAGATGCGCACCACCTGTAGGTACGCAAATTACAGGGTGAGATTAGTAGGCGGTACCTGTATGAAGCGTTGCCTCCGATACCTTGAACACAGTACCTACCTGTGAAGTATCTGTGCAATGAGTAGGTACCTAGCGCCTTTTTTTGTGTAGGCAGGTACTGGGTAGTATTTCAATAAAATTCAACTGGCCAATAGGTACCTAAGTAGGTGCTGAGTCTTCTCGTAGCACCAGCTGGCGCTTTAGTCATGTATTGTTACAGTATTGCTCTGAATAAGCCATGAGTTTATACCTGTTCCTTGCAAGAGTTAGAACGGAGGCAAGAAAATCACGTGATTGTGGAGCCTGTTGAATTTGGCACCAAGCAGTTGGCTCGTCCCACACCACGTTCTGAACAAACATCATCACGTAGCAATCTACCATTTGGCCAGCACAACCACGGTTTTATATATATATATATTCGACGATAATAGCATACCCTCATCATAAACATGGCGCCACAGGATTCTTTCATAGAGGAAGACGAAGATGTCTGGTATGTGAATGTGGATGAGCATTCTCATTGGGAAGAAGTCGCCCTCTAATGCCGTCACAGCCCTCTTTGCATCGAAGAGTTTGATTTGTCCGACCGAAACTTTCGCCCTTGTCCCTGCGGCTACCAGGTAACCACCCATTTGGTCTCAAACACAAATAATGTACACCCCTAACGGCATTTATAGGTCTGTCAGTTTTGCTTTAATAACATAAAAAATAACATGAATGGTCTGTGTCCGGCATGTCGACGACCTTACGACGAGAAGACCATTCAGTGGAAAGTCGTGACACAAGAAGAGTAAGCTGTTTAACTCTTTGACCAAGATTCCTTATGTTGACTCTTTATAGGGTTGCCGAGTTCCGTGCAAATATACAAAAAAATCAACGCAAGCGAGCTCAAGAACAGCGCCAGAAGGAGGTTCAAAAACGCGAAGCTGAAAAAGAGAATCGCAAAAACCTTATCGGAGTACGTGTTGTACAGAAGAATCTGGTTTATATTACAGGTTTAGCACCCACCGTCCGCGAGGATGAACTTCTGAAGACGCTTCGGAAGCCCGAATTTTTTGGGCAGTACGGTGTTATTCAAAAGATTTCGATTAGTAATCGGAAGAGTTCGGATGGTCAACACCATTCGCTGGGCATCTATGTCACTTTTGAAAAACCTGATGAAGCGACTAGGTGTATCCAAGCTGTTCATGGGTCACAGAACGGTGACCGGATACTTAAGGCTCAATACGGCACAACTAAGTACTGTTCTGCATGGCTCAAGAACGAGAAATGCAACAATCCTGGCTGCATGTTTCTGCACGAACAAGGCGATGAAGAGGACAGCTATACTCGCCAAGATTTATCATCCATGAACAGCATCCACACACAGCGGCCGCTGCCTGGAGGAAACAACAGCTCTTTCCGCACAACCCCTCGACAGCAAGCCTCGCAGCCGACCCTAACGGCTATTTCGCAAAGTATGGCGCGTTCTTCTAGTAAAGATGGCTCAGACTATGGACCAGATGGTTCTGCTTTGCCTTCTTCAGCCAATTGGGCTCGAAATCCCCAGCGCAGCCGAAGAGGTAGCCATGCAACAAGCGGCGCTCCATCCAGCCCTGCTATTTCGGCCTCCCTGCCTACTACGACAGAAGTTGCTCAAGAAGCTGTGGAGGATACTGAATCTCCTCCATCTACGCAACCGCCGGAAGATGATAAAATCTCAAATCAAGATCCTGTTGAAGAACCACAGGTATTGCCCTCAAATGGCTCCCTCGCGACCATTCTGCGGGCGTTGCAAAGTTGTACATTTACTAGCTTCGTTACTCCGCAATTCAACGAATTGGAACCTCCGTTATTCGATATCCGGGGAGGGAAGAAGCGGAAAGCCATGCGTGAGGATGATGATGCACGAATCGGTGGGGACCAGAAGAATGCGACCGAAGGACAAAATCAGTCAGAAGGCGAGGCAGAGACAGGCGGCAGCCTTGCTCTCGGTGGTGAACCCGAAGAGCGTGACGTAGTCGGTGATGGACAGGCGTTCGAGCACCGACATCTCAACTCATTCCCTCCAATCCAAAGAAGCAATGCCGATACTCTCTTCGGTCCTGCTCTTAGTGGCGCAAATTTCAATCCAGGTACAGGTCAGATGGGCCGAGGTGTCGCCCCTCAGCAGTTAATGTCACTGCGGCCTCAATCAGGGTTCAGCGATCAGGTCCCTTCGGGCCTATCTAGCCAGGCTACATTCCAAAATCAAGGTCATAATCGTCAATCATCCCGATTCGGCTTTATGGCTGACAGCCCGCCAGCAGCAACCAATCTCAAATTTGCCGCGAATCCAAGAATCATGGGCCAGCAATCGTCCATGATACCTAGCTCGTTGCAATCCTCAGGTAGCAGCCACTTTTTTGGCAGCTCTATGCCAGCGCCACCGCCAGGACTCAAGTCTACAAATACACCACCAAATATTTTTGGTCAGGGATTTGGCGGCTCGGCATTTGGGGCTGCAACGAAAGACGCATCTGGCGACTTGCTACAGAGTTTAATTAGTAGGAGCCGAGGCGGTGGTAACCAGCCTCATGATGGTGGAAAGCGTGAGTACATGATCTCTTCTTTTTCTAATCAGTATCCACCACCCTCAACCTCTACCCCAGCTCCTACTTCTGGCCTTTTGGCATCGCTCTACGGTAACCACCCCGGAGCATTCCAAGACTTTGGCTCGAAGCAGAAGAAGAAGGGGAAGAAGCATAGACATGCTAACACTTCCTCCTCGGGGGGGAGTGGTCTAGTGGATCTTGCGGACCCGAGTATACTGCAAGCGAGGATGCAGCACCAATCGCAAAGCAACACCGGAGTCAATCAGGGAGTTTTTAGCGGCCAGAGCCAAGGTGGGTATGTCCCGAACATGATGTATAATTCCAGTTATGCCCGATGGTAGCAGTACCAAGGGCATTGCATGAAATGATGATATTCATTGCACACTTTTATGTTGTACTAGAGAGGCGCTCAAGAGGACCTGCATTTGAAGTTAGGGACATTTTTATGGATTCGCGTGGCATACCTTTATTCCAGCGGGCCATTCACGATAACGGCTGGAGGAGCACTTTTTTTTCTCCTTTTTCTTTCGGACAATTGCATTAAAGCCAGCAAGGGTGGCCCTTATTTCTTATTTCATCATTTTCTTCCTCTTCTTCTTCTCCTTCTTCTTCTTCTACTACTACTACGGACCGAGTTTTATGGTTTAATGCAAGCCGAGTATCCAGTAAGGCAAACCATCATCGTCTTCCACACAAATCCTCCTGTATGTTAACGGATTGCTCGGAGACACCAGGACTGGTGTCTCCTTGGGTCGCAATATATAATACCGAACTTCTCTACCTTCCCCTCGTTGTTCCCCGTGGAAGACGATGATGGAGGTCGTAGGATGGCTCCTTTTGCCTTTGTATTATAAAACTCCCCAATCCGTAGCCCGCTATCCCGTCACTGCCCTTGTGTTAAGCCCTTATTGTACAGCACATTGCTAATGTGTTCTTTAGACCATGACCTTAGTTTACCGGACGAAGCAGAATTATCAGTGGATGCACTGGTCTCGGATGAGTCGTTGCCGGCCCTGGCATCATCTCCATCAGCTACTAACATAGAGTCCCGTCGCTTGGCTTCTTATTTGGATAGCCAGGATGCGCCTGTTCACTCAACTGCTAAAGATATACCGATTCAGGGACAGTCACAGCGTTCGAATTTGATTCCAACTACGCCGCATATTCCAACCTTTGGAGCTGTGTATGACCCAGCCTTTACTCAGGTGCCTTCGAAACTGGATGGCCTCGATCAAGAGGCCGACATCCGCACCAAGCATCATGCGGCAAAGGACTCTTCTCCTGGTGCAATACTCGGACCTTGGCCTACTTCTGCTAAAGGATCTATACTTCAGGAAAAGGATTTTCCTGCTTTAGGTGCGCCAAGGACAAACGACACTATGAGTACCAACGCCGGTTTAGCTACTTCCAAAACCATGCTATCGAAAACCATACCGACAACCAGGAGGCAACATGATAAAATTTCCGAAACTGTGCATGTGGATCATGGAGATGACATTAACACGGATGAATCTCAATCCACAAGAGGGAGCGACGACAAATCCCTGGGTCCCATGGCTCCGGGTTCTGGAGCTATTTTCATCTCTCCATCTAAAGAAGACCCTTCAAAAGCAGATGAATTGGCGGAGATTTCTAGATTCCCACCCCTGCCTACCCCTGCAGTTACCAGTGGAGTGGCTACACCCTCACGAAGTATGCCGAAAACGTTAAGAGTGGTTCCTTCATCAATCAAGACAGAGACTCGCCCGGCGTCACCGTCACCTCTTCCAATCTCCACTGTACCTGCGGCAGGAAAGCCCGTACATTCTCACCGGCCTGGCACCCCAGCCAGCGAAATGATCAGTGATACCGCCTCTGTTACCTCATTTTCGGTTTCCATTTCTCGAGCTGGGTCACCTCCCCTCAGCAAGGTTGGCACCGCTCCAATAAGAGGCACCACAAAGAGTCAGCAACGCAAACAGCGCAAAGATGTGTTGAAACAAGAAACGAAGACCCTCGCTGAAACACCTAAGACGGAAGAAGCAGAACATGCTCCTGTCATCGGACGCAAGAAAAAACAGAAGAAGGAGAAGCCCGCTAAAGAGGTTAATGTCTTGTCTTCGGCAGCTATTCCCGCAGAACCATTAAAGGACGAAACGAGTCCCCTATCTAAAGATGTTGGAAAGCGACTGCCTGATTACAACAATGAAGAATCGAAAACAGAGAGCACGGGATATACGCACAAAGAAAAACAAGATACGAGGAATTCAGCAAAAGAGGTAATCGAGATAACGGCTTCGTCACCCACACCGTCATTGCCCAAAGCAGCTGAACCTGCAGATAAGACTCTTGAAAGACCACAGTCAAGCCCTGCATCCGTCTTTGCCGATATAAGAGAGTCGCTCTGCACTGCTGCTCCCGATAAGCTGCAACTGTTAAAGCCTGTTTCTAGCAATTCATCCAGGCCAGAGCACAGCTCATTAAACCCATTGGGCAAAAGGGGAGATTGTAAAGAGAGCTCTTGCAGATGTGGTGAGATGCAAGATGCTGATCTTGCGGCACTACGAGCGGGAAGGCCTGTGCGTAAACAATTTCATACCGACGGCAGCCGCATGCTTATCACCCCCCACGGAGATTGCATCCGTGGGCTGACACCAGAAGAAGAGGACACCTTTTTAGCCCTCCAAACTGCCATTGCTGCGACGGCAGAGAATCCTGCTGCATTTGTGGCGCCAAGACACCAGCCGAGTAGCGGAGCTTTCTCGCTCATCAAGGGTCGAGCAGTTCCGAATGGACGACCGAACATTTTCCCCTCCACTGTGCAGCCACAATCTCAGGACCCCATTGGCAAGCTTCAACGAGAGGATGCTTTAAGTTACATCAATCAGTATGTGCTACCCAGACTAAGCCTTGGGGCTACTAGTATGGGATTCCCCAAGGGGGCATCTTCTACTCGGGACTCGGCAAGTCTCAACTCTCTCGCGCCCTATTTTTACGGCCCAGATGCCGCCGCCGGAGTGGGCATTTACAGCACTCCAGAAAGCGCTCGAGCTATACAGGATTTTGCTGCTCCTGGAATGTCACTTGATGAAATTGGTAAAGGTGCAGCAGCCAGCTCAATTGGAAATATGCCCCTGATGAGCGTTGAGGACGCGGAAGCAGCGTTAACGGCGGCAAAGAGAGAGACCGAGAAGCTTGAAAAGGGCCTGAACCTTGTCATCAAGCGGAACCGTAGGCTCTTACTTGGTGCTTGATGCACTCATGCGTATGCTCTTGAACAGCGCGCTCTTAAACAAGCGTGCTCTAGAACAGCGGTTCGCAAAATTATGTATTACTAGGTATATGTAACATGTAATTTTACCTAAAGGCAGCCTTCACCTCTACCCTAGGCCATTCAAAGAACACCTCCCCGCCATAGACGTCAGTAATAATCCTACCTATCCTGCTTTCAACACTGGTGTAGAATTCTTCACACTCTTGAAGCACCCTGACGACCAAGCCCCGACTGAGGGTTGGGTCATCTGCATCACCAAAGTGCTTTTCCACGCGTTTCCGTAGAGTTTCAATCCCTTTCCGCACTTCCTTCGCGTCATACGAGCCCAGCACTTTATTGAATGCCGTCTTGTTGTTTGAGGGCTGTCGTGCAATTGCCATTGCGGACTTGCCGGTTTGTAGCTGCGCTTCGATATTCTCAATCTGCTCCAGAAGTCTCCCAAGGGGTCGCCGCATCACCGCATTTAGATATAGCGCCATGTGTTCATGATATTCAGTGTTTGCTTGTGCTTTCCAGTTCTCAAGAACCTGTAGACCGCGAGCATCAGTCTCTTCGAGGAAGTGATTCATGTTTTCAATCAGTAAAATGTGAAAGTTCAACGCCTCCTTGTCCTCTGGATCAGCTGCTCCACCGGCAACCCCAACGACGGCTGGGTGCTCACGCGCAATCACCATTAGTGACTCAAACATCGTCTTTAGAATGCGATCATACTCCCGATTAACCGTCCGTCGCAAGATTAGGTTATGATCTAACCCAGCAACCATGTTCTCGACGGCGGCCATGAATGCAGGGAATATTCGTATGAAGGATATGACGCCCTTGCGCTTCTTGATTTTGACCTTTGTTTCCTCAATGGCTCGTATCTGCTCGTCAACAAATTTTCTGAATTGGCCCTCCAATGAGGCATGCAACTTCTGGAGAAGGGCATTGAGAAAATCTTGATTAGATTGCCCCATTTCAGACAACTTTCTCTCGAGTGTGGCGAGCACTCCAACCCCTTGGCTAAATCCCAATCAGTCAGTCTTGGCCGGCTTGGATTGAACATTTATAATAACTTACAGTGGATCTTGGGCGATTGCCCACTCCATCAATCTTCGCAACTCAGCCTCAAGGAATGCAAAAATGGCCTCCATGGATCGTGTAACCCGACGAGCAAGTTCTCGGTCAGGCTCCATGAGCCTGTGACGCTTCAAATCGCCTCCACGACGGTCTCGAGGAGGAGACGCTGCAACTGCCTCTGGGAAATCTGCTTGCTCTAGCGTTGTCGCGTGGAAGAAGTCGATGATAAAATTTTGTTCCATCTCAACTAGAGGCAAAAGATCTTCCAGGACCCCAGAGAAGATTTCGTACGGTAGGCTTCTGTTATCCACGGTATTCCTTTCCGTGGTGTTCTTTTCAACGTGCGCTCTGGTGCCACCATCTGCCAATGGCGACCGCAGAGCTTTAGCCAGCGTTTGGCTACGTTTGACGGTCAACTTTCTAGCAGCTGTAGCAACACCCTCCTGCTGCTTTTCAACTTGAGACGAGAAGATAACCTCTGCTTCATCTCCCGTTAATTTTCTCGCATTTTTACGCCAAACAGTGATTACATGCTGAAATTCATGCTTATACACGGGTGAGCTCTTGTCTTGATAAATCTGCATGAGGCGATTCCAGTTTTCTAGGTCCGCGTCTCTTGCGTAGAGCATCAAGGGGCTGTACTTCCACAGAAGATCTCTTCCAATGCTGTGGTGCGCAGGATCAACCTTTTTAGAAAGAGCGCCATCCAATGCGCGCTTCGTTTCGACATAAGCTTCTGCGAATTGGCCGGTCATGAAGTCCAGTAGTCGTTTCATGAAAAACCTGCTTTCGTGCAGGTACATTTCTCTCTTCTCTTGTACAATCCTCATCTTGCCGTAATTGCTGTTTAACCCCAAGGCATGATCAGCGTCCAGGGCCGCATCCATAGACTTTCCGGTTTCATCACCTCCAAGAGAGGGGTCAATCTTGATCATGGCTCTAAACAGAGTCACAAGGGAGAGTTCGACCTCTTCCAAGCCTCGAAGATTCTCCAGGGGCGCCTGTTGAAGTGCCTGGAGGTCGTTTGATGTAATAGCGCATGTTTCAAGCAATGACTCCAGCTCTTTCCTTAGCAACTTTTGGTTGGCCGTTTGTACCTGGAGACCTTGGCCCTGGGCTTCGATATAGGCAATATCGTCTGAGAGGGTCTTGACGCTGTCAGCTAGAGATTCAAAGATAGACACAAACGAACCAACAATGGGAACAAAGGGAAAGGGGGGAGGCATACCGAGAGCTCCACTGAATATAGCGTGAGTAAGTTATCCAGCTCTTCGCATTCACCCATGGCAAGGTCGATTCCTCGTTTGATAGTATTTACCCTCTCATCTTCTTCTCGAAAGCGTGCTAGCCACCCTCCCGCCTGGACTGTGTTTAATTCTCGTTCTAGATCATTGCCTATATCGTCCATATTCAAGCAGTGCATTTGATCACCGGGAACCCAACCAAAGAAGTCCAGCCATTTGCCGAATTCTTCACTGCGATCATCAAGTATAATGGGGTCAACACCCAGCCTTTGAAGATACCTAGCATCTTGTCCAACGACCACAGGCCGACGAGAGGCCTCTTTCGGAACGGTTGCGTCCTTCTCGGTCTCATTAACCTCTTTAGTTGGTGCTTGTACATTTCCAGGGGTGCTTGACTCAGCCACCAATATTTTGACCTCCGGTATTGTCAAGTCACTAATAGCCGGCTTGGGAGGTTCAATGGTCGGAGGGTTTGCGTCGCGAGATACAGGTCTCGGCGGTGCTGGGACAACGCTTGTAATACCATCAGGGCCCTCGTTTGCCTTGGCTTGGTTTTGACGGAGACGTTCTCCAGCTCCTCCCGGTCGCGGACGGAAAGCATTTGCAGCAGATGCAGCCTTCCAAAAGGCACCGGCAACATCCCCTTTGGATATTTTGGACTTTATCATAGGACCTAAACCAGGACGAGTTTCCTCATCCGGTGAGCTTATTGTTTTTTCAAGGGTTGGAGCATCCTTTGTTCCTGATTGATCTGGGGGAGTTACTTCCACCGGTGAGGTAGCAGGTAGATCTTTCAAGTCGCTGTTAATACTAACGCTCCCTGATTTTTGTTCCACGTCCTCCAAGGGCTCCACTACACGTGGCGGGCTTCCATCATGGCTAGTTCTACCAGCAAAAGCTATCCCTGGCTGTAACACTGATGGAATTGCTGGAGAAGCAACTCGATCGATGCTCCGTGGTGGAGGCGCCACCGGCTCCCTTTTAGCTGGTGAGCTCATCAACGGGGCAGGGACCAAATCCCTATCCTGCGGTCTTGAAGGATCCATAGGGGGGCGCCTTCTTTCAGGGGGGAGTTTGCTTTCCAGGGATGGGCGAGACATTGCAGGTATGGAATCGTGAGTTGAGTCAGGAATATCTCGAGGTTCGCTCAGCCCACTAAGGCCACTCGGTCCACTCATGCCGCTACGCGAACGCGGAGGGATGCTCGACGTATCATCGCCTTTTGTTGCAGTAGAGTTGGCAATAGAGTCTTGGCTTTTGTTGTTTTGGGTTGTCCATCGGGGAACGGACCGTTCTCTGGACGCAGTAGAGTCGAAACTTCCAGCGGGAGACCTAGTTTCATTCGGTGAAGGCCGGGCAAGAGGGGAAGGCCTGGGATATCGCGGGGCCTCTCCAAGAGCACTCTTGGAAGCGGCCGAGGATGTGGCGATAGCTTGTTGGCTAGTCGCCGGGTCAATCGTTTGCTGTCGAGGTGGAGTTCCGGCTGGGCGCTTGCCTGCTCCCAGAATTTGATCCAATTCCCTTTGATCGAACCCCGATAGCTCAGGCAATTTACCTCCTGTATATTTGCCATATATCTTGATTAAACTTGCGATGAAGAATTTCTTCTCCTTTTCGGTTTGAGCTTGCCAAAAATAGGGCTTTCCCAGTGTAACAAGGAATCCAGTCTCCCCAGCCCATTCTCGCAGGTTCGGGCTTACCTTGGGCCCTGTATAGGATTCGATATGTGAGAGGTCGTCCAGGTTCCATGTCTTGCCGATTGAGAAAGATCCACTATTGTTCTCTTTGGCTTTGTGGACTCGAACCCTTCCAGATTTTCGTACTGCCACGACAATAATCCTGGGCTTCTCGGTATTCTGACCCCGGGCTTCAGGAGGTGGTGGCATCGATGAATGCGAGGAGAACTCGGTGACGCGAATATGGGTAATATAAGTTTCATGAACTATGATAAAAGGTTAGTCAAAGTAGAATTGCTATAAGACACTTCATATTTGAGAGTCTTACGCAGGCCATCGGTATCCTTTTTGTTGAAACAGCTGTCAATGATTCGACGTTTCTCATCCTCGAATCGTTCCGCCCTGTTGGCGGCCGCGCTGGAGCCAGTTGCGCTTGAATAATCCATTTTGAAATACAGAAAAGAGACCACTAATAAGACCAATAGATTAGGTTAACAACTCAAACAAGCCGCCCGGCTCCAACATTGTGTGCAAGCAATGACGCGTGCAGGATCATGAGCAATGCTCCGAATACTGAAGCTGCAAGATCAATGTCACTCGCATTGGGGGTGTGGTGCCCCACAGTTATCCATATTCTACTTCACCCATAACATTATAAAGATACGCTAATTGAATATGATACAATTTTATTTCCAAAAAAAAAAATGCTTTTTAAATAGTTATTACGTATTATATATTACTAAGTCACGAGATATATGACATAAGTAAGATTGTATATATTTTGTTACTATTTTGCAATAAATACTATAACACGATATATATTATAATAATTATAAATTTTTATGGATTTATATATAGTAATTATAAAATACTAGATTATTTAGGAAATTTTCATAAGTTTAGCACTGTATTTGGTTTTGTCCCTCTTTAAATCTCTCAAGTATGGAAACTAGGCAGCTCGCCAGCCAATCAGAAAGCTCCATTATCAAATCCAATTCCGATTCAGAGTCTTGCCAGCGCTCTTGCTCTGTCATTCTGCCACCCTGCCAATCAATCGCAACGATACCATGCTGTCTACCCGAGCAACCTCCAGAAAGGCCGTCAGTCTCTCGCGAGGCGCCACGAGAGGCCTGGCCACTGTTCAGGATGCCCCCCCTGTGCGAACATATGGTGGGCTGAAGGACCAGGACCGGATTTTCCAGAACCTGTACGGGCGATACCCGGCCAACCTTCAGAGTGCTAAGAAAATGGGCGATTGGCATAAGACAAAGGAGATTCTGTTGAAAGGTGACGATTGGATTATTAACGAAATCAAGGCCTCCGGTTTGCGCGGGCGAGGTGGCGCGGGCTTCCCCTCTGGTCTCAAGTGGGTATGTCACGATCTTCGACCTCAATATCGACCTTGATGAGTCTCTAACCCCATAAACAGTCCTTCATGAACTTCAAGGGCTGGGAAAAGGACACGAAACCGCGGTACCTTGTGGTCAATGCCGACGAGGGCGAACCTGGCACCTGCAAGGACAGAGAAATCATGAGGAAGGACCCGCATAAACTCGTTGAAGGCTGCCTTGTTGCGGGCCGAGCAATGAATGCCACCGCCGCCTACATTTATATCCGTGGCGAATTCTACCACGAAGCGGCCGTTCTCCAAAATGCGATCAACGAGGCTTATGCAGATGGCTTGATTGGCAAGAATGCCTGTGGTTCCGGATACGATTTCGACGTCTACATTCACCGTGGTGCCGGTGCCTATGTCTGTGGAGAGGAGACATCCTTGATCGAGTCTATAGAAGGAAAGCCTGGAAAGCCTCGACTCAAGCCCCCTTTCCCTGCTGCGGTCGGTGTTTTTGGATGCCCTTCAACTGTCGCTAATGTGGAAACTGTTGCCGTTGCGCCAACTATTTGTCGCCGCGGAGGAAGCTGGTTCGCTGGGTTTGGCCGTGAGCGTAACCAAGGAACCAAGCTGTTCTGCATATCAGGTCATGTGAACAACCCTTGCACAGTTGAAGAAGAAATGTCCATTCCCCTTCGCGAGCTTATTGACAAACACTGCGGTGGCGTCCGAGGCGGTTGGGATAATCTGCTAGCCGTTATTCCTGGTGGTTCCTCAACTCCAATTTTGCCCAAGAATATCTGTGACGACCAATTGATGGATTTCGATGCCTTGAAAGATAGCCAATCGGGTCTGGGCACGGCAGCAGTCATCGTCATGGACAAGAGCGCGGATGTCGTACGTGCAATTAGCCGCCTGAGCCACTTCTACCGCCACGAGAGCTGCGGCCAGTGCACGCCATGCCGTGAAGGCAGCAAGTGGACGGAGCAGATAATGAGCAGGTTTGAGAAGGGACAGGGACGAGAGAGGGAAATCGACATGCTTCAGGAGTTGACAAAGCAGGTCGAAGGTCACACTATTTGCGGTAAGCGCCCCTCGACTTCCCACTGCGTATCTTTGATTCTAACATTCCCTAGCTCTCGGCGAAGCCTTTGCATGGCCAATCCAGGGCCTCATCCGCCATTTCAGACCTGAGCTAGAAGCCAGGATGGAGAGCTACGCCAAGGCCACAGGAGGTGCTGCTCTGGCTGGCGGGTGGCAACACGATTCAAGGGCCCATGGAAAACTGGTTTCTCCTGGTCAGTGATGATGATGGCTCTTACCTATATATAGATTATCTACTAGAGTGGTGTCGCCGACGGCTTAGCCCGCACGATAATCCACCTAGCTTGATATCGGGTCTTAATATGTATAAAAAAAATTATATTTGAAAGTAGATATAATTAAAACATGTCTCATTGTTGTACGTATGTTGGGTCTCAGCCCCCGTAGCAATCACAAATCTCATACTTATGTAACGGTATAGCCACCATCAACGCGAATATCAGCACCAGTTACATAACTGCTTGCATCAGAGAGTAGAAAAGCCACAGGGCCCATGAGGTCTTGGGGTAGGCCCATCTTGCCCTGAGGAATAAGTGATACCCATTTCTGTTTCAGCTCTGGATTCTCATCCAGGATTTTCTGGGTTCTAGATGGAAGTTCAGGTCAGCTAGCCAGTCTCACAGTACAATAAAAGGCACACTAGGTTGGATAACTCACAGCGCAGTCAGCATGTATCCTGGTGAAAGACAGTTAACTCGGATGCCAGCATGGGCCCACTCAACGGCAAGGGATGCTGCTAGATGGCGAACCCCGGCCTTGGAAGCGTTATAAGGACTAGTTCATACCCTTGTTAGCTGATCGAAGCTCTTTTCTCTCCTCATCATTGGTGAATGGGATCAGCATCACTTACGCTTGAGGCTGGGGGACGTTGACAATGGATCCCGACATGCTGCCAATCATGACCATGCTGCCAGGGCTCTTCCTCTCCATGAGGTGACGAGCAACCGAGGTAGCGAACAGATATGTGCCATCTACGTTGACAGCCCAAAGCTTTCGAAGGCGATCAATTGGGTAATTGACGGCCTCGAAATTTTCAGTGAAGCCCGCCGAAGTGACCAAGTTGTCTATCTTGCCGTGCTGCTGGATAATCTCAGCTATACACTTTTCGACAGAGTCGGCATCTGCTACATCGGCGTAATGCGCCGTGACTTTGGGAATGCTGAAGATCTATTAGACACGGCGTCTAAAGACACAAACCCGCATGGAGCACTAACCGTTGCGCATTGGGGTTCTCCTTGACGAAAGCATCTACAATCAACTTTGCCTGCTTCTCAGCCTCGTCCTCTGTTGCTACGTTAGCTGTCTGGGAGTAATGCGTTTAGCAGTGGCCTGGAATCTCACTGTTCATGTCGACCAAGGCCAGATCAGCCCCGGAATAGACCATGCCCTGGCCAATCACAAGCCCCAGTCCTCTTGCACCTCCAGTGACGACGCCAACCTTTCCGTCAAGGGTGAAGCTAGGGAGCGTAGGCTTGACATATTGGCCACCAGCACCAGAGACAGGCTTGCTGCTTGGAAGCTCATGCTCAGCGGGGTATTCAAACTCGACTTCAGAATCTGTTCGAGAGTGGCTTCCGGGCTTGTCCTGTCGTGGCGGCACACTATGGAGCTTTCTTGCTGCAGCCAATGGCAGGCGGCTGGCCGGTCTGAACGCAAAGGCTCGGCTCGCCAGCCGCAGCATGGACGCGGACGATTTCAGTGTCGCCACCATGTTTGTGGGGTTGGAGAAAGATGCTTCGAGAGCTCCAAGGTGGGAGAAAGGGATAATATATATATACGCTTACCTATGTATTACCTCCTATACCTGTATATCTCCCGATGTCGCTCTTACAGTGGCCAGTGGAGGCGGCTAAGAATTCCCCGTGGAAAATGCGGATTGCCACAGCGGTTGTGCTATAGACTGCTAGCAGTAGTGGTTGTGGAGGCAAGCTTTCTGCATTGCGACCCCAGTAGAACCTTACCTACCTATCAGCCATTTGGATCCTGTCCAAGATATTGTGTGTCTGTGCAGCTCTCTGATACGCTCCGCGTGAGGGGAGGGATAGCTTCCAACCTCACCTAGGATCGTATCTTCATGTAGGGCAGCCTTTGGTCTCTTGGTGATACTGATACGTACTGATACTCACTGCCCCCAGCTACCATTCCATCCTCTACTGAACGGCCAATGACCCTTCGTATATGGTTCGATTAGCTCGGGGTACCAGGTTCGAATTTTCCTGCTGGATTCCGGTCAAGAGCTTTCAGGCATCCTCCAATTTTAGGGTGGATAGATGGGTTAGCGTGACGCTCACCCAGGGAAACGAAGCCACTGGGACATCAGGCAGCAGAATAAAAATCACCCCTCAATGGCATGAGTTGGGAACTTGATGCTAAGCACTACCACCTAACCCCATGGGTATTATCGTGGAGGCACCATGCATCTCCTTTTCATATTAGTATTTTAATTTGTCTAATATATACATGGCTCTGGGTGCCTTATCTTGCAATACCTGTCTTTGGGTACAATTGGACGAGTCTAGTGATGTGGAATGGAGTGTGCCATCGTGAGCTTGGTGTCCAATTCTCTTCCCAAGCTCTTCGCCATGTCTAGAGTCCAACCGACTGCTACGTCCCAACCCACAAAGAGTCTGAGCCAAAGGTACCATGGCAAAGTCGTCAAGGAGGAAAATTCTAGTTGTTTAATGATCTGTACTCAATAAGGCTGGTATCTTATATCAAGAGGGCAACTCCTCCTAACTCCCGGGTCCCTGTTTACGCTATAGGGTAGCCCTTGGTAGTACTTTGCCGAGAGTTGCACCGAGAACTGCCAAGAATACTGTATAGGAGCGGCATTGTGAGGTGCTTGTGCCATCTATATCGCCAGCCATCACGTACGTCTTAGCCATCCGGTGCCCGTTAAGGTCCCTGTCGTGTGGTCTAAGCAGAAAAAAAGGTACGGGCTTTAGTACCTCTTCACAATGTGGTGCGGGGCATTTCTTGTGTGGTAACTGCGGGGCATTCTGAGCTAAAGCAGCAAGCAAGGTACACGGAAGAAATACTTGCTGGCTCACTATCGACATCGACTTGTCGAAAATTCGAATAGCCCGATGACTTGTCCACCACTACCTGCCAGGGTCGTGAATCGATATGTCTGAACATGCCCCCAGCAGCAACGCTGCCGAGGGCTCTATCGATCTGTCTCTATCTGCCCAAGCTCTAGCTTCGTCGTCCCCCGCGGTGCGCATCGCTGAGCTGCAGCTTGTGAGCGAGGCAGTGGCTCGGAAAAGTACCATCCCAACTTGCTTCAATTCGATACATCCCCGGTTAGCTGACCTCTGTCTTAGCATCTGACGACGAATTTGCCTCCAAAGCTCTGCAGCTCCTCTTCAACACCCATGCCGCTTACCAGGATCGCGAGTCTCGACTGGCGGCCCAAAAATGCCTGGTATCCATCGTCACGAGAGAGGCTAGCTCCTCAACACTGCAACTATTAGTGAAAACTCTACGACAGGAGTCCTCCAAGCAGGGCATTGCTACGTCCAGCGCCTTTGTATTGGTTGAGTGGTGTAGCGTTCTGCTTCAAAATCTAGCCGAATCTTCGTGGAAAGAATTCGGAAACGAAATTCTATTGGCATATGCAGATGTGCTGGAAAAGTGTCTACGACCGTCTTCAAAGCCTACGCTGGCACATTCCGCCACGATAGTCACTCGCAGAGCATTTCGAAAGCTTTTCAATTCGCCAACTCTGGGACCTCAAAATCTCAAAGATGCTGTGACGAATTTAACATCGAAACGCAGCGCGCCATCTGCGAAAAACTCTATTATTCTGGGAATCATTGCTGGAGTTGCTGTTCGCCGGCCTGCAGTACGACCTACGCTGGAATCTCTTAAGCCATTGTACTACGAATTCTACAATCGCGAGATTCTGGGCTCAAGGACTCCGCTGTCGGGACACATCTCTGCCGGTTTGGGCGATTTCTTTTCCGGCTTTGCAATACTTGATGAATTCCAGACTCAAATTGCTCCACCTCTGGAGAAAAGCTTGCTTCGCACGCCTGAAGTTATCTTGGACGGTGTTCTCCAGAGCCTAGTGAAAGATTTGCCTGCTGAAATCGATCTCTCGGACTTGTTGACCGGCAAGCTCTTGAAACAGCTACTTTCAAACGTCAAATCTACCAATGCTTTGATACGCGCAGGGGTCCTGTCTTCCTTCCGTGCTATTATTGCAAAATGCCACAACCCGGACTCAGTCGACCAAATCATCGAGGAGATCGGGAGCCCCTTGAAAGCGGGCAAGCTGGCCTCCGCTGATCAGCGCATTCTCCATGCAGAAATGCTGGAAGCAATTCCCCTGTCTTGTCCAAACGCTCAAAATATGACTACTATTTTGGCAACTGTTGCAGGCAAGGAAGGGAACGATGTAGCGTTGGCCGCCGAGACATTGACACTCTGTCGAGCTATCAATGTATTGATTAAGGGCAACAGCGAAATTTCGCAGCCTGCCCTAAGCGCATTGCTTAAAGGATTGGCAGATAAGAAAGCGACGACCCGCAAAATTTGGCTTCTTCGCGTAGGATCTATCTTCCAGGCCATAAATGGCGTGGACCTGAACGCTGCGTTGACCTCGTTCACGGAAGCGGTTATTCCAAAATTCATCGACAACTTCCATGAAGTTGTTGCCAACCCTACGCTAACTGCCCAGAACGGGACCATAGTTGGGGCGTATATTCTCACTGCTCTATCCCCTGTTATTCAACAATGGTCCACTGGCTCGAAGATTGGATCCGATCTGCTGAAGCTGTCGACCCCATCTCCTGCTCTTGCCTCGACACAGTCCTTTCTCTTGAACCCCAAAATCTTTAACAAGATTGGAAGTGAGGAAGACCTCCATTGGTTCCGTCTTGCTTTGTCTTCTGTTGCGGCGGGACTAAGCGCCAACACCGCGAAAGAGATCGTTCTTGCGTGGTCGGAGGCGATGATATATATAGTTACAGTCTCAACTGTGCCATCAAACGTGCGACAAGAAAGCGCCAAATCCCTCTCTACCCTCTATGCTCAGAACCCTAGTATGATAGCAGATATCATTATCAATGGCCTGTGGACGTATTTGACGCAGACCATCAATGTCGGGGACAAAGATTCGGCTATGGAGACGCGCGATTTGATTAAGGTTATAAAGTCGATTTGTATCAGCTCCAAAGAGTTGGAAGCCCTCGGGGGTAGCACCTCACAAGAGATGTTGGAGCAGCAAGCTTGTTCCTTACTTATTATCTGCCGTACAGAGCTGATACCCCGAGCCAATTGGATAGACTCTTGTATTCGAATGGGAGTCGACCCTGGAAAACTTGCAACAAAGTATGCCGATACATTACTCAATGAGATCAGCGAGCGTACGTCTGTAAATCAAAAGGTATGAATGTTTTCCATCTCAACAGCGGAACCGCAGCTGATAAAGAACTTTATAGGTTGATGTCATTCGGACTGCTGCATACAATGCAGCAGCAGAGCTGGCCTTTGTTGCTCCAGAAACTATTATTCCTCGACTAAAAGATCTTATATCCCAAGATCTAGATCCACAGCCGGTGAAAGCAATTGGGCCAGTCGACGCCGCTATTTTTAGGACTCAAGAAGGAACCTGCTTCGTGGATGTACTAAGCAAAAAGGGCCAAAATGACGCTCCAAATAAGAATACCAAAGATTACGACATCGTGAAATGGGAGAAGGAACTGAGAGATCAACTTGAGAAAAAGAAGGGCCCACAACGGAAACTCACGGCCGAGGAAACGTCTAAAGTGAATGCCCAGTTGAAGAAGGAAGCTCAGATACGGGCATCAGTTCAAGCGATCGAAGCCAAACTTCTCCGCAGCATCGGGATTATACACTCCCTGGCAGTGGGACCACCCACGGATGCGACACTCTGGCTGGGCTCCGCCATCAATTCACTTCTTGCTGTTATGGAAGCTGGCGCAAATCTCATTATAGGCGATGCTGCCTCCAAAGTCTACATCACCTGTGCCGAGAAAGTGAGTTCTAGGCTAGGGTCAACTCGCCCTGCTATTGGAATTGCTACGCTCAGGCTCCGAGACCTATCTTTAGAGGGCACCTATGGGGACGAACCACTCGCCGATCTTGCGACAAGGGTGCTATATCGTCTCCGGTTTGCTGGTGAGCAACGACCGTTTGATGCGGTGTCATTAATATACATCTTCCCACTCCTCTTTTATATTTTGAGAGAGGGAGGTGTTGGAGAGACCGTAGACGATCGGGATACCCAAATTGTACTGGCCGTGGAGTTTATCTCATTTCACAGTATTGTATTTTCTGATGAATCAATACCGCGCACAGAGCTCCTGGCTGTCCTTATCCATTCAATGCAAAGCCATGCTCAACACTACAAAATCATCAAAGATTGCTTTGCTGACATCTGCCGATGCATCGCACCTAACATCACTGCTGATGAGATGCTGGTCCTTTCTCAGGGGGTCATAGTACCACAGGCTAACGTCAGAACCGCTGTTTTGCAGTCTATTAGTGCAGACATTGATATGAGCGAACTCGGCTACAGCAGCGAGATTTGGCTGGCATGTCATGAAGACATAGAAGAAAACCAAGAGCTTGGAATGGAGATATGGGAAGAAAGCGGGTTTAAGCTTAGTGCTGAGGTCCCCATGCTGATGGTACCGTTCTTGAAGAGCAAAGATGGACAACTCCGTCGGGCTGCGGCACGCTCACTTTCGAAGGCTGCGGAAGTTGACAAGGAATCTCTCCTTACCGTGATCCCAACATTGCAGTCTATCTATTTGGAGATGGCGAAGCCAAAGGTCCAACTTCTTGATGAATTTGGGATGCCAAAGAAAATGGACTTGTCTGACCCATGGGAGGCGAGGCATGGTATAGCAACCGCTATCAAGGAACTGGCCAATGTCCTAGATTCTACACAAGTTAGTCCTTTACTCGACTTCCTGATTCAGTCTGGACCTCTGGCAGACAAAAACGCCTCAGTTCGAACAGAAACACTTGATGCTGCTATCCGGGTCATCGAATTCCAAGGAAGTGGCATAATTGATGAGCTGATGAAGAAATTCGAAACCACCCTGGAGCAGCCTGACAAGAATAGCGATGAAGTGGACCGTGTCAACGAGGCAGTGGTTATTATGTATGGTGCTTTGGCTCGCCATCTCCACCCCGGGGACAAAAAGATTCCCGTTGTGATTGAGCGTCTCTTGGCAACCTTGAATACGCCGTCTGAGATGGTCCAATATGCCATTGCCGAATGCTTACCCCCTCTGATCAAGGCCTATCCGTCAAAGCTGTCCGAATATATACAGCAAATGATGAACGAGCTTCTGAATTCCAAGAAGTATGCCACCCAACGAGGAGCCGCCTACGGTCTGGCAGGGTTGATCCTTGGTAGTGGCATATCTACTATCAAGGAACTTCGAATCATGTCAGATCTTAGGGGAGCCATGGAAAATAAGAAGGATTCGCATCAACGAGAGGCTGCTCTTTTGGCGTTTGAACTGTTATCTACCATGTTGGGCCGCCTTTTTGAACCATATGTGATTCAAATAGTGCCATTGCTCCTGAGCGGATTCGGAGATGCCAATGCAGATGTCCGAGATGCTTGCTTGGCAGCCGCAAAAGCTTGCTTTGGTAAGCTGAGCTCATATGGTGTCAAGAAGATCATGCCAACGCTTTTGGAGGGACTTGATGACCAACAATGGCGTAGCAAGCGAGGTGCTTGCGATCTTCTCGGTGCAATGGCATATCTTGATCCCAACCAACTCGCGACGAGTTTACCGGATATCATTCCTCCCTTAACCGGTGTGCTTAACGATAGTCACAAGGAAGTGAGGGCGGCCGCCAACCGAAGCTTGAAGAGATTTGGCGATGTCATTAATAACCCAGAAGTAAAGAGTTTGGTGGACGTGATTCTGAAGGCTCTCAGCGACCCAACCAAATACACCGATGAGGCATTGGAATCACTGATCAAGGTCCAGTTTGTGCATTACCTTGACGCCCCCTCTCTGGCTTTGATTACACGCATCCTACAACGCGGCCTAGGCGATCGTTCCAACACCAAACGCAAGGCAGCACAGGTGATTGGCAGTCTAGCCCATCTGACGGAGAAAAAGGATATTGTCATGCACTTACCGGTCCTCGTTTCTGGGCTTAAGATTGCGGCCGTTGACCCGGTACCAACTACTCGAGCGACGGCATCTAGAGCTCTCGGCTCTTTAGTTGAAAAGCTGGGAGAGGACGCATTACCCAACCTGATTCCCGAATTGATGCAGACTTTGAAATCCGATACTGGCGCTGGTGACCGTCTGGGATCTGCACAGGCTTTGAGCGAAGTCCTAGCCGGTTTGGGCACGAGCAGACTTGAGGAAACTTTGCCAACCATTCTTCAGAATGTAGAGTCCTCTAAGCCTGCAGTCCGCGAAGGTTTTATGTCTCTCTTTATTTTCCTCCCGGTTTGTTTTGGTAATAGCTTTTCCGCATATCTGGGTCGTATAGTCCCTCCTATTCTTGCTGGTCTGGCAGATGACGTGGAATCTATTCGCGAAACCGCTCTTCGCGCTGGACGACTGCTTGTGAAGAATTTTGCAATTCGAGCTGTAGATCTTCTTCTACCAGAATTGGAGCGAGGACTGGCAGATGACAGCTACAGAATTCGTCTTAGCTCTGTTGAACTTGTTGGAGATCTTCTCTTCAACCTCACAGGTGTGAAAGCTGGTGCTGAGCCAGGAGATGAGGAAGATGAGAATGCTAAAGAAGCAAGTGCTTCCTTGAAGGAAGTACTTGGGGAAGAGAAACGAAACAAAATTTTGTCAACTCTTTATATCTGTCGATGCGACACTGCTGGAGCGGTTCGTTCCGCCGCCATTTCGGTGTGGAAAGCTCTGGTCCACAGTCCCAGAACATTGAAGGAACTGGTGCCAACTCTCACAAGTCTTTTGATTAAGCGACTTGGAAGCTCGAACATGGAGCATAAAGTCATTGCTAGCAACGCGCTTGGTGAGCTGATCCGGAAAGCTGGCGACGGTGTCCTTGCTACTCTCCTGCCCACTCTAGAGATGGGATTACAAACTTCAACGGATACGGATGCAAAGCAGGGTATATGTCTTGCTTTACGCGAGCTTATTTCATCTGCGTCACCAGAGTCTCTTGAGGATCATGACAAGACGCTCATTTCTGTTGTCCGCACTGCACTCATAGACTCAGATGCGGAGGTTAGAGAGGCTGCCGCCGAGGCTTTTGACTCCCTTCAACAGATATTCGGCAAACGGGCAGTTGACCAAGTTCTTCCGTTCCTACTTAATCTCTTGCGATCCGAGAATGAAGCAGAGAATGCTCTATCGGCACTTCTCACACTGTTAACTGAGGCTACCCGGTCCAACATCATTTTACCCAATCTCATCCCGACTCTTACAACTCCGCCGATATCAGCGTTCGATGCAAAGGCCTTGGCTTCCTTGTCTAAGGTTGCTGGCGCATCTATGAACCGTCGTCTCCCCAACATCATTCAGTCATTGATGGAGAATGAGATCAATTGTAGCGACGACGATTTACGTGAGGAGCTGGCGACATCATTCGACACAGTGATTCAGTCAATTGACGAGTACGATGGCCTCAATACTGTGATGAATGTTCTTCTCAGCCTCCTTAAGCATGAAGATCACCGGCGGAGGGCCGCCACAGCTCGACACATGGGTAATTTCTTCTCTGTGTCGAGTGTAGACTACTCTCGATATAACCAGGATATCATTCGATCGTTGTTAAACTCGTTTGATGACGGAGACGCGGATGTCGTGAAGGCTGCTTGGGCTGCTCTCACCGAATTCACGAAGAAGCTTAAAAAGGAAGAAATGGAATCACTCGTTTTGTCGACTCGGCAAACACTTCAGCGCGTTGGTGTTGCAGGTGCTAATTTGCGGGGATTCGAGCTTCCCAAGGGAATCAGTGCCGTATTACCAATCTTCCTACAGGGCCTCATCAACGGAACTGTCGAGCAAAGAGTGCAAGCGGCACTTGGTATATCCGATATCGTAGACCGTACAAGCGAAGCATCGCTAAAACCATTTGTCACTCAAATTACAGGACCGCTTATTCGTGTGGTATCAGAACGTGCTACAGACGTTAAGTCGGCTATTTTGCTCACTCTCAACAACTTGCTCGAGAAGATGCCTACGGCCCTCAAACCTTTCTTACCACAGCTCCAGCGCACTTTTGCCAAATCTTTAGCGGATACATCTAGTGAAGTTTTGAGGACCAGAGCTGCAAAGGCTTTGGGGACTTTGATCAACTACACGCCTCGAATCGATCCGTTGGTAACCGAGTTAGTTACGGGAGCAAGAACTACTGACCCAGGTGTGAGGACGGCCATGTTCAAAGCCTTGTATGAAGTTGTCAGCAGAGCTGGCGCAAACATGGGCGAATCCTCCAGATCTGCTGTCCTGTCGTTGATTGACTCGGATGCTGATGAGAGAGACGAGGCCATGGTAGTAACCAACGCAAAGCTTCTCGGTGCCCTGATTAAGAATGTGACCGAGGATGTTGCCACAAGCCTGCTCCGGAACAGAGTCATTACTCCCCAGTCAAGTCACTCATCTACCTTGGCTTTGAACTCGGTATTGGTTGAATCGCCGAGTATCTTGCAATCAAGCGGTATAATTGATGAGTTGCCAAGCTTGCTCTGTGGGGGAATGAATGATAAGAGAGTAAGTTTGCCTCCAACCCCCCTTTCATTACCCTTAATCTCATAACATTTGTGCAGACGTATATTGCGGACAACTTCATTCTAGCTACAGGCAAACTTCTACTTTCATCACCTCCCAAGTCATTCGATGACATCAAGCAGATATTCGATGCACTGGCAGTTGTCATTCAACCTGGAAATGCCCCGGACTCGCGACGGCTGGCGCTGGTGATCATTCGTACATTGAGCAGGAAAAACGCCGATTTAGTGCGGCCTCACGTATCATTGTTAGCACCGCCAATTTTCGCGAGTGTCAGGGACCCAGTGATACCCGTGAAGCTATCTGCTGAAGCAGCATTCATTGAGTTGTTCAGCGTCGCGGATGAAGAAAGTCGGATATTTGACAAGTATATGGCAGGACCGGGCAACGATCTACCCCCGAATGTCAAGAGAAGCATGAGCGACTACTTCAAACGAGTTGCCATGAGACTAGGCGTCCAGGCTAGAGAGCGGAGGGAGGCTGAAGGTGGACAAGGAAGCTTGGGCTTGTCGAATGATGAAGTTGAAGATGAGCGAGAGATATGGAGCGTGGGGAAAGTGGAAATTGATGGAGAGACTTTTGTATGAGCAGAAACATGCAAAAATAGGCCATCTATTGCCGTAATAGTAAAAAATTAAAGGAACAATTGAGATGACGTGAATTAGCTGCACATTGCATTTTGCATTCTGATCTTGTATTAAGTGAAAATTTGGAGTGGGCAGAATAGTTGGGCTATTCCTGGCTTAATAAGGGCTTATTTGTAAACTGCTCAAGTACAGAAACAGCGTATTTTGGTCCAGACCACTACAGTCCTCTTCATATCCAACCATGTATAGTCGAGTATGAGGAGAGGCTTGGCGATTGTGATATTTCATATCTACAATTCAAACTTAGGGCGGGAACGTCGAGATTACGTCAGACTTGTCCCTCCAGTCACGTGATGCGATTCATGCAAGTGTCAGGCTAGTACTCATCAGAGCCCTCGCTTAGCCCACTCTTTGAAAGTGTGCTAAATTCCGGGCCTAGTGCACGTGAACCCACAAACTTTGAGCAGAACTGCTACGAGCCTCCGGAAATTCTGGCCTCGTAAACCCTCCCCCCAAACTTCATCCAACCTCATCGCCATCGAGGGCCGGCCATCAATACCGAAATTATTCAAGATGTAAGCCTACATTCTATTGTCGCTGGATGGACAGCAACTGGGCGATGAAGACGCCAGTCCTCGATTGAGCTCAAATCGTTTGGGGAGCAAGAGATGTGGTGCTGACACAAGTTTTTCTTCTTTGCGATTTAGGGTCAACCTGCGAACTCAGAAGCGCCTTGCCGCGTCGGTCATTGGCTGCGGCAAGCGCAAGATTTGGCTTGATCCTAGCGAGCAGAGCGAGATCTCAAATGCCAACTCTCGCCAGACCATCCGAAAGCTCGTCGCCGATGGCCTCATTATCCGAAAGCCGGTGACGATGCACTCGCGATCCCGAGCCCGCGAGCTTAACCTCTCCCGAAGAGAAGGCCGACACCGTGGATTCGGTAAGAGAAAGGGTACTGCCGACGCTCGTATGCCCACTCAGGTCCTCTGGATGCGCCGCCTTCGAGTCCTCCGACGCCTTCTGGTCAAGTACCGTGCCAGCGGCAAGATCGACAAGCACCTCTACCACGAGCTCTACCACCTGAGCAAGGGTAACACATTCAAGCACAAGCGTGCTCTGGTGGAGCACGTACGTTTATTCCTCTCTTATCAAGCCTGGGCCTTTTGAGAGAAAGCTGTACTAACAATACTTTCCCTTCTTAGATCCACCGTGCCAAGGCCGAGAAGCAGCGTGAGAAGGCCCTGAAGGATGAGATGGACGCCAAGCGTGCGAAGACCAAGGCTGCCCGTGAGCGCAAGTTGGAGAGAGTGGCGGCGAAGCGAAACGCTCTGCTGGCGGATGACGAGTAAAACCATTTTGAAGGACATTCTCGGTCTGAGGGGCTGCATTTGGAGTCTACGGGTTGGGTTTTTTTTCTACGCCCTTCTGGTTTCTACAGTCGTACCGGTGGGTTTGTGGCATGTAGCATTGAAAAAAAATGAAATGGTAAATGCTCGAGGTAATTCATTCGTTCATCTGTGTTGCACCATATCGAGCATGGCCAAATTTCGTGCCTGTGATAGCATAGGCAGGTATGACTTGACGACTCTTGGGTGACACTTAGACAGGAGTGATTTGAGATATGGAATGGATGCATAGTTTCTTATGAAGATAACCGTACGATTTAGCAGCGGGTGAAACGCAGCTTGTGAATGTAAAAGGGAGATGGAAAATCACAGCATCCCAACAACCATCTGATATCTAGGTCCGAGTCCGAGTGCCGTTTCGTAGCGGGGTATCAATTCTTGGCTGATTCAGGGTCCTCCAAATGGCCCCGTTCAAGATAAGGTGGTGAAGAGCGGCAGAGCACTTCGGCATGCTCCCGTGAAGCGAGAGCGGGATTCGAATGAGCAAAAGCCAACAGTCTCATTTCCCCCGAAAAGAGAGTACTACTATGTACAGGCATGATGCGTGGACCTGATGGGGAGCTGTGGGGAGGCGGGAAAAGGATAAGCCGACGTGAATCGAAAGTTGAGCAAGCTTGGTGGTTGGGTGGTAAAGTATACTGTATCGTATATGCTGCAGCTTCGATCCTCTGAACCAGCGGTTGAACTTTGTGACCGCTTTGGCCCAAAATCCACTCAGCAGATGAGAATTGAAGACATCCAGCCTCGATTTTTCATATTTTCTACGTAAAGGAGTTGTGTGTTATGTAATGCATTCCACTATGCCACAGAAACTATTTGTAACGGTGCACGATCCTGCTGGAGTAGTGCCCGGGCTCGTATGCGGGGGATGGATGGGACGAGACTTTTTGGAGGCGGATAGCCACGGTCAGGCTACGCAGCGCCGCTTTTGAGTCGCGCCGATCGGAACTGCGTGAGCGGCAAGCATCGCCGACATATTCCACGTTTTTTAATCTGTAATAACAGCCTCGCAGACGCAACTTCTTGCTCGTCTCGTCCCGTTCCGTCTCTTGTTGTTTCTTCTCTCCCCCCTTCTCAATTGAAGGCTGGTCCATTTATCCATCGCCATCATGGCAGCCTCTTATCTGCGAAGCACGACGATTCCTCTCAGCGGCCTGAAGCGATTAGCAGTGCGACCATCTGTGGCCACAACATGCCTCGTTGCTCGACGAACAAAGGCCTCGCTCGCCCAGGATGGCCAGCAACAGGTTGGCGAGGATTCAATTGGCGGTGACAGGCGCTTAGTGCTAACTGGAACCGACAGCTTCTTGCGGCGCATCTTGAGAAAGCCGACCCGGCGGTTTTTGACATCATTGAGCGAGTCCGTATCCCTGATTAGACTTGAAAACACACAGCAATTGTTGCGCATACTGAACCTTGGAGCAGGAGAAAAACAGACAGAAGCACTTCATCAACCTCATTCCGTCAGAAAACTTCACTTCCCAAGCTGTGCTAGATGCTCTGGGGAGTGTCATGCAGAGTAAGTCGCCGAATCTCTCCCTCTCCTTCTCCCTCGAATGACCACTCAAAGCGCGAGGCTAACAAATATTTCCTGCAGACAAGTACTCTGAGGGCTATCCTGGCGCCCGCTATTACGGTGGCAACGAGTTCATCGACCAGTCCGAGAGACTTTGCCAGCAGCGAGCTCTGGAAGCATTCGGCCTGGATTCCAAGTCTTGGGGAGTCAATGTCCAAGGCAGGTTTAACCCTGATATCCCAAAATATCTCGTCTTAGCAATCGATCTAACGATTCCCCGTCTTCAGCTCTTTCTGGTGCCCCGGCCAACCTCTATGTGTACTCAGCACTTATGGATACGCATGATCGACTGATGGGCCTCGATTTGCCTCACGGTGGACATCTTTCTCACGGCTATCAGACACCAACTAAGAAAATATCCGCAGTGTCCAAATACTTTGAGACTCTACCTTATCAACTAGATGAGCGTACCGGCTACATCGATTACGATAACCTTGAAAAAATGGCCACTATCTACCGACCCAAGATCATCGTTGCCGGAACCAGCGCCTACAGCCGCTTGATTGATTACAAGCGCATCCGGGACATTTGCGACAAGGTCAACGCTTACATGGTGGCAGACATGGCGCATATCTCTGGTCTTGTCGCCGCCAAGGTGTTGCCTGGCCCCTTCCCCTTTGCTGATATCGTCACTACCACCAGCCACAAGAGTCTTCGAGGCCCCCGAGGAGCACTGATCTTCTTCCGCAAGGGCGTACGAAGGCAGAACCCAAAGACAAAGGAGGATGAAATGTACAATCTTGAGGGCCCAATCAACAACTCCGTGTTTCCGGGTCACCAGGGCGGTCCCCACAACCATACCATCACAGCTCTTGCCGTGGCATTGAAGCAGACCCAGACCACCGAATTCCACGCATACCAGTCCCAAGTGTTGGCAAATGCTAAAGCTTTTGCTAAGCGCCTCGGAGATGAGAAGGGTAAGGGCGGTCTTGGATATAGCCTTGTCAGTGGCGGTACCGATAACCACCTGGTTCTTGTTGATCTCAAACCCCACGGCATCGACGGCAGCAGGGTAGAGCGTGTTTTGGAACTGGTTGGCGTTGCCGCAAACAAGAATACCGTGCCAGGTGATCGATCAGCTCTGGTGCCTGGCGGTCTTCGGATGGGTACGCCCGCCATGACCACTCGCGGATTCCACGAGGATGACTTTGTACGAGTGGCCGATGTTGTTGACCGAGCCGTCACCATCGCGACTCGTATCAACAAGACAGTCAGAGCGGCAGCAGAGGAGCGAGGCGAAAAGTCGCCTGGTAAACTCAAGCTTTTCGTAGATCATCTTGGCAACGGGGACAGGGATCCAGAGATTGTGCAGCTGAGGAGCGAAGTTGCGGACTGGGTAGGCACGTATCCTCTCCCCTGGGACTCAGCTGAGTAGATGTAATACCAAATGGTAAATTCCTCTCTGAAGCTATATTTTCAAAAGTACTATTTCGGAGACTTGCATCTCTTATTATGGGTATACAGGCTATGAGTCGATCATTCACATGTCGCTCTTACTTGTTGTTAAACAGTAAACACTAAGGATTGCTTTGTGGAGCTACAAAAGGCATTTATAGGTAGAGACAGTGTATAAATAGGGGTGGAAAGGAGGAGGGGGAAAAGCTGGAGCGCATTGAATCCAAACGTTACCATTCGACCATTCAACAAGGTCAGGCAAAAGAAAAGGCCCAAACTACTGGGTATTCAGGAAACAAAATATCAACATACTGGGAAGCACAGAAAATATGCCTTCTCCTTGCAGGCCCAGGAAATTATCGATTTCCCACAGCCGTGGCAACAATATCCAACCGTCGAACAGTTTCATAATATGTTCGTAATCCATCTAGACCCTTGAATGCTACATCTAGGCCATATTCTTCTACGATGGAGTACAAGACGGGCCATACGACAAAGTCGGGAAGGGTCAATTTGTCTCCACAAAGATATGGAGGACGTTTGTGTTTCAAGTTGTCAGCGATGTAGTCGTCCCAAACACCAAGCTCCTGCTTCAACTTCCCAGGCAATGCTCGACTATCGGGATCCCCATCGCTCTTCAGTTGCCGCCAGGTGTATAATAGGTTCAGCCCTTGCTGCATCTGGCTGAATAGCCTCGCAAGCTTTTCTGGACCGTGAGCAGCGGATTCTGCATCGGTAGCGGAGCCGGGCCCGTAGCGGGAGTGCAGATAGAGCATGATTGCAATGTCACCCTGAACAACGGACCTAGCAGCATCGTTGTCAACGAATTTTACAGGCGGAGACCAGAACGCTGGCAGGTTGGTTTGATCGCCGCTGCGGAGATCGTTGCCAGAAGCCATGCTGCCCTTGGCAAACTTAATACCAAGCTCGGCCAACATGAGCGCAATGCGCATGTTGATTACAGGATCCTCAGAGGCAAAGAATCTTGGAGAGTTGCTGATATGCAACACGTCGAAGCCGCGGCCGTAATGCGCCTGCCAGTCAAAATCCGACGAATGGTTTTCCATACCGAACGCCTGAATCATCTTCACAGCATCAGGGCTCTGGCCATTGTTTATCGCATGTGCAGAGGCGCGAGTCTTGCCAGTTGCCCCCTGGCCCCAGATAATAATCTCATCACGATCGAGGAATGTGCCGATATGCCTGAACGTGAGAGATATACGACGGCCTGAATAAGCCAGCTCGGCAGGTGACCTATCACGGTCTGCTCGCTTGTCTCGTCGGATGGCATGCAGCCATTTCATATTTGTCTGCAAGCCCATCCTGAAGAGTGAATTGTGCGAGAGTTTAGCACGTTCGATTTTTCGCTTTCCATCATTGGACGCCTCTTCAGAAAGATCCTTTTCCAGCTTCTTAGTTCTAAGAGTCATGGTTCTTTCCGCCCCAAGACTGACGTTGGCAATGTATGACCCCTTGACAATATCCAGGGTTTTATCGCTATGCTCGGAAATATAGTCATTTCCATCGCGATAAAACTGAATGAGGACATGGTTCAGGGGGTGGCCGAGATGCTTCTCTATTTCGGCTTTGATGGCTTTGACGGTTGGAGAGAATGGAAGCAGTGGTGGAGATTCATCAGCGGGATGACGATAGACTGGCATGGTGCCATCTTCGCCCACCTCGCCTTGAACAGCGACAAGTCGGGGAACCTCACCGCCCTGGTGTGACATCCTTTGCCATTGTACCTCCTTTTCAAGCTTTTCAAAAGCTTCATCCGCTAAACTACTTGGCAGCGCATTGAGAATGACATCGGCATCGCCCTCACAAAGCTTTTGTTTGGGGGAGGAATCGCTTTTGCTTTCGTAATCAGCAAGCGTGGTAGCTGGTTTAGCATGTTCCGCCGTGCCACCCTCAGTTGTCGCTTGGCGTTCCATATCTGTCTTCTTCGTTTGCACGTTATCCTTCTCGGGATTTTGAGATTGCGTCTTAGAGGTGGGCTTCGGATTTGGTTCATTCACAGTGGTAGCAGGGCCAGGTGAGCTGGGATCGAGCTTGAGTTCCAGAAGCGACTGTACAATATCCTTATCACTACTGGCACCAGCCGCTTTTGCTCGCGGAGCGGATGGCGTATTTGGTGCTTTCTTGGAGGCTCCAATCACCGACGGAGTTGAAGGTAAAGTACTGAGAACCTCTTTCGAGGATAAAATCTCACAACCGGTCAGTTCGACGAGGCTTTTTATAGCCGCTGCCCGCCTAGATTCATGACGATAGCCACAACAGTCTTCTATGACCGTAATAGCCATCCCATGACCTGCGGCGTCCATGGCGGTGGCGTAGACGCCAATATTGGCCAGGGAGCCACAGATAAAAACTTCCATGACCATCTTGCCCTGTAATGCGCGTAGTAATTGCGTGCCATGAAACGCGGAGTAATATGACTTTGTCAATTTCATATCACTCTTTTGGACGGCCTCCGCAACGGCTAGAGGCATGCTGCACCCTGCGTGCGAAGGCTTCACACAAAGAGGCTCCCCATGACTCAGAAAGGCCTCATGATCCAGTGAGTCATCAGTAGAAGCCTCAGCTGTGACGTTTTTCCTGCGGCTTTGGGCAGGTCCGGGCCGCAATACAGGTCCCTTCTCAGATAACACTATCTGGTCGCTCTCAACTGAACGGGCTTTGTCGAACTGGGACTGAATCCAGATGACATCTCCCACCGAGCGAAAAGCGGTTGCAATCTTGGTTGCGCGATCGACAAATCCTTTTGGATGGGTGACAGGCAGCCCGCCATCAACAGGATCAAGGAAGTCGTTTTGAAAGTCAACCAGGATGAGAGCCTTACGGGTTGTGAGTTGGGGTAGTGCGGCTTGGTCGAAGGCAAACATTGTATCCAGCTGATGAACGAGTCTAGCGATGAAGCATATCAGGGGGATACGAATAGGCAGGCAGCAAGGCGGAAATAAGACGCCTCCTTTACTCGAGCAAGATCTGCCTTCAGAGGTTGGTCCGGCAAGTACTGGTAAAGAACGGGCTGTTCAGCTGAACCTTTGACGTATGAACGATGCTCTGAGCACTTTGAAGCGCCGCTCATTGATCAACAAAGCCCAACGCTGGCGGTTTGAGATAGGAGAGCAAAATGACGGCGCGGTCAGCCAGCTGAATCAAAACGTGATATGGCCAAAATTACCAAATATACCTGGGCGTCATGACCAACTGACAAGGAGGCGCAGGTGTCCAAGTATTGGCTAGGTAGGTTCGCTAGTCGACACAATTTAGTGTAGCGCCAAGTACTAGGTAGGCGTTGACAGGGAGTTTTAACACAGCCGAGATGCCATTTAAGCGCGTTGACACAATGCTTGATTCTGCGGTAAGGAATACAAATCATAACTCGATGTGGAAGTGCCGGAGCGATCATGGTGAGGTGTGCTGGGGATGAGCGCATCCGGCATTTGCTCCTTGACCTCTTTATCCGTATCCCAAGCAATTATGCATGCCAGGTACGAAAGGCCATACAACGCTGTCACATGCGACTCCACACTGTTGGTGGCTAAAAATAGCTAAATGTTGTATTCTGGTGTCATTTTTAAAGAATAAGTTTAAGAAAATTATAAAGTTTTTTTTTACATCGTATATATCAACATTACACCTCATTATCTATATACATTTACACATAGATGTAAATTACATAAAACTAAAAAAATCTAGTGCTTTTCATGGGAAGATATTTATCTCCAATAACCATGATAAACTACGTCAGAATGCTTACATAATAAATTGAACATTATCGACTTATTACCGGGTAACCATAATAAAACAAACGCAGGATCATTATTGATGCATCACTGTTGCATACATACGGAGCGAGAGGAGTGAGAGTACTCATTTGCCCTTCGAATACCCCTGCCTTTCGAGCATGTGTTTATCCACAGGCACCTGTTGATACCGATTTCCCCCCCTCCAATCGCCGACGACTCTTCCCAGGCCACCTCATGGCTGGCGCAAAGAAGAAGAAGAAGCCGGCTGCCAATCCGGCGCGAGGCTTTGCGACGACCTCTGTTGCGTCCAAGCCTCGCCTGGAAATAGTAGAGCCAGCAGGATCTCCGTCCTCTTCGGGTGTCAATACTCCCAAAACTGCTCCTCCAGCTGGATCAGAAGCTACCCCGCCACCATCGAAGCAAACCGAACAGAGTGGCGAGCAAACGACAACCAAGGAAGTCGTCCTGAGCCCCGAAGAGTTTGAACGACAGCTCGAAGAATCCGAATTACAGCTGTTTGTAGAAAAGTACTCTCAGAAAGTCAAGCGAGATGCTCAACGCCAGTGCTCCCGATTGGAGACCGATCGACGCCTGCTTCGCAGCCAGGCTGAAAATATCAACACGCAAAAATGGCTGCCTCGGGAATTGATGGATCATATCCTCGACCTAATCAAGGCGGAAAGTCGGTTCTATGCATCAAGCCTGTCCTCTGAAAATGCTGGACCTGGGAAGATGCCATCCGAAGAAGATCTGGTGTCACGCATCTGGACTTTGCAACAGACTCTCTCGGGGGCTGCCTTTTCTGATAATATCGTCGAAAGCGCTATACAGCATATCTTGGATATCACACCAAACATATCAGCTGCTCCTCGAGACTATATATGGGGTCTAGAAGAAGCTCTCGAATGGCTCGCTCGTGAATCTCCGCTTGAAGATCTCCCTACGTACAGAAATAGGACCAAAACAGTTCCCAAAGGTCAGTATCCCATAGTCGATTCCAAGGTGGATCATCGCCTCATCATTCTCTGACGTATTCTTTTAGACGCTGCTGATGGTGCATCCGGCCCTCCATCTCGCACGAGTACTCCCAAATTAAACGCAACTCAAGCCAGCCGCACTGAGAAAAGCAACGCACCGAATAGCCGCCCTGGCAAGGCCCGGGCGTCTCCAATTGCTACATTCGATGGTGAAATTGAACCAGAGGATTTGATACCGGAATACATTGCCACAAAGGCAAAATTACTCGAGTTAGGCCATCTAGAAAAAGGAGCGCAATCTAAATCCACCAAGCAGCAGACAAAGGAAAACGAGACGGACATGGCAGCAGTGGCTTACCTGGAATCGAAACTTAAAACTATAGAATCTGATGTTCTGTTTGACAAATTCTTGGCAGAGCAACAATGGAAGAAAGAGAAAGTCGTTCTGGAAAAGCAACTCGCTTTAGCTAGGAAGAATGCTGCCACTGACTCAAACGACCAGCCGCAACCTGAAGACCCCACACCCACGTCAGAAATGGACGACGATATCACTGCTATAGCTGAGAAGATGGCTAAGGATATCCTCGCCGAGGGAAATGATGACGACGACATCGTGGGTCTATTCGAATCCCTCCCACAGAGCGAGGTCGACCCGACCACTGGGAAGCTCCAGACCGTAGTCAACTCTTCGGATGGAGTACGGCTTGTTATTCGAGAATTTGCCAAGTGGACGGGAGTCAGCCCGAAACGAATCTTGGAGGAAGCCTGCCGTTCTAGGCAAGTTGAAACACCATGTCCATCACTACTCGCAGTACTAACATTGACCAGAGACCCTTCTGTCAACATCAAGTATACAGTTATTTCCGAGGCTTCGTTTGCTAATCGTCATTCAGTGGACATTTCGTGGTCAAAGCCGCAGGACCCTGCCCAGATTGTGGCCAGCGCGGATGTTGAAGCAGTGGTTGATCCTTCTCACTTCAGGTTTACTATGACCAAAGTTGCTACACCAGACACGAAGCAATCAGAGGCCTATGTTGCCACAGCAGCGCTGTTCCACATATTTAATGGCAATCCCAAGGAAGAAAAAGTGAATCTCAGACTTCCGACTGTCTGGCGAGACTTTTGGTCTGAGATGGCCGAAGCTAAAAAAGGCCATTTTGATGCGCAGGATCGATTAGCTGTGAAACAACTCAAGGCTCTTGTCCGTCAAAGGCATGATCAGGAACTTGAGGATGGTGTTGTTCTACAGGGGGCGTTCCGGGGTCGCAATAATGCCAAGGCTTCACCAGAAACTGCTGAATCAGGACATGTCGAGCGATCAAAGCACATTGAGAGTGATGACAATTTGATAAAGTTGTGGGCATCAAAGTCGAGCAGGAAGAAATATGCAGCAATGCTAGTATGTTATCAACATATGCTCCTTCTGTCGCGGCGCCACAGCCTATTGACGCATATATCAGGAATATCGAGTACAGCTTCCCATGTGGAAATTCAAAAACCATGTTCTGGATGCTGTGGATAATAATCAAGTGATAATAATCTGCGGAGAAACCGGCTGGTAAGTTGACAATTCGTTCTTCTACCAGAATTGGGTCTTGCTTACAATTCTGTAGCGGCAAAAGTACACAAGTCCCAGCGTTTTTGCTGGAGCACGAGCTGTCGCAAGGCAGGCCGTGTAAAATATATTGTACGGAGCCTCGACGGATTTCTGCAATATCCCTGGCTCGTCGAGTAAGCGAAGAGTTAGGCGATGAAAGGGGTGACTTGGGAACCTCTAGATCCCTCGTTGGCTATTCCATCCGCCTTGAATCAAACACGTCTAAAGAAACGCGGCTTGTATATGCTACTACAGGAATCGTTATGAGAATGCTTGAAGGTTCAAACGACCTTGGCGAAGTCACACACCTAGTACTCGATGAGGTCCATGAGCGCTCCATTGATAGCGATTTTCTTCTCATCGTTCTTAAACGCCTCCTGAAGCGCCGGAAAGACTTGAAGGTTATTTTGATGTCTGCTACTGTTGATGCAGAGCGGTTTTCTGCGTATCTGGGTGGTGCGCCGGTTCTAAACGTCCCAGGGAGAACATTCCCAGTCATGGTCCGCTACCTGGAAGATGCTGTTGAGCTTACTGGCTATGCTCCCAACAATTCGGAATCTGATCGGCTTGTTGATCTCGATGACGATGCAGTCGAGACCGAAGTAGAGGGCCTAAAATCAGAGATGGCACAGAGCCTCGCAGGCTATTCAACCAGAACCAAAACTGTTCTCGCTCAGATGAATGAATACCAGATCGACCTCGACCTCATTGTGGAACTGATCGCTCGAGTTTCTACAGATGAATCGCTCCAGCAGTACAGTAATGCAGTCCTGGTCTTCTTACCCGGAATTGCAGACATAAGATCATTGAATGATATGCTATTGGGAGACCCTCGATTTTCCGCGGGTTGGCTTGTTTACCCTCTACACTCTACGATCGCCATGGAGGACCAAGAGGCGGCTTTTCTTGTGCCACCTCAAGGTATGCGAAAAATCGTGTTGGCGACCAATATCGCAGAGACTGGAATTACCATTCCAGATGTTACCTGCGTCATTGACACAGGCAAACACCGCGAAATGAGATTTGACGAGAAGAAGCAGCTTTCCAGGTTAATTGATACATTCATATCAAGAGCCAATGCGAAGCAACGAAGAGGACGTGCTGGTCGTGTGCAGAATGGGCTGTGTTTCCACATGTTCTCCCGGTACAGGCACGATACTCTTATGAGCGATCAGCAAACTCCAGAGATGCTCCGGCTCTCCTTGCAAGACTTGGCCATACGAGTCAAGATCTGTAAGATAGGCGGTATCGAAGAGACTTTAGGCGACGCTTTGGACCCTCCCTCGGCAAAAAATATACGTCGAGCTGTTGACGCGCTTGTGGATGTGCGAGCCTTGACTGGTACAGAAGATCTCACCCCTCTTGGCTACCAATTGGCAAGATTACCTTTGGATGTCTTTTTGGGAAAGCTCATTCTCTTGGGGTCTGTATTCAAATGTCTGGACATGGCCATTACTGTCGCGGCGATCTTATCGTCTAAATCGCCTTTTTCCGCCCCCTTTGGACAGCAAGCGCAAGCAAATAATGCGAGAGCAGCTTTCCGCCGTGCGGATTCGGATGTCCTTACAACTTACAATGCATACCTGGCATGGAAGCGAGTATGCCAAGCGAATGGAAATCTTGGAAAAGAATTCCAATTCTGCAGAAAGAATTATCTAAATCAGCAGACGCTCACTAACATAGAAGATCTAAAGGGACAACTGTTGACGTCTCTGGCTGACTCCGGATTCCTGTCCTTGACGGAGGAAGAGCGGCGGGCTTTATTAAAGCTTCGATTTTCCTCCGGAGGTCGCGGTCGTCGTCAGCAGCAATTTGTCGAGGTACCCCAACGAGTCAATCTCAACAGCGACAACGATGTTGTGTCGACTTCCGTTATTGCATGGAGCTTCTATCCTAAGCTCCTCGTGAGAGATGCGCCTGGTTCCAAGGGGCTCCGCAATATAGGAAACAACCAATCTATCAGCCTTCACCCCAGCTCTGTCAACCGTGGACTGTTCGAGATCAAATGGCTGTCGTATTATACTATAATGCAAACCAAATCGTGAGTTACCGTCCTTTTCTGTCTGCACGCCTCTCTGCCGGAGCATATCTGATTATGAATGTAGGATTTATCGCGCACATGAAACCAGTGCCGCAGAACCCTTCGCGATAGCACTGCTGTGTGGTGACGTACGATGCGATGTAAGTCAGGGGAATTTTTATATCCGGCCTCTTGCTTGTATCACTTGAATTGCAGTACTGATGCTATTTGTTTTTAGCTGTATTCTGGCGTCATAGTGTTGGATGGTAACCGGGGTCGCTTTGCTGTTCCGGACTGGAAAACAATGCTCGTCATTAAAGTCTTACGCACGAGATTGCGAGAACTACTTACGAGAACCTTCAAGCAACCCGGCAAACTGCTCACTGCACAACAAGAAAAATGGTTTGATGTGTGGCAGCGTCTATTTTCCCAGGACTTCAATCAAGACAAGACTGTCAACACCGTCAGTCTGTAATAGACTTGGGCCTGAATAGAGAGCATTGCATTTGGAGCTGGTTCATAGAGGCTAGCCACAGAATATAGACATACTAGGGCACATACACCTGGGGCATTGGGATAGGTACAACCGCTTGGGCGAAATGGCAATTTCGGAGCAAGATAACAAGGCAATACTAGGTTTGGAACTTGATAGACTTGATTTTGTCATTTCGGTAAAAAAAAAAAAAATACTATAACTACTTGCTCATAATATATAGTAAAGTTGGAGATATCCCGAGAAAACATACGCTGAGAATTTAGTCAGTCTTCTCGGCGTTATTCTTCGGGTTGGAACCTCTCAAAAATAGCTCCTTGAAGTCCGCGTTGCTCTTCGTTGCTGGCTTTGTACTTTCACCATCGGTTTTTACATTCGACCCGGGTGTTACTCTTGGGGCAGAGAAACCGAGCCCTCGCTTTGGACCTGGTCTTCCTAAGGTAGGCCGCCTCATAACCGACGAGGGCATGAAGCTGTTCGCTGTGGTGCTAGCTGGCTTGTCTTTCTTGGCCGAACTCTGGCTACGGGGGACAATGCGATCTTCCATTCTCCTGGCCTTGGCGTGACGGAGATCATCAGGAGATCCAACCTGTAGTTTGCGGCCTTCAAACTCGACGTTGCTAAGCTGTAGACTTGCCTTGCCCGTAGCAGAAGAGTCTGCGAATTCTATCTTTGCGCCACCATGGCCTGGCTGTAGAACTAGCTTAACAATGGGCCCAAATGGCTCAACAAGCGCTCGCACTCGAGCGTCATTAATCGTGTCAGGCAGGCCCATGAGGGCGATGGTGCGTGCGGCAATGTCGGCAGCTGAAGGGTTCGACGATTTGTCGCTGACAGACGCCATGTCAACGTCAGCATCTTCAGTTACCTGGCGTGCCGGAGATGCGCCGTCCTGTGACACACTATGAGCCGTGGGCTTCACATTTGAAGCCTTTGAAATCTCGACGTGGAGTATCTGGTTAAGGAACTTGGTCTTGTTCAGTTCTGACGCAGCCTTTTCGGCTTCGTCCTTAGTTGCAAAGTCGACAAACGCAAATCCCCGGCCCTTGCCGCTTATGTTTCGGGGAACGTTTATTCTCGAAATGGTTCCGTATTTTGAGAATATTTCGCGGATTTCATCTTCTGTAGCCGAGGGGCTCAATCCCGAGACATGAACTTCTCGGCCCTCAGCAACAGCACCCTCGCGGCTTTTTTTGCGATTGGGATCCGAGTACTTAGCCAAGAGCTTATATTTGTCTTCGAGAATAGTACCTTCTTTTGCCACTGCTCTGGCAGATGCTTCACTGTCACGGAAAGACACGTAACAGAATCGGCGATGCGTATTCACCTTCAAACTGGGCCATCGAATGCTCAAAATATCTCCGCAATCCTTGAACAACCGACGAATGTATTTTTCATCAGCCGCAGGCGGGTAGTTGGTTACGTAGATGGTTAAATCATGTGCTGATTGCACATCAATCTGGGACTGCCCAAAGAACTTGCCGTCTCTGAGTAATGCAGATTGAGCTTCTTCTGGAGTACTGAATTCAATCATTGCCGTTGATGAGTGACCATCTTCTTCTCGCACCAGTGCTGTAATATTATTGATGTGACCATACTCCTTGAAGTACTGGCGGAGCTTTGTCTGCGTGACCTCGGCAGGGAGATTTGTGACGAGTACGGATGTGTTCTCTCTGTCTCTCCGTAGTCCAGACTGTGTTTCACGCAATTCGTGGTCGTTCTTTTGGCGCTTATTGTTGGTATTGTCGGGTTCTTGGGAATCCACTGGATCTTCTCGTTTTCTCTTAGACTGGCCTGGGGAGACCTCTGAAACCTCTTCGTTATGGTCTGCTGGCTGCGTGCCATAATATGCAGCATAGGCCGCAGCCTTCTCCTCTTCTTCAAGAGCGCGTCGCTTCGCAATATTCCTTTCAGCTTTCTGCACGGCATCTGCCGCTCGGCGTACGGAATGCGATTGTTCATAATCGTTGCAATGCTGCATGTAAACCTCCAACACCTTTTCGGGCCAGTCAATAGTCTGCCGGTTTACAGCACGCTGAAGGACAGCGGTGGCAAGCACTGGTATCCGGAAATTGACTCCTCCAGAGGAGGGTGTGGGACTGTTGCTCGTGCTGGTGGAAGAAAAGATGAGCATCTCCCACATATAATAGCGAAACCAAAAATCGTGACTGTCGGCGTGGATTTGGGCCTTGGCTAGCTTATTCCACTGCATTCTTGCCTCGTCTATCGCTCGCTTCTTCTCAGTCAGGTACTGGATGTAGATACGCTCAAGTCTAAACTTGGGGTCGCCCTGAAAGTCTTTGCCGTACAGTCTCTTGCCCACAACCTCAACGTCCTCGAGAGCGGCACTCAGCCCTACATCAGCCACATCGACAGCCTCATCCGTAGCGCTCGCGTCCATCGCTGTTCGTTTTAGGAAACCGCACCACGCCACATACATCTCGATCATACTCTCCATGCCGTGCTTGTAGAGCTGATTTTCGCTCGTCGCGGCATGCTTGATTGACTCCACTTCAGCAAAATCCAATTTCGCCTCTTCCGCACATAGAATTAACCTATTCCATAAGCGACCAGACCAGGGGCAATGCTGAACGGCCCGGCGGAGGGCGTTGAGTAGATATTCAGGGGCTTTTGAATCGGCGTACGAGGATGAGAGGAAGACTATATGTTGGTGCCAAACCGATTCGTCGGATGCGAATATCCCGGTCAACGCTCTGGCATAGAGTCCACAGCAGAGGTTGAAATTGATGTCAGCAATGCCTTGTCCGTCATGGGTGCGTGATGTCTCCCATTCAAGATATTCAGTCATGATTTTCTTTTGGGCCTCCGTGTCGTCCGCTCTGGACGCCTGTTGCAATTTAAGCTCAAAGGAATCCCGCTCCGCCATTAGGCGCTTTGCGTCCTGGGATAGTGCGGTGACGTCTTTCATGGATTCCTCCCATCCGGCGCGATTGTATTCCGACAAGAAACTCGAGTACATTTGCGACGTGTCGTCCCAAGTGAGATGAGGCGTCGTCAGTCGGTCACGGTACAGATGCGTGATGCGCTTAACACCCTCTGGAGTTTTCGTCTTCTCCAGCAGCTCCCTTTCTAGCGATATCCAGCGGTTCCAGAGAATATGGCTGTCGTTGATGCGATATTTGATGGCCTCGTAACCTTGCTGCCACAGATCAAGGGCAGATCCAAACGAGAAAAGCTCGCGGCCCATCATTTGTTCCTCTTCTGGCCACCCAGCAGCATCAGATTGGCTGTCCGCCCAAAGAGACCAGAAGAAATTGCAGTATGCCAGCCATATTCGCAGGCTGCCAGGCTCCGCGCCGACAGCGCGTTTGAAAAGTTCGACGACATTTACGCGCTGCTCGAGATCGGAGGCGTTGCGGGTGGTTTCGTCGAGATAGGCCAGCCAACTCTCCTCGCCTACAGGATTGGCCATGGTCGTCTTCGGTGCGGCATCACAGTGCCTGCAGCATAAAGCAAGAGTTGCCGCAGTTTTGGACGTCGATGGCAGGGAAGGGGAGATTTGGTGGAAAAAAGGGCAGATTCGGATGTCGACGGTAAGCTTGCTTTGGGCCGATGGGATCTGCAGATGCAAAAAGCTGATTGTGCTGGTGCTACGGAGTACTACCAGGTACTAATACTACCTGTTTAAGGTACCTCTACCCAATGCAAGGCCGAGCTGCCGACCTTAGCTTGATGGTGCCTAGCGATGCTGAGCGGCAGGTACCAGCTTAAGTACTCTGAGCTTTTTGGCAGCCCTACTACCTACTACCTGGTAGTACCTTACCTTAGACGTACCTAGCTACCTGTAAGAGGCAGCAATTCAGCCGCGGCTGATGGATACGAGCACATGTACCTAGGTATGATTCAAACTTATGATGGCGTTTAGGCAGCCTTCAGAGTATACCGTAGATCAGTGGATAGGATTAATTAGATACTGCCAAAAATAATATCCATACGTTCTAAGTAGGTAGTAGGCAATAATACTTAGGTACCTACCTACCAGGTAGGTTTCGCATCTGGGAAATCAGTATTGGGTCCCGTTTTAGAGTTATAAATATACAAGGTCCCTCGTAACATTCGGACATGAAATTGTTAGCAATACCATCGTGACACTAGCAAGACCAAACTAGTCCTGTTTCCGCTACCTGTTCGGCGCCTGGAAGCCACAGTAGAAGGTGGCCTGCTTGTACGGTTCCATGTTTCAGATCAACCCCCCTACTTTGCAGAATGCAGCAGGTACCCAACCGCTACGGAGCCAGGCACAGCAGCACATTTGGAGCGCGTTATTAGCGCTGGCTAGGTGCTGGAGGTGGGCCCACAGACCGGGATTGCATCCCTATCATTAATGATCTACGGAGCCCAACACGGAGCTGGGGGTTAAAGCGACCACTGCAGTACTCGTACTGGCATTCTTTCCGCTGAATTTCATCCTCCATCGTGTCTTCCTGTAGCGACTGCGATTCGGCCTTTCGTTCTTCTTTTTTCTCTCTTGATCTTTACCACGGTCTTGTATAGACCACCCACGCTCCCTACGACTCTATTGCGAATTGCACTTCTTACGCTCCTTTTCCCTCCCTTTTCGAGCCCCTTCTATGGCCATTCCATCCGCGGACCTTGACTATTCTCATTAACCCTTTCTCCCTTTACTTGCGAGATCTGCATTCCACTCCTTCAGCCTCATTCTTTTGCTCGTACATTGCGCAACCTGTTACGAGTCCGTTTTCGATTGCTGTCTGACCGTGTGTGCTGGTAACTCTCGGTCGACATTTGTCCAGATTCCCCGTTCTTTCAACCTTCTTCTTCCGGATCTTCGTGGCGTTGTATTAGAAAGAGAGGGATAGAGGGATAGAGAGAAGGAGAAAGAAAAGTCTGGTGGTTCCAGCCTATCTTTCCGATTATCTAGTTCGTTCTAGAAGACAGGGTTCAATTTCTTCTCATATTTCAATCCCAGCGTGCAGGTGACGGCACCTAAGAGCCATCCTTTCGATATGCGTTACCTTCTCCCGGCAGTGCTCGGTGCACTGAGCCTGATCTACGTCGATGGTGTTGCTGCCCAGGACGTTCCCACTTGTGTGGTAGGTCAATTCAACTGTTGGTGGTCTAGCAATATCTGACCCTGTCACAGCCTGGTTGTGCAGACACTGTCAAAGGCCAATTCCCCCAGTATGGCTGCGTTAGTGCAGATGATGCTGCCTGTCTCTGTGCAAATGCCAACTTCGGATTTGGCGTTCGAGACTGTGGTCAGAGCGGATGCGGCGCTACGGATGTCCAGATCCAGGCCTTTCTAGCTGGGTCTTTTTGTCAGGGTAAGAATACAAAATGCATGGACGAGACCAGTCGTATACTCATCCATCCATAGGTCAACAGTTGGCGTTTACGCCTACTGACGCACAAGCTCCTCCGACGTCAACGTCTGCCGGCCCACCATCGTCGACGGCTCCTCCAGGCGAAACAACCCCAATCCCAACATCACCCTCGTCCACGACTGCTCCGAACTCGGAAACAGCACCTCCGTCTTCATCCTCGACCACGGCGCCACCAACCACAACAGCACCGCCCTCAACAGCACCTCCCACTCAGACCTCTGCTCCGTTGACAGCAACCCCTCCACACCAAAACTCCACGATCCCCGTGGTATGTTTTTCTTATCCCGATCCCATGACCTTGATCTTACAATGTTGCTAACGTTAGGTAACCTAGTCTACGCCAACATCACCGCCTTCTACCACAACCTCTGTTGCCTCTTCCACCTCTGCCGCCACTACATCAAGTCCCACTGCTAGTGAAACGTCCGCAGCTGCTCCGGCTGGTGGTTTGTCTCAAGGTGCGGCCATTGGAATCGGAGTCGGTGTTGCTGGTGGTGTAATTGCAATTGCGCTTGTTGGCGCCTTCTTTTTCCTGAAAAATCGCAGCCGAACTCACGATTCCTTCGACATCTCTCAGCCTCCTCCTAGCTCGGGGCGTGGTCAAGGCGCGTTCGAAAAGTATTCGAATGATCTCGAACTGGTTTCCAACCGGTACGAAGATATGATACCTCGGCAGCAGCCAAGAGCCATGGTGTAATTGCAGCTCGTGCCTTTGATAGTCCTCAAGCGAAATAGCTATCTGTACTCTGGTAGTGGGAATAGCTCACAATTGAGGGCCAGCTTCGATCCAATTTCCATTTGTTTCAACTGTATGGGTTATGTTGCAAACTCTAATCAAGAGCTCAAAGCGACGGCCGGAGACTAACGCCTTTCTTCTCCTGGAGTAAGCCTCTGTGTAATGTATTATCCGACACCTACTACAAAATACAATCTGTGACGGGCCATCTCAAGTTAATACTGGGTGTGTGTATTCTTAATTTCTTGAGTACGGATACTGTTCAAAGAGTCTGAAGTTACATGGTGCAGGAAACCAGAACTGATCAACTCTATCCAGTTGCCCGAGTGTGTTGTTTCTTTTCATTGTACATATGTTGATACAGGTACATGCTCATTGTCATGCCAACTCTATTGCTTTCGAATTTCAACCAGCCTCAGTCTCTTGTCTCTACCAGGAATAGTACGGTCTCTGGCCATGGACCTTGCGGTTCGGTAAATGAACCCAGGGGCCCTTTTGCGCCTCCTTGGCCTTCTCCTCTTCATATTCCCGGATTCTGGTCTTTTCCTCTTTCAGAATGACTGTAAAGCCTGCATCACCACACAAGTTAGCAAATTCGAACTCGAAACATGATCATGGCCATGACAGCAAATTGAAAGAAAGAAGGGCTGAGAGTGTCTTACTGGTGCTGGGATGCTGAATGACACCCATTCTCCCTCGTCCCTTATAGTCGAGCTCCTTTCCACGCCAGGGGCCTCGCCCAACCCATGACTGCGCAACATACAGGCGCGTCGGGTCCACAATCTCCATCCATTTGCCATCCTTGGTTCGCACCTTGCGAGGCTTGTCCAGGATGTCACCGTTGACCTTTCCAAGGCCCATGCCACGCTGGACAACGGCCATGTCCCGCGCCTCCTCCAAGTGATATTTAACTTCGGCCGCAAACTTCTTTTTTGACCACTTCATTTGCTGAATAGCTTCATCGACTGGCTTGCCGGCAATCTGTCGTGCCAACATAACCAGTTTCTTGACGCTGGTTGGGAAAAAGTCGCTCTTGTGAATGAGTTCGCGCTCGGTCATTTTGATTCTCTCCTCCCTCGTCAGTTGTCCGTTTCGGCGCACTGATTGGATGACTTTTCTTCGCTGCCACCGGATACGGCTCCGAGCATCTGGATCGACTACCATTGCCAGGCTCTCCTTCGTCCTTTCCTCTGACGTCTGGGCGGCTGGAGAATCGGGTGCCGGTTTTGAGGCCTCAATCTCGTCCTGGAAAATGTTGTCTTCAACTCCACCCCGCATATTCCTTTGCAAGAACTGCTGTCGCTTCTTGGGGTCGTCCAGTTCAGAGGCGGAGGGGTCCTGGCCTTTGTCGCCAGAGTCTTTGGAACTGGATTTACCCCATCCTTTGAACACATTGATCGACCATTTGTGACGACGCTGAGTCAGTACGCCAACACTTCCGTGCAAAACTCCATTGGCCGGCGCCAGCAATGAGGTTGGAGAAGATGGGCCTATGTCAAGTTGGTGATTTTCAGTTAGCCAGTGAACATTAATACAAAATGGTGATTTCTTCAGGCAAAAAGACATTACTTGACAGCGCCAGCCGCCGAGTGGCTAGCCGTAGACTCATTGGTGCGGAGATGCAGCAGCAAGAAGACGAGTCTCAACTAACTGATCTACAGCCCATTGAAGAGAATATATGATCCAATCTTCCCAATTTACTAAACCGTCGCATAGCTGGAGACGCTCTTTTTCGCACACCCGAGAATCCGCCGGCCGCCGGCATTGTGCTATCACGTGATCTGCCTTAGCGGGATTAACATCAGACCATACCATAGCAGATTCTCCATTTCCGTTATACCGAACTCATCAAACAGCCAAACAACGCATCTCACAGCTTCAGAACAGCTTGGAAAGCTCTCTATTCAAAATGGCTATCGCACCGATCACTGGAGTACGTCCCTATCCCGACCAATGGCGTAGTGTCGCACTGGAATCGCGGCAGGTCCCGCTATAAATTCATTGGAGTAGCTAACACAGGGTGCAGATGCTGCGGCGACAGCTCATCCTTGACCTTGGCGTCGGTCTTGGTAAATACTAACCCCCGATTTTCCGCAAAGCTTGTATACAGCTGGAGGACTTGATATTTTTTCCCCCTTGCTTTGGCTCACATCTCGTTAGGATCCGGATTCATCATGGCCAACTGGTACTGGTACGGGACTTGAATCTAGCGAACCGAATTGGATTTGCAAGGGAAGACTGTCTAATAACGGGATAGGTACGGCTACCACATGCCCCGAACCAACGGCCGAGACGCCTACTACGCCAAGAAGGAGGCCGAGCGTGCTGCCGCGCTGTCACAGGCACAGTAAGGGACAATTGCATATATGGGTGGACCGAGAGGGAATGCGACATGGACAACTGTTGGTCGAATAGAAGGTGAATGACGGGGCCAACGGACTGTTCGTTGTTGCAGGAGCATGGCTGCTTGGCGGATATCAGATATCACGGAAGAAAGGCAGCCAGGCGAACCTCTACTTAGACCAATAAGTCTCGGGGCAATACGATTCTATTATCTCGCTTGGCTTAGTATATTTATTGATGTACCGATTCCCCTTTGCATTATGCTGAGAACACTGCTGGGTGGTTATTCCCTAGATGTGGGCAAATTATGTGCCATGCGAAGCCAAATCTTTGTAGCCCCTCTTTGTAACAGTTGTAAGCTTTCGTGTGCCGAGGGGCATGCAACTTCCCCATTAGCATTGAAGCTTCACAATGAACGCTCAAGATCATATGCGCACAACTCCAGTTCGCCGAGTCTCTATAGTTGCTTCGCCGAGTCGGATGGCCGCAATGTGTGGCATTGTGTGAGCGTCTGGGCCAAAGATGGAATATGCTTAGGTCATGTCCGATATTGCTCAGCCTGCCCCCTCAGGGGTCGTAAATTTGGGTCAGATGGCCAGTACAGGGTCGTTAAAGGACCTGGACTTCACTGCTGCCTTTCGCAATACAAGAAGCAGGGTGCATCATGGCGATGCTTCGTCGGCATCATGCCAGCTCGATGACCACTGATGCGGCTTGGGCGGCTCCTTTGTCTTGGTGCCTTCAGAGCTGTTGTCCACTCTAGCCCTCTCCCCTTCCCATGCCGTTGTCTCTACAGTAAACGTCCCCTGTTTGTCTTTACACCTGTTTAATTCATTGTTAGTGACGATAGTATCAATTAGGCGACTCAATGCTTCAGCCGAGGGGCAGGCAGTGACGGCGCAAAACAAATTGAGCTCCTCCTGGTGGGGGTTCCAAACTCTACCTTCGAAACAGCCGATCGACAGCAAAGCACCTGACCGGGCTTTCGCGCGACAGTGGCCGCTGAACCTCGCATTTGTACTGCAGCATCTGAAAAAGCTCGCAGGCCGACAGATCAATCTTGCGCGACACAGAGCCCGCGCCATCAAGCTTCCGGCGCCGGCCCGAGGCGTCCTGCTGGATCCGAAGAGGCAGCTCTGAGGCGGGGAATGAGCGGCAGGGAGGCGTCATTTGCAGCTGGAGTGTATGCGAGATCCTGATTTGAGACCGGGCGGATGGAGGCGGCGATAGGCGGACAGTTGCTGAGCGCTGTTGAGGAGGCCAGTTTGGAGGAGGTGAGTTTGATGAGATTCCGACACTGGCGCTGGAAAAGTTTCTGTATGCCCCGACAGGTGTGGTTGGAGATGCGAATAGCCACCAAAAATGCAAAACATCGCCACAAATTTTACAAAGATGCGTTTTTCATGATACGATGGAGATGTCGAGATCTATTTTTCAAAGGATACAAGAAAATGAAGCAGATTAAAAAAAAGAAAGAAAGAAAGAAAAAAGAAGATGCATTCATTTCCCTCTCAACCATCTGCAGGCGCGGGACGAATCCTTATTGCATCCCTTTGAACTGATGCATTCATTCACCCGCAACCTCTTGGAAATAAGCGATACTAATATTGAATACTGGCTCTAGATTCTCGATAGCTTTCGCTCATCCCTTGCCCCAGAAAAGACTCAGGCAAGCGGAACCAGCACCAGGCGAGTCAAAATCACACACTTGGATCAACTTGATCACCTCGCTGCTCGGCAATTTCGAGCCACCCAAGCGCCCACAATATCCGTGTCTGGCCGTAGTCTCCCGTTGATATATAAGGTAATATCGACGCTCGTCTCGCCGCCCCATTCCATGGCATTATTCGTCCTCGATCTTGACGGCCGCTTCGATGCCACTCGCCTCGCATGCACAGATGACGACTTGCAACACGTCTATGTCCAGCAGCCGCCCTACGACGAAAGCTCCAGCACCAACATTGAACTGATACGATCGCTCATCGCAGATGCCGAGCGCTCCATGGTCTATGAAGGCGCTTCGGCGGTGTCTCTGTCTCGTGAATTTTGGGGCTCGATTGTGCTGGGCGGGTTAGGAGCGGGTGACTTAGTTGCCGGATGGAAAGGCTGGCTTCATGTTGAGCGTGATCACGTTGCAGAGTATTCGATGAGGGTAACTATGGAGGATGCATTTGAAAGACGCTCTGATAGACAGGAGGTCGTTGATACTGCTGGTTGGGCTGCAGCATCACCCTGGGGAAAGTTTACTTTCGATGATTGATTCACGTCACTTATGAACAGCAAAGGGCGTGGATCTTTTAGTTGGTCATGCATTCCATTGAAGACAACAATAATCTATAAGTCCATAGAGAAATCTATCTAGAAGACTGTGTCTAATATCTCATTCTTGTAATGCATCTAATATCAGTGTGATAATCGCTTGGGGGTATAATAAATGGGGCATCAGTCTGGCTGATGAGAAAGAAGGTGTAAAAAGAAGAAAGAAGAAGAGGAATCTAATTATCCCCCATTGTCATGATATAACTGTTTGCCAACTCGCATATTCTGAAACCAGTCTTAAAAAGAGAAAGTGAAAAAGAAAAAAAGAAAGAAAGAGTCAGTCATGTCGCATTAGCGAACCCAAGAGTTTCGATTCCCTCTTTTTTAAACTCCATATACTCCATCTCGTAATGTCTTTCCAGAAATGTTTGCTTCGTTAAATGTTTATGCAGCGACGAGAAAGTCCTCATCAACAATAGCCGGATTGTTCTCGGTTGCAGCAAATTCTGACTGGCCCAGAACGTCTCGCTTGAGCGACGACACCACCTTCTTGCGCATCTCACGCTGAATACCGTGGTTCACGGCATCAAGCACAGTGGACACGGTAGCGCGAGGCTTGTATGTCGGCTCTGTGCCATCCTGATACACGCCCGTTTTGACTAGGATGCTGTACCAGTCGTTGTCGGCAACGTCGTTGATGGCATTGGTGCCACGGATGTCGCTCTCCGGTGTATCACCGACAAAATACACCGTCTGTGGAGGACCAGAAATGCCGTGCTCGGTGCTTCGCCAGGTTTGCATCAGCCGCTCAGCAAATTCAAACGTCGAGACTTGAGGTTTGCCGAATGCGTGTGTGTGCAGCTTGCCCTTGCCGCCGGTGAGGTCTCTAAAGGTGATTTCGAACATGCGTCGGAGAGCGCCCATGCCGAGACGGACATGCTCGTGGGCAGCAGACCAGACGACATCGTTGTGGGAGAAGTAGAATGTAGGACCCTCGTCAAAGGTCTCGCTGCGAGTCCCAAGTCGGCCTCCCTGAGACATAGCCACATCCAGCATGATCTGAATGTCACCAGCCCAGTCTCGAGAGTCGGCAAACACAAAGACGGCATCAATGACAACGTCGTCAAAATCTCGCTCACGAGAGTTGGCGAGCTCCTCGGGCGTCAGCTTCCTGAACGGAGTTGTGGCAGCATTGTGCTTGATGATGTCTCCTGGCGTGACGACGTCTTTGAAGCCGTATCCTTCGGCGACAAGGCGGCATTTCTCGCCCTCGCCTCCAATGACCAAGACTGTGCCGTATTTCTCGGCCATTTCTCTCATGGGAGTGTGTCCGCAAATGAACTGGCCGGGCTTGATCTCTCGCTGAAGTTGGCGTGATAGATCTTGGCAGCGTTCTTCTTCAGTCTTGCCACCGCCGTTGGTAAGAAAAATATGAGGTCTAAGAAAAAGGTTAACGTTAGTCATGTTCTATTAAATGATATGGGAGGTATTGCACGCATGTGAGGAAGCCAACTTACATTTTCATTCCATATTCGTTCTCTCCATCAAGTACTTTCATAGCCTCGATGGCCTCTGGGATCGGTCGCCCGCCTCGGACAAGCACGCCGTCGATATCAAATGCAAAGACGAAAGAGTCGGCAACGACCGAGGAATCGATGGGTGATATGGGAGTTGAGATGCTAGAGACACTATCCCTAGAGCTGTCTGACGATGACAACTCAGGTGAGCTGGGCAACGAGTCGGAATCCGCTACTCTCTGATCAAGATCCTTCTTGACCCTAGCGACATTCTGGTAGAACTCAGTCTGTTGCTCCTTGCTAAGAGTTGCCATGTTGACGGTTTTGGTTATCTCCCGTTACTAGTGTGATGTTTGAACGATCTTGCTAGGTATGAGAATGGTAAGAGTGACAAGGAAATAAGAACTTTTCAAGGTATAAGTGAGTGAGGTTCCTGTGGATGCAATGATTCTACCGTCACGAACGGTGAGGATATCTGGGTCTTTATAGATCTCGCCGTCTCAATCTCGCACTCGATCTCGCACCCCCCTGAGTGCGCCCAGAGTTTCTGGGCCTCTCCACGTGGTTCCACTCGAGCATTGTTGAAGCACTTTCGAGTCATTTCATTCTCCAGGTTTTCTGTCTTCATCTCTGTATTTCGTCAAAAAAGTGGCAAGCAGCGATGCGTCTCCAATTGTTTTACCCACACTCAGGTTCCACACACGTGAAGTCCGCGGGCTATAGTAATGGAAAGATGACGGCGCTGTGGAGAACTGCGCGTAGCCACTACGTAGGCAGGCTGATGAGGCTTGCGGCTTGGGGTTTGAGAAGAGCCTTGGTGAAACTAGAGAATAGCCTAGGAACGAAGAAGCCAAGGAAGCCTCACGGTGATGACAGGTGGCGCTTTGACATGTCATTGGTGGTTACTTGAGTGAACAGGTAGTGATGTTGTATTTCTTTGATTGAGATGCCATACGAAATGCACTAAATAGTTACTATTGCAGTACTTGAGCTATACTTACCCTCCCATGGTATGTATACAGCAGCCTTCGGGTGCCTTGTTATCGGCTTCACGCATGGAAATAGTGGACGTGGGATAGTTGCAGATCATTACCATCTACGTCGTAATAAACACATGCGAACGGCGCTCATAGTGGCGAACGCCAAAAACAGGAGTAACGTACAGTACAAATACGTACCATGACACTCCCTCCAATCGCTCTCCCCGGTCATCGAAAGTGGATATCCTTGGAACTGCCCAGAGGCATTTTATGTATGAGTGAGCGAATGATAGCCAAGTAGCTGATAAGAGCGCAGTGACAGCTGGCTCGGATGAGGTGAGGCAAATGAAGATCTCATCGGCGACGTCTTGCGACCCCTGGACTCGTGTAACACCTGTGGTGGGAGGGGAAGGCAGCCTATTGGCTTGGACAGAACGAAAAATTTTACGAGGAAGAGCGCAGGCTTGGCAGGGTCGGCACGATAAGCAATGCCGTGTTGTGAGATTTTACAGATCACCTTAGGCCGTAGATCTGAGCGACATCTAGGAACAGGAGGATGCACGCCTGCAGCTTCGTGATGCTGGCAGCTAAAGCTACCTGGTATGACTTGATGTCTGGGGATATCTGGGGATGCTTCGAGGTACCACACAGTACCCAAAGCTCGCCAATATTCCGCAAAGATCGTCGTAAGCCTGAGGAGTACTTGTAGACCGCTTCTACTTCGGCCTGATGAATTGTGAAGAACAAGTACCTCCTTGATTGACACATGCAAAAGAAAAAAGCGTCGAGGCTGGCGGTCCCACCGTGACGTCAATCCCGGCCCACATCTTCCGGCGCGGCAGCCTGTAGCTGCTCAAGCTCGGCTCCGGAACGGGGCTGCGGATCCCCACCGGAAACCATCGGACAAGGGTAGCCTTTCTTCCAAGTGCGAGGCCAACAATGAAGACGCAAAGACGGTACCTGTACGGCGGATTGAGGCTCGGAGCATTGCCTGTCTAGGGTGTCTGCAGCATTGCATAGTCTTGATAGTCACCGCTGGCTGTCACAGATTTCAGGGGCCGGCAGGGATGGCGACAGCAAACTGTTGTGGGCTCGAAACACCACGAGCTCCATAATGACATACGGATACTGCGCGCTTTTTCCTTGATTTAGGATTATTTGTTGCAAAAGTACCGCCGCTGTTTCGTGAGACAAACCAACTGATAGTCTACTTGCAGAGTCAAGTAGATGGGATGGATTACCGTTGATGCAGTTGCCATCTTGGGCTTGGAAATCAGATCTATACATGTGTGCAGTAATCCTCACTAACTGCCTGAAACGACGCCTAATTAATTCATAACATAACTACGCTGTACAAGAGACCCAATCTACTGCAAATTGACAAACAGCCCGCCGTCCACCAGCAGCTGCGCACCCGTCACATAACCACTCAGCTCCTCGCAAGCCAGGAAGATAGCCGGCCCCGCCAAATCCGCCGGATCGCCCGTCCGTCCAAGCGGTATCCTGCCCTCCATGTAGTTCCGCTTGGCGTCATCAGCCAGATCCTCCTCGTTCAGCTGCGTGCGAATCGTCCCCGGCAGCAGCGCGTTGCAGCGGATGCCGTATTTGCCCAGAGCCACCGCGGTGCTCTGCATCAGACTCGTCACACCAGCCTTGGTCGGTGTGTAATGCGTCTGCAGGCCGCCGCCAACCAGCGCCGAGATGGACGACATGCCGATGATGCTGCCGCCTGGAGGGCTCTGGTGCAGCGCCATCTGTCGGGCGGCCGCCTGCGTGACGTAAAAGGCTCCGTCGACATTCGTCCTAAACGTCGTCTCGAGCAGATCTGGCGACAGCGTTAGAAAGTCGGCAAAGGTGCACACTCCAGCGTTGGAGACGCAGATATCGAGGCGCTGTGCTGGGCCCGAATGCTCAACAGCCGTGGCCACCAGCTTGGCTGCTGTTGCAACTTGACGCACATCCCCAGCCTCATGAGCAAGGCGACCAGCGGCTGGGTCCTCTGCTAAGATGGCACTCGCTTCAGCTATGAGCGAGTCTAGGTGCACCTGGTCCTTTTCCAGGCCGAGATGGTTGACAACGACGTTGCATCCTTGACGAAGATAGCCGAGGCAGATGGCACGTCCTATACCGGTTGTTCCACCTGTTATAATCGCGGTTTTGCCCGCCAGAAGGCCCTTTAGCGGCATAACGACAATGGTAGTGGCGGCTGTAGTCCTGTATCGATATGAGACGAACTTGGAATTTCCAGATAGACGTCAAGTCCAAGCGGTCAAGTTTCCGTATATAGAGCTTATTTAGAATCAATGTGCCGTGAGATGAAGCCTCTAGGTCTAATAGTAATCGTTTGATGTCGTCTGGTTATGGTTCATAATGCGGGGAAGCCGTCTAATTAAGCGCGTGCAAAAGGTAGATGCGGCGGCTAATGGCCCTTCTTTGCTGGTCAATTGCTTCTTTTACAGATGCTAGATCCGTCGTGAGGCTATTCCGATGGCCTTATAAATGCGGCTACAAGTTGACGAGATCCCTTAATATACGGCAGAAATCAATCCGAGCTCTCGGGGTCTGATAGGGCGAGGAAACCCCGACTAAGCAGCCACCGTTTTGCTTGGCCCACAATACGGTGGGATGGCGAACTATCGTGAAGTTCTGGATCCTCGGAGAGCGGGTCGAAACGCTCGAGGGCCACCGTAAAACTGTTCACGATCTCCTTGAATCGAGGGGAGTGAACGCAAAAAGCGCATACATGCAATCTCAATCTGGTGGGTCACGATGCTTCTTTCGCGACTTTCCCCGAAACTTCCCCAGGTTTTAGCACGATGCAATTTTATGGAGTACTATCTGTAGTATCTGTATGCTTGCTTCTGGGCACTTTACATTCTGTAATCGAGCTTCTATCACACAAGGAATAGAGGTATTTAACCTTGTTCCTCGGCGAGACAAGCAAAACGGGGGGAAAAGAAAATATCGTGTCAATAGCAAAATTGCAATGAGAACCTGGTTTTAAACAAGCTTGTACACATGTCTGAATTCTGATACAACTTTCTTTTGTTATTTAATAGGCTATCTCATGTTGTAAAAACTATTAACAATATTTTTAGCTTTGTGCGCTCGCTTGAATCGCCTGATGGCGCATTCATTATGTACATAGGCGTTCCTAATCACCACCCTCTAAACTTCTTTTTTCTAACCTACATCTTCATTCATGCCGCTGTCGCGTGTTCCACATTGCCATTGCCATTCTGCAGTTTGGCTTCGCCATTCACTGGGGGTGCGGGCTGCTGTACAGGCGGAGGGCTAAGGAGATAGTTCGATGGAATGAGCTTGGAGCGTGCGGCGTTGTTGATGGTCAACCCGAATCCAGGCTTATCCAGGTCGCTCGTTAGAAGATAGCCTTTGGTTGGAATGGGCTCGTCGATGAACAGGTCGCCGAAGACGGGTAAAACGCTCTTGCCATCAGGAGAGTTGGCGAGATACTCTTGAAACGGCGTGTTTGGTTGCGAAATGACAAAGTGGTAGCTGTACGGACCACTGGCATGCGGAACCACAGGGATATCGTATGCCGCGGCCATGGCTGAGACCTTGAGCAGCTCCGTCATGCCGCCTAGCCACATGACATCGGGCTGAATGATGTCAAGATTGCGACCTTCGATGAGTTTTCGGAATCCATAGCGAGAGTACTCATGTTCGCCAGTCGTGAACTTTACCGTTGGGTGCGCACGCTTGATTTGCTCGAAGCCATCAGTGTCATCGGGTGACAAGCACTCTTCCCACCAGTTGATGTTGAATTCGGAACACGCCTTGACCAACTCAATGGTATAGGAGACGTTGAGGCTCATGTAACAATCCACCATGATGGGGAAATCTGGGCCAACAGATTCACGGTGCTTACGCAAAAACTCGACATTTTTGCGCAGTCCTTCGTGGCCTTCCTCTGGGCAGAAAGGAAGCGGCACTTTGGCACCCCAGAAGCCCATCTCTCTGGCTGCTGTTGGCTCGGGACCAGTGCAGTAAAAGTTGAGGCGTTCCTTGGTAGCGCCGCCAATAAGTCGATAGACAGGCTCGTTCCTGACCTTGCCTAGCAAATCCCAGAGTGCAAGGTCGATGACTGAGATAACGGCAATGGGAAGCCCCTTGCGGCCATAGAACATAGAAGCACGATACATCTGCTCAAAGAGCAGGTTTGTGTTTCGCGGGTCAGCCCCGACCAAGAATCGCTCAAAATGCTGGTGAACCAGCCAGCAAGCAGGAGGGCCTAAGAGAAGGAAGTGGGTTAACATCATAGAATCCGACATAGCTCTAGTGTTTTTAAGAGAGATTCTGAAGCGATTCGAGTCAAGAGTCAAACAGCCAGCACTTCTTACCTCCGAAACCAGTTGCAAAGCCAACAGTCCCGTCAGAAGCCTCTATCTCAACCAGAAAGGACCCAAGGACGTTGATGCCCCAGCTAGTACGCGATTTGCGGTACTGAGACCATTGTGAGCATGGCGTAGAGATGTCGCTGTCGATAAGCCTATCGGCGAGTTGGCCAGTCAGAATCGCCCAGAAGTGCAATACGTCTTCATATGAATACTACATACCAGTGGCCTCCTTTAACGTTGTGATAATCACCGCCTATTTCACATCAATGGTAAGGACATGCAGAGTGAGGCCTGAGCTGGCAACATTGAAGTCTGTACATACCAGAGCCTACGCCGCCAATGACGTAGGACCGCACGGCTTTGATCGTGGGGAATTGTCTTACGGAGCCTTGCATGATGGTTAATGGGCAAGTCGACAGAAGGAATAACTTGCAGCAACAGAAAAAGGACGAGATCTGGAGAATTTAATTTGTAGAGATGGGTTTAAGGCGGCTACTGGAGATGCGGGTAACGGTGTACAAATCACACGTGTGGGGTGCTGGTGGTGTTGACGAGCATCGGCATGAGATGACCCGAAGGCCGCCTCATTGGACTGTGACGATTTGTGCTTTGGTCGAACGATGCAGATTCGGACCAGGGACGGACGCTTTACGAGTCGTGAAGAAGAGCTACAAGCGACGTAGATGGCGAATGAGAGGATAGGTAGGTCATATTACCCTGCGAGATAGTAATGTGAGATATAGAACTGGCTGGGATTGATCCATAATGCAGTGAGAACTATCTCTTATGCTGCTGCACAACATCAAACGTTACATGGCATGTTGACAGCCTGCTACACAGCCTGAATGCATGCCTCCAAGTGCTACCGTACACGTTCGATGAATACTACAGTACACGCCTTCATCTGCTGCATCTGCTCAGCCCTACAGCTCTCTTATTGGTTATGCGGGGGGTTTCTAAGCGCTTGGAGTGAGAAAGGCCGGGCACAGTTATGAACAGCCCTATTAGTGGTGGTTTCGAAATAGGTAGTGCGTATAGGTAAGGTACTATGTAGGCATAGCAGTATCTGGTTAGAGGCAATGACGACCTGCAGCCCAGCGAAATCGGCCTCAGCATTCGACAGCCTCCCATGTACATGTACGGAGTATAATATTTCTTGTCCAAAACTTCCCCTTCTGCTCCTCCTCATCTCCCCCAAACCCCATCAGTTCATTAATCTCCACATTGTGGATTCCGCACACTAGCAACCCGCAGTAGCCAGACCTCCGGCTCTCGTCAACTTTGGAGCCACCAATGAGCTGCTCGTCAGCTCTGCCGCGGCCTGGCTGCTCCGTCTCTGCCCCAGGACAAACATCAGCTCCGCATCATCGGCATAGTACATAGTATCATTGACCCGGACGCCCAACATCCTCCCGCTCGTCTTTATCCCGAAATCACACGTGCGCGTGCTCCAAACCATTCTCGCTGCTCGCCGCTCACCGCTCGCCGTCTGTCTGCTCGCCCCGCTCGCCGGCCACCCAATCATTAGGGTTGTCGGTGTCGGATCGTCAATCCACCGAAAAAGGCTTCTTTCTGTACCTTGGGCTCACCTTGCGAGGCTCCGTCTCGTGTCAGCCTGAGGCGTCCGTCATGCGCAGCGGTAGCGAAGATAACAAACGACCGTCGCCGCCGTCCTCCACCTCCGTCGCTGATCGCCAGCCTGACCCCGACAGCGACGACCAGAGCGACAATGACGCGGATCCTACCTCTCAGACAGCCAAGCGCAAGCGGCCCATCTCTGTTTCGTACGTTTGTCGTCCCAAGTCCTCCTCGGCGTCAATGCGTGTCCTTGTGTGGAATTCAGCCCTGGCGCGAAACCCTGGTTGGAAATACGACACCATGACTTGAATGTTCCTTGAATCGAGGCTACAACAAGCTGAATCTCGCTTGATTTTGTTCCAATCGCAATCTGTTGCTAACCACTTGCTTGACAGATGCGAGTTATGCAAACAGCGCAAGGTACCATTCTTTCTTCACATCTCTCCACTCCCCAGTTACTCGAAAACTTTACTTTATCTAACGCGTTTTCTCGTATCTTACAGGTGAAATGCGATCGGGGCCAGCCCTCGTGTGGTTGGTGCAAGCGTCATGGCCAGAAATGCGAGTACAAGGAACGAAAACCGCCGGGGTTGCGGGCGGGTTTTGGAAGGTTTCTGGAGAATCGAAGCCGTGAGATGGAGCTGAGGCTGGACAAGATGGAAGAGATTCTGCGGAAACACTCTGAATTGCTCCAAACATCACCACTGCCGTCGCTCCGTCCAGAAAACTCCGAAATCGGTGGCCAGGCTGGACGCCAAAATCTTGCGAGCGATCACGATACCCAAAGCGAGGCCAGCAATAATTTGGGCTCATCAAAGCTCTATCAGACATCTCACATGAACAACAATTTGTTCTACAATTCTCATCCAAACAATGGTCCTTCTGGGCCTGGGTCTGCCGAGCAGGCCCACAACGAATATCAAGGCCGAACGCCTTTGCCTGGTGGCTCCATCTCCGGGCCCGTACCAGACCTTCCGGCTCAGCAAGGCATGGCCATGTCGACGGTTACGCCTACACCAGGCGCGGCCTTGCCTTCTACCGATGCTGATGACTTGCCGCCCTACAATCTAGTGTACAATCTAGTGGACCTGTACTTCAAGCACATCAACACTTGGTGTCCAATACTTCACCGAAGGACTACTCTGGATAATCTGTTTGGAATCTCGGATCTTCAAGAGGCGGATAGAATACTACTGCATGCCATAGTTGCGACCACTATGAGGTTCTCCAGCGACCCTAGGCTTACTGATGAGAGGCGGCAGCATTATCACCGCGTCTCAAAGCAGAAAGTCTTGCTTTACGGCATGGAAAACTCATCTGTCAAGTCACTTCTGGCATTGCTCATCCTCGCCCTAGATCTGTGCGGCAGTAGCAATGGCCCTCCAGGGTGGAATATAATGGCCCTCATCACCAGGTCGGTGGTTCAGCTGGGATTGGCCGTCGAGACCAATTCTTTTAGTGTGGCCCCTCACTATACATCGATATACACTCTTCGCGCCATGATTCTTCCCGAGCCCAAAGATTTTATAGAGGAGGAATCACGCAGGAGGCTATTCTGGATGATATATCTTCTCGATAGATACGCAACTATTGCTACTGCCTTTGAGTTTGCGCTGGCTGATACGGAGATTGACCGAATGCTTCCTTGTCGTGACGACTTGTGGATGGAAAACCAAAAAGTAGAAACGCGATGGTTCGTCACGAGCGCTCAAAGCGTTGATGAGACTCACCAGCAGACACTTGGGAGACCTGAGAATCTGGGCGCTTTCGCCTACTATATTGAAATCCTTGGAATTCTCTCCAAGATCCACAAGTTCTTGAAGCAGCCAGTTGATATCGGCAAGCTTACCGACGTCGAAAAGTGGCAACTTCGCTACAAGGAGCTTGACAAGGAACTTACATCCTGGAATTTCGCCCTTCCCGGTGAGTTTGGAAACATGGGCAAAGTTTTTCAACCAGGAAGCAGAAATCTCAACTGTAATTGGATTATGCTCCATGCGACTTATCATACGGCCGTCATTCGACTTCATTCTTCAGCCGCCTACCCAACGACCCGGTCAGCCATCTTCACGCCATCATTCAGTGCGGCACAGAGATGCCACGGCGCCGTCGAAAACATATCTGCCCTAGGGGATTTTGTTGTGAACAATGGCTTCCTACCAAAACTAGGCCCGCCATTTGCCTTCACAATTTGGGTTGCTGCACGGGTGCTTCTGGTCCATGGTTCTACGGTCGAGCATAAGCTCTCGCCCCAAATTTCCTTCTTTGTCGACATTCTGCGCGAAATGGGACGGTACTGGCCTGTAGCTGCTGGATACTCTGGGCTATTGCAACGAGTACTTGATGAGCATCGAGACAGCGAAAGACAAGGCAACGGAGTCACACCCAGCTCGGTCAAAATCTTAGCCGACATGCGTCGGACGGCCTTTGATCTAGATTTTCTAATATCGCGACAGCCCAGAAGTGGCCCGCAGAGCCACGGTCATATAGGAGGCATGACTCCCTCGAGGACACCAGCACAGAACGAATTGGAGTATCTGGACGTTTTCAACTTCTTCAACGTCCCACGGTTGCCATTTGGCGGAGAGAACCTTTCTGGAGCCTCCGAAGGCCTAATGCCAAACGCCGACATACCTACGGGAAACGCGAGTCTGGATCACCCTCAATACCAACCAAATGAGTTTAACATCACCAACTTCATGATTGATGCCAACAGCGACTGGCTCTTTAAAAATGAAGGGCCAACATTCTGATCCAAAATTAGGAGAATCAAGCTGATTCAAGGCATTATTTCTTGTCTTCGTGGTGGTTTTTCTTCTTCTTTGGCATGCATGTATATACTTGTCGCCGGACTGAGAATTTGAGATGTCCGGGCTAAATTGATACCAAAAATGGCTACATATGTAGACTTCTATTGTAATCGGGGTTTCTCAAGCATTGCTTTAGTATTATATATTATTACACCTCTGGTCCAGGAGGAAATGCTACCAGAAAATAACATGACATCCGTGTGTTTGTGCTGCCAAACGTCAAGTACCTTGGAGAGGCAAAGTGGATCCATTTTTGGGTCTCAAATAGAGGCGCTTCTGAGATAAGATAAGGCGCTTCTATTCCACTTTAGTACTCACCGCCCGGCAATATTCCAAAAAAAAAAATTATTCTACCACTAGCAGGCGGCCCATTGATATCGGATATCTAGACTTTTGAGTCTGCTTGATTGTCTCTAAATAATCAATTTCGATTGCTTGTTGTGAAACAAGCAATACGTCAATCAAAATGGCTACCAAACCCCTTACGCACAATAGCAAGAGGAAGGTTGCCTCTGACGGAAAGGAGAAAGGTGATTTCAAGAACAAGAAGCCTCGTTTGGAGGAGACATCAAATGGGAAGGCATCTGGATCAGGTATGTTTAATTCCTCTCCCGTCACATTGTTGGCTTGTTACTCATTCAGTATTAGAGCAACAAACTTCTCGAGAGTCGCATGCGAAACAGAAGCAACTTGCTCTAGAGCGAAAAGCTGCCAAACCTTTAGCCGATGAAGTTCAGCGAACCAAGAAGATCTGGGAACGATTGCGCCTCAAGTCCCACGTTCCAAAAGATGAGCGACAGCAGCTGGTGGCAGAACTATATGGAATCATCACCGGCCGCATCCGAGATTTTGTCCTGAAGCATGACGCTGTCAGAGCTGTTCAAACTGCGATCAAATACTCCACACCAGAGCAGCGAAAACAGATTGCGCAGGAGCTCCAGGGAACCTATGCGCAGCTTGCCGAAGGACGCTATGCCAAGTTTTTAATCGGAAAACTTCTCGTCCACAATGACGACGAAATCCGCGACATCATCATCCCCAACTTCTACGGCAAAGTTCGAAAGCTCATAAACCACTCCGAGGCCTCGTGGATCTTGGATGACATTTACCGGACGGTCGCGACAAAGGAACAGAAGGCCCTGTTATTGCGCGAATGGTATGGTCCCGAATTCACCCTCAAGGAGTTGACCAAGGACATCAAGGCAACTTCGGATCTGAAGCAGATCTTGGAAGATGAACCGAGCAAGCGAGGACCCATCATGAAGAGTTTGCTGGACCTCATCAACTCACTTGTCCAGAAACGAATGACCGGCTTCACTATGCTGCACGACGCAATGCTTCAGTATTACACAAATACACAGCCAGGATCCGAAGAATTCAACGAGTTTATGGAATTGATCAAGGGCGATGAGACGGGCGATTTGCTGAAGAATCTTGCCTTTACCCGTTCTGGTGCAAGAATCGTCTGCCTGCTGCTGGCGTACGGTACGGCCAAAGATCGAAAGGTCTTACTGAAAGCTTACAAAGATACCTTTACGTTGATGTCGGGAGATCAATACGGCCACCTCGTGCTCTTGACAGCCTACGATGTTATCGATGACACTAAGCTGACCTCGAAAGCTATTTTCCCGGAGCTTGTTGGAGAAAAAGAGGAGGAGGTTGCACAGAACATTGTCGCTGCTGCCAACAACGCTAATGCCAGAATTACTCTTCTCTATCTGCTCGAAGGATTTTCCAAGTCGCTGTTCCCTGCCAGCAACGCTTATGACTTGGATGTGCTGAAGGAAGTTCACGAGATCCGCAAAACCACAAGCAAGAAGGAGGATGACGTTCGACGCAAAGAACTTTCAGCAGTGCTATCGCCATCCTTGATTGATGCAATTGCCGCCTCGCCTTCTGACCTCACCTCAACGCCATTCGGCTGCCAGTTTGTCGCCGATGTTCTCCTTTCTGGAATCGGAGACAAGCAAAAGGCGCTGGAGGCCCTTGCTCAGTCTGTTAGCGGTAGCCCCAAGCAAGAGCCGTCAGAAGACGAAATTGCTCCTAGATCGCACATTGCCAATACACCTTTTGGAGGCCGAATGCTCAAATCTCTCATCCAAGGTGGCCGTTTTGACAGGGCCACTGGCAAGGTGAAGCTGGTTGAGCCGCCGTTGGGCTTTTCTAACATTCTGTACCCCGTCGTGAAGAAGCACATCATGGATTGGGCTACTGGGCCAAGTTCATTTGTCGTGGTCGCTTTACTTGAGAGTGAAGAATTCACTAGTGCAGAAGAATTGAAGAAGACACTGAAGAAGAACAAGAAGGAGTTGCAAAAGGCGGCGACCGAGCCAACCGCGGAGCAAAAGGCTGCCAAGGAGGCTAGCGAGGGTGATGAGGCTGGGAAGAAGGGCAAGAAGATGGAGGCGCCCGTGGGCAACAAGGGTAGCAAGCTGCTGTTGGAAAAGCTGTGAAGCAGTACTGTGGATCAGCCGCAGATGGTCATCATATTCCCCATATCCTCAACGGAGCATGTAGCGAGAGCCACGTCTCCTATCAGCTCTATTCTTTCATTGCAGCAGCCTAATATAATGATTTTCAAGTGTTCGCAAACCTGATAACTGCCTTGAGGTGGAATGGATATATTAACCAAGAGTGAAGAAAAGAAAGACATCCAGCAAGGCGAAAGTTATTGTCACGAGGCTGTTTGTAACACAAAGCAAAGTATAGCGGGGAGGAGGTGATGCCTCGGTTGGTTTGCGTTTTGGATGTCTGCGAGGAGCCGAGTTGTTTGTTCCATGACGAGTCGTCCCCTGGCGAGTTTGAGATGTGTATGCCAGAGAACACTAAGAATATCGACATGTACAGCACAGGTACCACTCATGATTCCACTGGGGGGGTCACACAAAGGCAAAGGACCTGATGGAGGTTGGTCGGCGAAGCAGAGTAAGGAAAGCTGGGGATCGCAGATTGGTCCGAGTTGCTGCTCACGAGTTTCCGGATGCGTTTGGTTGTTGCTGAATGAGGCGATGCAAGGAGCTCCAAGAATAGAATTGGGAGAGGGCATTGCATGTTGGTAGACGGCAAAACTCGTATATTTTCGAAATGCTCAAAGAGATGCAGAGTAGTCGCACTTAGTCAACGCGTCGTAGCACAAGAAATCAAGGCAGAAGATCAAGAAACGAGGCAACCCCAACTCCACACTTGGCATGACAGAGATGCGGCCTCGCCGTTGGGTAACAAAGAACCGTCTCTGCAAGTGATTGGGCGCCTTGTTCCCTTTCTAACAATACAATACAGTACAATACAATTCGGCCGATGGCAGAATCAGGGATCATTTTCCCGCTGTTTAGGCCCTCGTTTCGTTTGTCTCCCGCCTGACGTCTGCGATTGTTCACCCTCAAGGTTCGCACTTACAGGCCTCCAAGTGTCAATCAAACGGGTGTTTTTACTTCTTCCTCGCTCAATTTCTTCTTCTTCTTTTCAATGATTTTTATTCCATCCTGATGAACCTCCGCGTCTATTTACTATAACGCTTACCGAGCCTTTCCCGCCCCCAACCGCTGCACGACCTTGGCTTCGCTTGACTCTGCATCACTGCATCACCAAGGCATTCTTCTTCATTATTCTTTGCCTTTCTCGCCCACCTGCATTTCTCTTCTTTGGAGTGTCTTCTGCCAGCTGTTCCACACAGCTACAGGCAGGAGACTTGCCTGAGAACAAGCTCTAAGACGTCGAATGTGACCTAGATGATTCGCCAGGGTCCTGAAAGTGCCAGCACAACCTTTGCCAGCTGGCCAGCAGGCCGACTTGATTGGCTCGCCCGCTCCATCTGCGTTTGGTAAACGACATAAAGGAAGAAAGAAAGAAACGAAGAAGAGTAGAAGCAAAGTTTCCTTTTTGTTCTCTCCTGCGGGAAGAAGAAACTTAACCGTCGCCATCGCCCCTCATCCATAATGTTCCCTGGCGTCTTTGTTTCTCGTCAAGAAGACCGCTGTGAGCCCGGCACAACGTTTTACGCCTGTAGTATCAACAATTTTAGAGGATGTTGCTCTACGGATCCGTGTGCCTTGCCTTTTTGTCCAGACTTTCCTGGAACAGAGATGCGCCCCAAAGACGGCAATGAGGATGATAATTCAACAACCTCGAAGCCTGAATCTGATGAGGCGACGCCAACTCCAGCTGACGATGATCAAAGCCAAGAGACAGAGTCAGCGGCCTCGTCGGAGACATCCGTAACCATGACGGACTCTGGCATAACTCATACGATCCCAAACAACTCGATAGTCACAATCACCAGGCACACAACCATCACTACGGGCAGACCACCAACGACCTCCTCACGCTCCACCAACACCGCACCAGCGACAAGCGGCACGCCAATCTCAGTATCAAGCACAGTGTCGTTGTCGGGAGTACTACCATCCTCACCCACTGCTAACAACGCCACAGCAACCCCATCTGGGGCCCCAGGGGCAGGGTCTCTGTCGGCAAGAGCCATCGCTGGGATAGCTGTTGGCGGTGCCACTCTCATAGCCATCGCCGTGGTCCTGATACTCGTGCTAGTACGCCGCAAGAAGCGTCGCGAATTCGAGACCAACTCCATTTTCCCACAGGATAACAATCGGGATGAAGTCGTCGAGGAAAAGCACTTCCCCAATACCGTATCAACTCACACCACGGGCACCCAAGGAAGCAGTGATCCCTTTGCCGCCTTTGGAGGTGAGACTTGCTCCCGTTTGCAATCATGGCCTCGTATCCGTCTTTTCTCACTAACAAGTCCTAGGTCGAGCAGATCAACCCGAAGATCCATACCGACCAGCTAGCGGTGCGTTTGAGATGGACGGGACCAGTGCCGCCCCAGTAGAATTGCCTGCCATGAGCGCCTCGAGTCCAGGCGCGACTGCTCCCAAGGCATCTCGCCTTGAGCCCGTTCAGGAGGTCACCCCTACGGACCCTCATGCTAACCTTACATCGGTACCGGCAGATGATGGCAAGCCGTTGTATGTCAACCACTGGAATCAGTACAAGAACATGGGATAAGATGTAGAGAAACGGATCGGATAGGTGTGGAGTGGGAGTAATAAGAAACCGGCATAGCAGTGACGATGCTTCTCGAAAAAGAGAGAAGAGAAATGAAGAAGGGCTGCCCGTTAATCATGTGTGAAGAATTTCATATTGCAAATTCGGAAGGTAAATTCTGGCGTTGGTACAGCTGTGCTTCATTAAGAAGGAGCAGCAACAAGGCGAAAGGGGATCTGATACAAATCAATGTTCAAATAACAATCGTTTTCTTTGTCTTTCATACCAACTCTGCAAGTTCTAGGGCAGGCACAGAGTGTACCTAGTCGACACCATAATATAATCGAATTCGTTTTCCCACAGATTATCAGGGGTATTTAGCTGCCCGGCCGTACTTTTACAATTGTCCGCGTGAAAAACAAATTATATGACCTTCTCCCAAGCGCCCAAGTAACAGGAAAAGAGAAAAAAAAAAAGTTGGAAAAAAAAAAAGCAAAAGAGAAAGATAATGCAAGTACCTGCAGCCCTGATCCGTCTGTATCCATCCGTCTTGCGGATCCGTATATCAGCAGTCTAGTATTCTCGGCTCCTCGTGGCGCAATATATCAACGATTCATGATGGCCATATAACCAGGTAGAGAGACAAAACGTAAACCCTCCCCTCGACATCATCGGTTCTGGAGCTTCGAAATCTCATCTAGCAGGTCTTGTAGGTCCTCATCCTTGATCTTGTCCGCTAGAGACGGAATCAGCGTCTTGGCCTCGTCGGCGTTTTCGCAGCAAAGCGACCCTTGTAAGGAAACCAATTGTTAGCCATTCTGTCATATATCCCCCTTCCCTTCTCTTCTCGCCGCATTCTGGGGGGTGTGGTACCAAGCTGTGCGCGTTCGAACTTCGCCAGGTCCTTGTGCGCACTCAGCAGGCGTTCAACGGCCTCGACGTTCTCCTTCTGCGTGAAGCGCGCAAAGTGATCCAAGTAATTCAGAGTTTGGTTGAGCATCCTACAAAGGAGGTGATTCCACGGTCAGCCATCTATCAAAGAGAGCGCCTCCTCCTCCTCCAACTAAAGGAACCAATCATTCTTCACATACTCCGTCTCGTTCACGTTCTTACGATCGTTTCGGCGCTTCGCGACCAGCGCATTGAGGACAAGCGCGGCTTCTGACAGAGTAAGAGTGTCGACGTGCTGAAATTCGCCCAGGTTCAGCGTCGCAGAGGCTTCCTCGTTGCCTGGCGGAGGAGGCTTCGGACGTGACGTGCGATTCGACATGGTTCCTCTGTATGTGTCGGGAACTGTACTGCAGTCTCTAGAAACCGACGGGCGATGCGAAGGAGAGTGCAATCGGGGCCGCTCTTTACGAATTCAAAAGACTGAGCAATCCCCGGAACATGCCGCTGCACAATGAAGCTCAATGGGGTGAGACTCTCGCAAAGTTCTGGCGACCAGCCGCTTTCTAAGCCTGTGGTCCCTAGGCAACAGATACGGTTTAGTGGCAGCCTCAGGCGCGTTTAACTTTACCTCAATAGGACTAGCCCGGCCGCTGCTGTATCTCTCGCTCCGTGGTCCGTGCTATTTCTCCGTATTGCAACTGCAACTGCATGCTGATAGTTTCAAGGCGCAAAGTGTACTTGTGTGATAAGATTTGGTCAAAATATAAAGAATCTGATTGGGATCCGTACTTTATTGAGTGTAAAGTTGCTTCCACCAAACCCAATTGTTGTTTGCCTCTGGGAACTTTGATCGGAGACGATATATACGGTCTATTTCCAGGAGACGATCCCATCTCGAGCTAAAAGCAGCGACGCTCTGTTCCACGGTCGCCATCTTCCCACCAGCAACGCCGTCGCTTGAAGGTGGCTTCAAGGCAGCCCATACTCTCTTCGATCAACAGCGCACGGAGGATACGATATATAAGGCCGCCGAAGAGGAGATAACGCATCAAGACAGGCTCAGGGGTGGACACAAGGTATGCGAACCCTTGCAGGTGGAAATGTCGGCCTGCTTCGTTCAGACATGAGCACCGAACTCACTCATCCCAGGATTCATGGTCTCACCTATATGGATTCATGAGCCTGCAAGGGCCTTATAGAACACCGCATTCCGCATCTACTCATACCCCAACTCAATTTACAACATGTATGTGCACATGCCCTGATTTCCATGAGCTGGACCCCGCCAAAGCTAATTCATATCCCACGTAGGACTGTCTTCTCTCTCATCATCATCAACAAGGCCGGAGGTCTGATATACAACAAGACATTCCACGAAGGCGGCCTCAACAAAATCAGCACAAATGACTATCTCGTACTAGCCGGAACTTTTCACGGGTAAGATGTCCGCTATTGAAGACAAATCTCCTTCAGAGGCTTATTTCTCCTTGTCTCTAGTGTTCATGCTATCACCGCGCGCTTGAATCCCGTCAAACCAGTCGCAACCCCCCCTACTCCCGGCACCAATGAGCTACCGGGCCGGCCAGAGCCTTCATCTGGACTAGAGGTCTTAGAGACAGAAAACTTCCGCATGCAGTGCTTCAATACTCTGACAGGCACCAAGTTCCTGCTCTTCACCGAGACCACCCAGACTAATGTGGATGTGACCATCAAGAGGATATACGACTTGTACGCTGATTACGTCATGAAAAATCCCTTTTATTCTTTGGAGATGCCCATACGATGCGACATTTTTGACAGAAAGCTACTGTCATACATCAGAGAGATTAACAACCGGTGAGAAGGGAGTCGCTAGGGTCGGCAGCTTGCGTGGAGTGGGAGAATCGGGGCATCAAACATAGACTCAATATCCAGTCCTCAAATTAATCGTGATTATCATGTCTACCGTTCTCCTCTAAGGTTCCACTGGAGCTGGATATTTAGTATACACTTTTAGTCAAGGCACCAAGACCGTGATGCGCATTAAGAAGTATCCATCTTATCACCGCGGTCCTTGTCCTTGTCCGCACCACCTCCACTGCCACTGGCTTCGTTCTCTTCCTTGACACTTTCTAGAGACGCCTTCTTCGCTTCCTCTTCTTGTTCTTTTGCCAACTTCTCTTGCCTGGCCTTCTCTTCCTCCATGCTCATGCGCAGAGCAAGAGCCAGCTCGGGTTCAATCGCCGGATCAAATCCAAACTCGAACTCATCGTTGCCACCAGCACCGCCGGCGCCCGCTCCAGCCCCTTCGCCAAGCATAATGGGCGTCGAGATCAGCTGGTCACTCAACAGCTTGCTGCTGGGCGGGATGACCACCAAGTGTGAACCCTCGTTGCCTTTGACAGCCTCGTTGAATGCCTGAAGCTTCTTCTGCGTGGCGTCATCGTCGAGGTCACCGAACAGAACGAAATCGACGGAAATGTTGCCTTTCTTCATCTTCTTAGCTAGCTGCACTAGCTCCTTCTCCTGGTCTTCGACGGGGGAGCAAACAAATGCTATTATTCGTTGGCGCTGGGATCGGTTCTGTCGGTGCTTGAGGGCGAGCTATGGTTCCAAGTTAGCGCACACAAGTCATCACGACATGTATGTACAACGGCAACACTATACCGTCGCAATTTGGATGCCTGTCTTTAGGTGAGACGATCCACCAATCTTCTTCTTTGTCCTGTGCAGGCCTTCCAGGATCTTGCCCTGCTCTGTGGTGAGGGTGACGAGCACTTCGGGGCCTTTCCCACCCATGCTCATCAGGCCGACAGATGACTCCGGGTTGCCCTGAGTGATGCTTTGAAACAGCACATTTACGGCGTCAACTTGTGAGTCAAATCTGGTTGGCTGGTAGTCTCCATTTCGGCTGCTTTCGCTGTTGTCCACAACCACCATAACAGCCTCGAGAACCATTGTAGCTGCTGATGAGGGCGCCGGGCCACTAAATCGTTTATTTGGTGACTTTGGGTATGGTATTCACGTCCGGAGACTCGATTTGCTGTCGGAGAGAGGGGGTGGAAGTTAGGGAGTCAAGGAGAGGTAGAGAGCTAAGTTGGTAATTTGATGTTCGGCAATCTGGTGTTGGAGCTTCGAGTGTCGTAAGGCCGGTTCAGCCTGGTAGGTGCAAGATCGGTGCATGCAGAAATGCTAGTAGGTTAAGTAACTATACCTAATGCTAAGCACCATTGCGCGTAATGTTGTCCCACTATAGGTACTAATACAAAATCGCTAACAAGCCTATTATGCGGGTCATCTTGTTTTGCTTACATAACGCATAGGTCACTCATTCATTTGGTTTGTTTACTTTCAAGTCATTGTTCCACTTGACGCACGGCCTGATGCACGCATTCGCACTCCCTTATTTGCATTGCAATTCCTGATCTCCCTCTCACCACAAACACATTCAAGGAGAGGCAAATTACACACAACCAAGAGCCATGGCTCCTACACGACCAAGAAAGCAGGGCTCGACCGAGTCGAGCTCTTCGCAAAAGAAACACGCGACATCGAGCGGCTCCGATACCCCTTCAACACCACAACGAACCCCCATCAAGAAACAACAGGCGGGGATCACCTTGCAGCAGAAGCAAGCCTTGATCGAGAACCTGCGACTAGAAAGTACGCGATTCCGGCCTCCGCATGTATCAAAACACGCTGACATTTGCATTTTCTTGCCTCTCAGTCACTGAGCGAGCCCGTAGACTACGCGCCCAATATCATCTCCAAGCGCAGGGCCTCAGGTCGCGAATTGAAATACGTCTCAACCGGATACCAACTGCACTCAGGAAGGCCACTATGGGCGACCTACTCCTCAAATACGCAGATCAGGCGCAACGGGGGCCCAATCGCCCGCTACCGCTTCCCGTCAAAGATCTGCCGATACTTCCAAGTCCTCAAAAGCCTATCCACCAAACCACTCGCGCGCCACAGGTTGGACGCGCCCAGAAGCGGTTGAGGTGAATTGCGTCTAAATACGCCGTACTTGTTGTTTCTCTTTCTTTCCTTCTAGACTAACTGACCTACTAGCAATGAAATTACTATGGATAAAGAGAATGAGCTTCAAAAAGGCGAGCGTCCTAAGAAGAGAGCTCGCGGCTCAGATGCTGGGCAAGTTCGCCCAGTACAGGTGTTATCACCTACCTCGTCCAACTCTCGTTTGGCAAACCGCAGCCGCGCAACATCCCCCACCAAGTCATATCTGTATAAATCCAGCTCTCCTCTGAAGACTGGCAGCCCATCTCGACCGGCAATTGCCACAAGTATATCAGATAAAGCAGCGGGGATGCGCACTGGAGGGTTCAGAAAAGTCACTACAACGTCCAACTCAAGCTCGAGCTCTAGCGGAGCAACACCGGCAGCGGCAGCGCGGACAAAGCGCACCGCAACGGCCATACCTAGAGGCCTTCGAGCTAAAGCCGGAGCTCGAACGACACGCAGGGCTAGTGACAATACCGAATCGAGTGACGGAAGCGCAAATACAGTGCTTCAAAAGACTGCAGGGAAGGGCAGTGGTACAATTACAAGAAAACCAGTCCCGGGGAGTGCAAAGAAACCCATTTCAGGAGGGATAGCGAAGTCAACAGTGAAAGCAGGAACCGCTATGTCGACCACTGCTACGGGGAGGACACTAAGGAAGAGAGGATGAGGATATGGGTTTGAAGCTTGAGGATTTCGGGAGTGTTTGGCATCAGGAAATTTTGTGTTAGAAGCCTCGGCAGCAGGCAGCCGGTAGGCATGATTTGTGGGAAACGGTTCAAGTGTGTTCTTATTGACACGGAGGGGAAACGGAGTTTGGGCATGTAGCAACACTATGCATTGTTGGACGAAAATCAGCGGGAATCAGGCGTTTTATTTCGATTGATTGCTTATAAGGAATATCATTTCTTCTTCTTGTCATCAACTAGCTCGATGTTGTCTTCTGGTACATCCTTGTACTTCTCCAGGATGAATTCTTCTAGTTCGTCGCTTACGTCTCCCTGAACGACAATTTCTTCACCGCCGCTGGGAAGCTTTGTCACAGAGGATCCTGTTGCAAACTTCTTTCCGAAATCCTTGGCAACCTAGAGCGAAATAACGGTTAGCGCTATTCCACTGTCAAAGGACGAGGCTGTACCAAGCAAACACACCTTTTTCAGATCCAGGCCGAACGCCTCCAGACCAATGACAGCCGTGACAAACTTTTTCTTGTTTCTCTCGATTCGCTTGATGGTTACGACGCTCGTGGCCAGCTTGGTAGCCTGTTTCTGCTCTGCGGCCTCGGCTTTGGCGGCCTTCTTCTGCGCGTCCTTGGCAGCTCTCTTCTGGGCATCTATCGAGAGAGACGAGGCGGCGGCCTCTAAAGCCTCCGGGGACCATATCCTCTCATACATGGCCGGCTGGTGCTTCTCTAGCCATTCTTGGCACTTCTTGACAGTGCCTCCATACTCGCAGTACTACTTGGTTATAGTTGAGCTCGAGACATCAAAACAGCGGGACTTTGTCGATTTTTTCATACCTCTGGAGGCAGAGTACACACTGCAGCAAGAGCACGGGTTAGAACCAACAGTCATGACGATTGAGCGCCTGGGAGAAAATATTCAGGGGGCAAAGGGACCTGTCGTACCTCCGCAGTAAATCACATTTCTGCTCTGGAGCTCCACGGGCGCTTCGGGCTGTTCTGTGTCTGCCATTGTTGGTTGCAGACGCTGGCTGTTCTGGAGCTACAGGAGCAAGACGCGTGCACCCTCTCCTTGTCTTCTCGTCAAGTCACAACCAGACCCGTGGCGGGGTAAATTCAGCGATGCATGGCGGGGCTCGACTTTGCTGGCGACGTCAATTGCTAGGGGTACATGGCAAATGTACCTTCGTACCTCGCGGCGCTGCTACCGGGTTCCTCCGTACTGGTGCAGTGGCTGGACACCTGAGGCCAGAAAGCACCAAAACGTTCACGTCAATACGAACTCCTCGTACTTACACACGTATCCATCGAAGACGTGTCGCAGTGCTAGCCGCCGTGACTGTTGTACAAGTAAAATGAGGAAATCATCACTCTTTTGTGCTGTTGACGACTTTATCTTACAGCGCTAGCAGCCTCTTCACCCAGTGATGAAAAATTCCTGGTGCATACCCGCGTCAGTAGCGCTGGGCGGTCGACGGTCAGCACACTGAAGCTGGCGGGCATCTACAGCAAGTGCTGCGACAAGCTTATCTTCCAGCTTCATCGTCTACCTCAGCCACTTCATTCTGCATCAATATCCGTTGTCACTTGGTTGCGAGCAAGGTTCCCAGGCGTCAACAACAAGCGATCTCGTCTATTGGAATTGGCGTTGCAATAATGCCTCCCCAGCTGCAGCTGCACCCTGGTGACGACAAGCATGTTAGCCGCCCAGCTTAGGCGGAAGCCATCGCCATTGGTCATTTCTCACGCTCGACTCCCCACGACGGCCAGAGTGTGTGTGCAGACGCCAGCCAGTCATCGCCGTGCCAAGACGGCGGCCAGAGAAATGTCTAAATATAGCAGCAGACATCGACAGCTGATTGGGCGCTTTCTCTCAATAGTGGCTTGACCACGATCTCGCCTACGATGGACATCGTTCACATCGGGTCATGATGTCCTTCAAGCCGCCCTCTGTCGAGGCATGGATGTCAGGATCAGATGCGCTGGCGCGGCGTCATTACCTGGCACTTTGCTCTGTCGCCGTTGCTGTCCGCCGCATCACCCTGTGCCCAATACGCACCGCCTCGTCATACGAGCAAGAGCTGGGCCGTCCATAGGCGCCGAGGAACCTGTAGCCGCCCATCCCCAATCGAGCGCCATCTACGGAGTAGCTTTCTAATAAGACCCAACCTTCCCGAACCAACAGCGTCGGCATTTCTGTCTCTTTGCCTATACTTCTCCATTCTCTTCTTTGCGGCGTTGTCTGTGTGCAGTAATAGACGCTTTGTTGATCGAAGCAGCCCATCGTTCGAGCTTTTGCCTATCGTCGCCGGCCGTCGAGCGTTTTTGAGTTTAATATTTTAATTATTTTACGCCTCAACTACGATATATATTAATTGTTGATTTTCTTATCTCTTTTTTTTTTCATCCAATCTTTTGTGGCCACTATCTGGAATAGTGTCTACGTTTCACAATGGCTGAGCCAACTCATTATATACCCAACAACCGTCAACCCCGAGAGTCTTCGCTGGATCGAAGATCACGGCGGTGTCTTAATCCCATAATAGAAGAGGAAACCGAGGATGTTCATGGTCAAGCCGGTGCAAAGGGGAAGCGGGTTGATACGTCGCATCTCAACATCACAGCATGGCTATCACCGATGAGCGATCATTTTCCGACTCCAAGGGGAGTACACTATCTTGCTGCCCCGATCCTTCCATCATCGCCATCGACAGTGTCAGCCGATGAGAGTTCACCGACTTCATTCTCCAACTCGAACTCGTGGAACCGAACCAGCTCAGTTACCGATGGTACCGAATTCGATGAGCTGTACGATCTCTATGATGTATCTGACGATGAAGCGAATCGGGGTCTGCGCCGTTCATCATCCGTACGAAGATCTCGAACGGCATCCATGGTTTTCGAGCCAGTTATCAGACAACCCACCCCTCTCGTCATCCCACCCACTAGAGACGAGAATGACGAAACCTGGACTGCCGTCGATGAGCTCAAGAAGATTACCTCTCCGCTTCCGTTGACCCCATCTGCGAATCTTCCAATGTCACCCGCGCAGAAGGATTTCTTCGGCAAGCAGCAAGCTTTGGATATCCCCACAATCTCAGCACCGCCGTCTCTTGATGGAAGCCTATCATCAGAGCAACTCGCTACCATGAGTTCTCCTCCAACTCCTGTGATCGGTAACGATGAGACCACTGCGGAAACCTCCTGGACAGGTGTACATTTGCAGCCCGGTGCTCTAGCAACGTTGCATGCTTTGTCTGGTGGGGATGAAGATGAAGACTTTAAGGACGAAGATGAAGCTGCTGAGTTCAATCAGGCGCAATCCCATCAGGTTCCAGAAATGCAACAGAGTTCTCTCCGACTTGTTACCAACTTTCTATCTCAGGCAACTCGGGAGAACATCCATTCCTCTAATCTCGCTCGTCAATCTTTGGCAGGGCTTACCAGGCTCAGCATCCCATCTCCCGGTGGCTTCTTTTCTGGATTGTCACCTCGAAGCAGGAATACTTGGCATCCTAGAACCCTCTCGCCGCTCGATTTAATTCCCCCGACGTCTACGACAGCGGAGCAATTCTATCGTTGCCCTTGGAATGCCAACGCCAACGCCGATGCATCCATCCCCCCGGTACCTCAGCGCGACGATGCAGAGGACTTTTACCGAAGCGTGGGTTTGACGTCGTCTGCCCCCGTTGAGCACATTGTGGAGGTTCAAGCCGATGAGATCAATGAAGATGATTTACCCACTGCTAGGCCCATCATTAGTCTTCAGACGAATACTCAAGCAAGCGAGTCCGATAAGTCTCCTGCTTCCCCCGATGCAGAAGTCATCCCTACCGAAATCGTCGAAGATTACGATCCTAGCTATGCTCGGAAGCAACAGCTCGAAGCGCTCTCAAATCTGGACCGCACTGAGCTTTGGCTTGTGGCACAGCGAGCATATCTCAAAGGCGTAGATGACGTTGAGACTAATGGCGCTTTGGAAACAATTGAGGAAGATTTGGACGAGGAGGACGAGGAGGAGACTAAATTGGAAATCAAAACTGAGTCTGAATCCGAGCAGAAACAGGGGCAAAAGGACGCCGTGGTAAAGAAAACCGTGCGATTTTCCAACATCATCACCACAACGGCGGTGCCAAAGAGCCTCCCATCTAAGCTCCTTCGTCAAGAATCCGCCTACTACAGAGCCTTCCAAGACTACGTGGTCCGAACTCAGCAGAGCGATGTTTTTGTTTCCCAACTTGCTCGCTTCGAGGCTCTTCAAGCGCAGAGAGTTGCACTTCGTTCTACTCACCACAGCCAACTGCTGGGAAAATATCAGCTTAGTGTTGTGCCCCAGTCCGCAAAGAAGCGCCTGAGTGCTAATGTCGTACGCGGCGACGATATCCTGACTGATGATCCGGAAACGCTGCGAAAGGAGAAGGAGGCTGAGGCCATGAAGCAAATGACCATGGCTACGTGGCATGTGGCCGCATTGAAATTCCTCAATGGTGGTAAACTCATTTCCGCGCCGGTTACCAAGCGTCTAGCTCGACTCTCACGAATGGCACCTGGCAAAGATGGTGTTGCTCGTGACAGAGCCAGAATTCTGGACCTTGGCGGTCAGTCAAGCTGCGATTGGGCATGGCACTGCGCTCTCCTTTATCCCAACACCAAGGTATACACGGTTACCACAAAGGCAGTTCGCCAGCTCTCCAACTCGAACATCCGTGGCCCACCTAACCACCGTCAAGTTGCAGTGGAACGTCTGACAAAGCTTCCTTTTGCGGACAACCAGTTTGACTTGATTTCCGCTCGCGAGCTCCACAGCCTGCTTAAGTTTATTGGAGAAAACGGTGAGGATGAGTGGGAGAATTGCCTTCGGGAGTGCATGCGAGTCTTGAAGCCTGGTGGCTACCTTGAGTTTTCTCTCCTCGACTCGGATATCATGAACGCTGGTCCATTGGGCCTTGCTAAGAGCGTGGAGTTTGGCTTCACCCTCAAGACTCTCGGTTACGACCCTAGTCCAACAAAGCTGTGGCTGGGCCGACTTGCTCGTGCTGGTTTTCACGATGTTCGCCGCGCCTGGGTATGTCTTCCTGTTGGAGCCAAGCCAGTGGTCAAGCCCCCCACTCCTCCCAAGGACAACCTATCTGGAGCAGACGTTCAGGTCTGCCAGATGGACGCAATGGTAATGGGGAGCACCGACGATATTGCTAGCGTCTGCAGCATCGCTGGCGGCTGGAGCTGGGAAAGGTGGCTTCTCCGATGCGAGATGGAGAAGGTTGCAGGTGAACTGAGACTTGCAGACACCGTGACTGCTAGCCCTGCCATCAAGGAAGCGGGCAAGTGTCTGGAGGGTGTCCATGCTGTGATGGAAGAGGGACGCAACTGCAGAGCAGGCTTCCGGATGCTCAACGGATATGCCAGGAAGCCTCAGGTTACCAAGGCATGATGCCCGTCGCTCTGTGAAATTGATGCGAGAATTTAATGAGCCAGGACGCTCTTTTTGCCTGTTTCTTTTGTCTCCCCCTTTTGCCATGCATTGCTTTGGGAGGTTATATCCAAGTTTGGTGTCAAGCTACCGGTGTTATTCGGTCCCTGGCTGGACAATGTGCTCTTGGGATGGCGAGGGATACTGGGTATTCCTCTGAGAGCTAGTTGCATTTGGAGCTATCCTTGGGGGAGTAAGGGGAGAAATGTGATGGTTGCACAGAATTCAAATTATATAACTACCCACGCTTAAATAGGAAAGAAAATGAATGGAATACGAGTACATAATTCAGGAAAGGATCCTAACTTGGATGTTTATCCGCCCAGTGACTTCAGTTCAAGTGCGAGATGCTGAAGAAGCATCCTTTTTTAGTTCTTCAAGCATCTGCTACTATTGCCACCTCCTTTTAGTATTTCGTACCATCACTATTAACCTTTCTCTAGGTAGATCTGGTATCAAGTAAGTACTAAATAAGGTTAACCATATTAACCATGAAATGAATCGCAACTTATCCAGGCATTCCGGATGCTTCTAGGGTAAGCTTCGGGGCCAACGCGGGGAAGAGTGGGCGCATGCCATTCGCCGAAATTTTGGGGCTGGTGCCGCCCGAGCTAGTTCATGCAGAAGAACCATCCGACTAGGTATCCAATCGCAAACATCATCAAAAGCGCCAGCCGGTTGATGCCTCGGGACAGCAGCAGAAACCGACAGCCACGACCTTCCAACTCGAGCGCGAACCAGGGCACAGCAAGAGGGCAAATGTCGAACCCAAACAACTGGCAGGAGGAGGCGATGCGGCGTCTGCGCCAGATGCAGACGCGGGGCGGGTATCCCGGACGAGGAGGACCGCAGATGCCCAGAGGAGCAAACGGCGCCTTGATTGGAGGTGTTTTGCTGGCGGGCGGCGCCTGGCTGCTGTCGAACTCGCTGTTCAACGTGGACGGTGGTCACCGTGCGATCAAGTACCAGCGGCTAAGAGGCGTGAGCAAGGAGATTTACAGCGAAGGTAAGGATATGGAGCTGGAGCTGTTGGAGCTCAATTATTATCATATTCAATGGCAGAAAGAAGAGCTGACCATGGGGATCTTTTCTAGGAACACACATCAACATTCCTTGGTTCGAGACACCCATCATCTACGATGTACGAGCGAAGCCGCGCAACGTCGCTTCACTGACGGGCACCAAAGACTTGCAGATGGTCAACATCACCTGCCGTGTTCTGTCAAGACCGAATGTCGAAGCCCTGCCCCAGATCTATAGAACACTTGGAACCGATTACGATGAGCGGGTGCTGCCATCAATTGTGAACGAGGTTCTGAAGAGCGTTGTTGCTCAGTTTAATGCCAGCCAGCTTATTACACAGCGAGAGATGGTTGCTCGATTAGTACGGGAGAACTTGTCCCGCCGAGCGGCGCGATTCAACATTCTACTCGACGATGTGTCTCTGACGGTAAGCTCCCTATAAAGCATCTCTCTGCGCAATGTGTATTTATCATGTTCTAATATCTCGTCTCCGAAATAGCATCTTGCCTTTTCTCCAGAGTTCACAGCTGCCGTCGAAGCTAAGCAGGTTGCACAACAAGAGGCACAGCGAGCAGCCTTCGTTGTCGACAAGGCCCGACAGGAGAAGCAGGCCATGGTTGTCAAGGCGCAGGGTGAGGCTCGATCCGCCGAGCTGATTGGTGAGGCCATCAAGAAGAGCAAGGCCTACGTGGAGCTGAAGAAGATTGAGAACGCCAGACTCATTGCTCAGCAGCTGCAGGAGTCTGGGGCCAAGAACAGGCTGATGCTGGATGCTGAGGGCCTGGGTCTGAACGTGTTTGAAGAATCAGAGAAGAAATGAGGGGAAAACTGGTGAAGGTGGAAGATAATCTCCGCTGCATGCTTGTCTGTACAATGAAAACTGTATTATAAGAACTATATGGAGGCTGTAATTGGCCCAGGGCACTGGCCACTGAAATATACAGATACGAATCCTCCCTCATATTATATCAGAGCAGTATCATGTGTATTGCTTTGGTGAACCTTGGAAGGTTCCAAGGCAACGGCCATATTTGTAAGGTACCCACCTACAAGTACCTGCCTATCATATTGGTGCTTTAGGCAGGCCTGCGAATGCGTCTGCACCGGAAGCCCTCGAGGTGATCAGGCATTCTGTCATCGATCCATATCCTTTATTTTCCCTATTTCTTTTATAAATTATTGTTCTTTCCCTCGTCACATTTTTTCTGCCGGAATATTTCTTTTCCTCTGTTTGCATGCCCAACCGCACCTTCTGGGTGGCGCAAGGCGCGCAACGGCAACCCCACCAGACCAGCTCCGACATCCCACCTCCAGCTTCCGTGCCGTCACTTTCAGCCTTGTGATCCAGACTTTATCAACTTCACCAACAGCCGTCACCGCCAGGCCTCGTTTGTGCAAGTAGAGCATCAAGGCATCTAGACTTGCAGCGGATAAACGCATACACGGTTCTCTTTCTCTGGATAGTCCGATAGACAATCAGTGCATCACGATACCACCGCCAACATGTTGATCAAGTGAGAGAGCTCGTTGTATTCTCCAACGATGTATGAGGCTGACCGAGCTTGAAACCTGTAGGGTGCGAACATTGACCGGCAAGGAGATTGAACTCGACATCGAGTCCGACTACAAGGTATATACACTCACCATTTACCACGGGTCCTGCGATCGGAAACGGCGACTGAATAGTATTGTGCACAGGTCTCCCAGATCAAGGAGAAGGTGGAGGAGAAGGAGGGCATCCCGCCCGTGCAGCAGCGCCTAATCCATGGCGGCAAGCAAATGTAGGGATTCAACTCTTCTATCGAGCGATTTCTCCAAACTCCGAAGCCAGGCGGGCGAACGAGAGGAGTGACACAATAGCTTACTAATTCGGGGTGCAGGACCGATGACAAGACTGCGGCCGAGTACAACCTTGTCGCCGGTGACACTCTGCATCTCGTCCTCGCCCTTAGGGGGGGACGGCACTTTCAATGATGAGCGACGGAAGCGAAGCGAGTATGTCGACATGTCTCTAAGGGAGCCGAGAGGAGAGCGGTAGATGGGGGAAGGCAAGTGCAGAAGGCAACATTTATGGTTTGATATACGGTGCCTTGTTGTCAGTTACGCACGTACATTTGGTCATTTGATAGATTGAGCTATACAAAGCATAAAAAGCTCTTCCTGGCACGATCTCTTTTCGCCGAGCCTTCGTTTGAGATAACGTTGGCTGTGATTTGCGGCAAATGGATGCCGAATAAACATTCAGAGTTGAACTGACGGGCACACAAGCAAACTGATAACATATATCTATGATACAGGCGGAAAGCACAGCGAGACAGAGCATTTGTCACTGGACGAACGAAAGACCTTGAGTTGATTGAAGTAAATAATTTAAAGTAAGTACTGTATGAAGCACTCCCTATTTGACACCGGTTCTTCACATCTCTAATATTTATCGTACATGCAGCTGCGTCGATTTGACGAGAGTCGGCTATCGAGCCTGCACTTGTGCTTGGGAAAAACAAATTGAAATTGAATAGACAAATTCCGTACTCCTTGTTCGAACTAAAATCTCAAAGCCTCGAGGGCTGTACCAAAACTCCCTTCACCATGCAGTCGGTGTGGGCATATCTCGCCCTAGGTATCAATAGAGAGAAAGACAATGAGAGACCACAACAAATCTCAACGACAAATGAAACAATGCCCTCCCTCTTGCACTCTACATCCTCCGCTTGGGTCGCATGAAAATGTCCACAGCTTTGCGCTTGCGAGGAGCTGGGGCTGGGGCTGCCGCGGCTTGGTGTTTGGCGTCAATAGCCTCTAGGAGTTCCTCGACTGACTGAGGCGAACTTCCTTCGTCCATAGGCGGGGTGGTTCGCGTCTGGGGTAAAAGGGATGGCGAGGTTTTTTGAGGGTCTTTTGCCGGCTTCGACTCCGGTGCTCTGGTGATGGTCGCAGGCTTGACCGAAGGCTTAAAACCTCCAAACTTTCGCTGAAGGGAGCTGGTAGGCGTTTTTGGTGCGGCCTTTGCAGCGGCTTGTTTTGCTTTGGGCAGAGCATCGTGGTCGTCATCGCCGTCATCTTCTCCTTCAGAATCAGAGACAAAGGTGGCTCGTCGTTCAAACTCCTCCAAGGCAGCTTCCAGGTGCGACATCTTTGCGGGTTCCTTTGTGGCTGGTCGATATGCCGGCTGTGCAGCCCTTTTATGGTCATTGACCATGGCCACTGGAGCCTTCATGACAGGTCGCTTCGAAGGTGCTTTGATGGGCCGTGAAAGGGAGCCGTGGATGTTTGCAATTTCTTTGACTTCGCGGCGGACCTTGCGCATCACGCTTGCTCCATTGGCTGTCTTTGTGCGGCTGCCACCGCCAAATGTCAGGGCGTTGGAAGAGCCTTCGCGGGGACCGGTATATCGTCTGATGGCAAACTTTGCAGAGCTGGGAAGAGCTTTGCCGCTGACAATCTTGCTGGTGTTCTTCTCCTTGTCTTGGCGGAGGCCGGCAAGGGCGGACTTGAGTTTGTTCTCGCTCTCTTGAAGCGCAGTGTCGTGCTCATTCTTGTACTTCTCCCAGACCTTGTACCATTTCTTGGGATCCCTTGGCTGATATGCCTTGGTTTTGGATTCCAGGGGGAAATCGCGCTCGATGAGCTTCAGCCATATCTCGGCTGTTTGCCCTTCGATTTGAGGTGAGTTGAGTTCAATCTGTCGGAGTTGGGCGGCATTGTCAATCTTGACCAGAATGTCGCGGACAGTCTCATAGCTGAGGAAGCCGATGTTGTCGATATCACGGATGTTCTTGAGGCAGGCCATGATAGCGAGTTCTCTGAGTGATTTGACGAAAGACATGATGGGCAGAATGGGTGTCGGGGAAGCCGACGACTTATATAGAAAAGTAAATAAGGAAAAGTAAACAAAAAGTGAATCGAACTCTATAGGCTTTTCAAAACGAAGTCAAAAAAACATCAGTTGTTGATAAGGTAAACAACGGATGAAAGTGGTGGTGAAAAGCTAGAAGTGAGTTCAGAGTGAGGCGTCGTCGCTGCAGTAGTAGAACGTGAGATCCAGCGAGTGCCCTGGCGATTCGAGGCTTGAGTCTCTCACCCCCCTAAGCCTTTCAAGGCTGTTAATTCGACACCGTGCAAAGCATCACGATAGTTTGAAATGTAAACAAAGTCATAAATGAGTCACGGACTCTTCGGGCGTGAGAATGAGGATGTATTAATGCGCGGTAATGATAATGGCTTGCAGTTGCTATGGCATCTGACGTCTTTGGAAAGGGTCAAACCGTCAGCCTCGTGCACGGACCAACACCGGATCTGCTAGTACTAAAGCTGTTGCTGTAGTTGGCGCTGCGAGCGTAAAGTACCGACACAGTATCGCAAAGTGCGCAGAGGCAGATTGTCACTGTACACAGTGCGCAGCAGCCTTGGATGGCTCTGCAGGCACTCAGCAGTGTGATAGTGCTTAGGAGCCACTGAAGCAGCTCCAAGAGTGGGAACCTCAGGCTAGCACCAGCGCATGTACTTTGTCACTGCCAAGCTCTAGCCCACGGTGACGCCTGGTGGTTTCTTCACAACCGCACATCTCAACACACAGTAGCTCGCCAACTTGCCGCAGCTCCTGCTTGCGCCGCCCCAATCGAATCACCCAACACAAGATCTCGAACCTCTGGAGAGAAGAATCGAGATGGCTGACTCAGGGTTCGTCAAGTCCGAGTTCGTGAAGCCCGAGCCGGCGGCGTCGCCAATGGCGCTCGACGAGGACGATCTCTTCGAAGATGCCGGCGACCTGGATTTCTACGACAAGTCAACACCGGGCAACACCTTTGAGACGCTGTATCTTGCGCGCGTCCCCAAGTACATGTGGGATGCTTGGATCAAGCTGACGGAGAAGCTGGGCGACGATGATGAGATCCAGATCGGCACGCTGCGGACCTGGAACGAGCCACAGATGGACACAATGCCAGATGGAAGCCCTCGAGAGCTCACGAAGCTGCGCATGCTTCTCACGGCAAACACCCCTGAGCATCAGCTTCTGCCTCGCGAGTACGACCTGGAAATCCTCGACCAGGATGTGAACAATTCCTTCATCTTCAGCGAAGAAGATTTACCGGGCTTCAAGTCCAAGAACAAGGCACGCGCTGATGCGGCCAGTGCTGGCATACCGCTGGCCCTTTTACGGTCAAGGGGAAATGCCAATTCGGAGAGACCAACCTACGATCGAAGGAGTCGGTACCAGCCCTATTACCGCAAAGCTATTCCAAGTATGTTGGCAATCTTTTGCATGGCAGGTATCCCTGCAGGATGCTAATTCTTTTCCACAGAGAAAACAAAAATATTTGGAAAAATCAGATATGACCTACGCGTTGAACCACGAAACCTTCGAGAGGAGGAAGAGCTCTTGGCGAAACGTATTTTCGAAGTAGAAAACTCCAAATCGAAGCTTCAAATCATCAGCAGAAACAAGGCGTCTTCCATTATCAACCCTGGATCTGCGGGTTCCGTCAGCTGGGGAGGCAACTTCATCGTGCGTGTGCCTGTTCCCTGCCTTAATTTGATGTTGCTGCTAACAAACTTGAAAAGAAAAATGCTCCCTCGACCGTCAAGCCCAAGAAGGGCGAAATCCTCAAGGCAACTCGTATTCCGAAAAACCAGCTTCTCGATCTTATTTTCGATTGTTTCCGACAGTATCAGTATTGGTCAATGAAGGCACTGCGACAAAGAACTCAGCAGCCAGATTCGTACCTTCGCCAGGTCTTGGAAGAGGTTGCCGTGCTCAACAAGAGCGGCCCGTTTGCCAACCACTATTGCTTAAGTGAAGCGTACCGAGACAAGGGTGGTAACGATGCCAAGGAGGCAGCCGCGGAGGCGATGGATGATGATGGCGATGATGACGAGGGAGAAGAAATGGAGGATGTTTTGGTCATGCAATGAACATTTCATCGATATATCCTCGCCTGTATTCTTATAAGGCAGTACATGTAAGACACTGAAGGGTGTTGATATCTCAAAGGAGGAGGTAACAAAAACAGTTAATTGTGAAAACAGGGTCAACGGTTATCTACTGGTGTCGAGGCGTTTGGGACGTCGGGATCATGCCGCTTGGAGCATTTGATACCCATTATGATAGATAATCCTAGCTAAGGGTATAGAACAAATCAAAGGATTATTACTGCCATTTTACCTACAACACCCATTTACCGCTCTGTTAGTCTAATATGGAGCTTGGTGTAAGAATGGTCCCTTGTCAAATAATATTAGAGATGAGAGCGCTCCAGCAACTAACCTAACCTTGTAATTCAACTATTACCTAATAGCCATGTTTTGGTAGTTAGATAGCTTAATTGATATTGCCCGATTTACTACTGGCAATAAACCTCTTGATTGGCCAGCCAGTGCTTTTGCTGTCCCGGAAGTAGCGGCGTTTTTTCACCTACGTCATGACAGAATCGAATTGCCTGGGGTAAGCCATCAATCTTAATTACGGACTGCATGCCATCGCCATTCTAGGTTGCATCTAGATGGTCGATTCAGGGACGGGAAAACCTGATAGATTTGATACAAGGAGCCCTTTGACTTGCTTTTTTGTGTATATCATATATGCATAGGCGTCTTGAGCTCGTGAGATACACGTAATATTGTAGCATCATACGTCATCGACGAGCTTCCATCGAGACTTCCACATCAGTAAAACCATTGGGGTCAGCTTGTGCTCCTTCCTTCCCTAGCTGCCATCCTGCGAATTGCCGTTCCCAAGATAGTCGCAACCTTGAAGCCATTGGTTGCCAACCCCTCACTACCCGATACGCAACCCCAACGTACTCCGTACATCAGAATGGCCTGGTAGTTGTTAGTGTTGTGGGTGGTGTCATATCACCACTTGTTAACATGCCGGTAGTTCTTCCTACTTGGGGAGGGATGCTCGCCAAGTATTCCCTACTCGCGCGGCAGGTATTGGAGACTGGTGCTATAATAGAACGGGAAACCGCCCTTCCGGAGTGCATCTGCCCTCTCATCGAAGCTCGTCTTTTTGTGAGAGAGAATCTACCTTAGTAAACAGAGCAGAGACTCAACCCAGATCATAACGTGAACATACAGCAATACAGCAATACAGCAGCTATAACCTCTTCGCTGAGCCACTGGAACATAGTAGACTGATACTACTGACTACTGGCCTGCACAATGGCGACACCTGCACCCAGTCGCCGTACTCAGTCGGGCGGGTATCTTCCCATTGAAGACTATGGCATCGTGGGCAATATGCACACATGCGCTCTTGTTGGTCTGGATGGGAGCATCGATTTCATGTGCTGGTGAGTTATCAAAGGTCAATTCACACTGCTGCGGTCCATCTCAACTTAAATTCGATGTAGGCCAGATTTTGACTCGCCGTCTGTCTTCTGTCGCCTTCTCGATAAGAACAAGGGGGGCTATTTTGGCATCTCCCCGCCTCATGAGCTCGGCTGCACCACGAAACAGCAGTATCTGCCTTCCTCGTGCATTTTACAAACCAGATACATCCATGAGGATGGTGTCGTTGATGTGGTAGACTTCTTTCCTCGGCCAAAGAGCGCCAAAGTCATGACCAAAGGCTACAAACAGAATGCCTATCGCGAGGCCACGAGTGTGCAAGAAGAGTTGAAGAAATGGACCGTCCGGCGTGTGGAGTGCATCCGTGGATCTTTGCCCATAGGTATGTTACCCTGCCATTTCCCATGGACAAAATATCAGGAGCAATTTGGGGAACTGTAGTAGGACTGATCTAACAACTGTCGCAGATGTTGAAATATTCCCTGCTTTTGGCTATGGCTTACACCCCCATGAGACAACGCTTTTACGGGCCACACACACGTGTGAGCATCGAGAAAGCAAGATAGGGACCTTCCACAGCCAGGATGTTAAACTTCAGCTTGATGTGGCGGTTGACAAGGAAATAGGGCATAATTATCCAGACATAACCTTTCAAAAAGTCAAGAAAGAGGAAATGCTGGGCGAGGGCTTAGCATCTCGGTTTACTTTGACAGCTGGCCAGTCCGTTTCATTTATTCTCAGAAATGACCTCCCCAACCATATCACGGAAGTCATCACGGATGAAGTCCTAGACAACCAGCAGCACGATACCCAGATGTTTTGGTACAACTTCATATCTCAGTCTCGGTACAAGGGGCGATGGAGAGAGGTGGTGGCTCGGAGCCTTATGATTTTGAAGTTATTAACCTATGGTAAACTGCTATGACGAACCCCAATGTTTTTTCAGAAGACATGCTAATAAGCAGCAGAGCCAACCGGCGCCATTATTGCTGCCCCTACCTTCTCTTTACCCGAAGATATAGGCGGCGTGAGAAATTGGGATTATCGTTTCTCATGGGTCCGGGACTCGAGCTTTACTATATACATTCTTCTCCGCCTTGGTTTCAAGGCTGAGGCAGACGCCTACATGGAGTTTATCATGGAGCGCTTCACTCAATCCATAGGACCAGATGGTGGATTGCCCATCATGTTCACCATTCGTGGCGAGACTGACATTCCCGAGATCACCTTGGATCACTTTGAAGGCTATCGAGGCAGTGCCCCCGTCCGCATTGGTAATGGCGCCGCTTTCCACCTTCAATTCGATGTATATGGCGAATTAATGGACTCCATCTACTTGTATAACAAATATGGGAAGCCAGTGTCTTGGGATATTTGGTGTGCTGTTCGGCGAATGCTGGGTCTGTATCACCCATCATCTTATCACGTATTACAATTTGCTAACCTAGTTACCTGGCAGACTATGTCTTGACCATTATTGGCAGTAAGTAAACTACTACTACTGTGTTCCGAGGCAGGTGAATTGACCAAGTATAGAAACCGACATGTCCATCTGGGAAGTGCGAGGCGATAAGCAACGTTTCACCATTTCGCAAATCTTCCTCTGGGTGGCATTTGACCGCGGTCTTCGGCTTGCTGACAAGAGATGTCTCCCATGCCCCAACAGAGCAAAATGGCTGGAAGCCCGCGACAGCATCTATGAAGAGATTATGGAAAAAGGTTTGTAACTACTTCTGTCCAAGGTTAATGCTGCATGCTCACAACGCTCTAGGATACAACAAAGAGATGAAGTCGTTCATCCAGAGCTATGAATCCAACACTGTGCTGGATTCGTCCATTTTGCTTGCTCCTCTTGTGTTCTTTATTGCCCCAAGCGACCCTCGTTTTACAAACACGCTCAATCGAATTATGCTGCCACCAGAGGAAGGAGGATTAACTAGCACCGGGTTGGTGTACCGATACGACACTGATGCGTCAGATGACGGTAAGCCATGATTCAATATGAAACCTGAATGTTTGATGGAGCTGATTATTAACGTATTATTGCACAGGAGTTGGAGGCAGAGATGGAGCCTTTTCGATCTGTACTTTTTGGCTCGTTGAAGCCATGACCCGTGCAAGCATCCACGAACCCAAGTATCTTCCACGAGCTTTGAATCTTTTCCAGAACATGCTCCAGTTTTCGAACCACTTGTCCATGTTCTCGGAAGAGATTGCACGAAGCGGTGAACAGCTAGGCAACACACCACAGGCTTTCAGCCACTTGTCGCTGATCAGTGCGGCATTCAACCTTGACCGCGTGTTTGAAGGATGGCAGGATTCTCGCTGATATTTATATCTTCTCAGTGGCGGCGAGATTTTCAATGCTTATTTAGTTATTGTGTATTCTTCTTTTTCTTTTTTTGAAGCTTGATTAAAGGCCCAAATGATAATTTCAGTATCTATATGTCTGTGCACGTGTCGATGATGTTCTAAACGCGATGTCGCATGTTGTTTACTTTGAACAATAGGACAAAGAAAATGAAACAAAAAAACTGCCCAAGTCTCTCTACCTAGCTTTCTCATTCTCAGTGTGATCTCACTCCTTCTTCTAACCCTGTACTCATGCTCATGACTCCTCTAAGATTGTAGATAGCCGTCGTTGGTGATAGATGGGAACGTCATGCTTGGCCGCACTATGCCCCCAATCGTTCAACTCTAGGTAGCGTCTGCAAAGAATTTCACGACTTTCGTTGGAATTAGTCATATTCAGGGTGATGTTATAGCGCAACGTGACACACCATTCGCATCTTCGAAGCGAACTTCTTGAGTGAAGGTGACGGTAGGGAGCCTCGATCTCAGCCTGGTCATTGTTGCTGCATGGCTTGAGGCGCTGATCCCGGGCTTTAATCTTGTGACCAGGTGATGTCAGTATGTAGACAGTCATTGTGCCTGTAAATTCCGCGTAGAGTGAGATTCCGAATAACAAAGGTCTCGATAATGATTGACGATGCCAAGGTAGAGAGCGGCGGGCAGATGTAGGAAGGGGGATGGCTTGACAGGCAGGATGTCGTCAGCCTTGAGAAGACTCGGAATATCTCTGTGTACGTAGTTGTAGACTCCGTTTTGGCTACTCGCTTGATTCAGATGGTGCTCAATCGCGAGGTCAACGTTGCTTCATAAATCATGGGCCTTTGGAAATGCGATCCAGCGTCTGGCTCTCCAAAATCTCGCGAAAGTCTCGTGCCCAAAAGATGTTTGCTCCGTCATCGGGGCTGCCGACGTGCGGGACGCGGATGCCGACTCGCTCGAGTGTTTGCATGAGCGACGACTTGGCGTCGGCAGATATGACAATGCCGTGGTGGGCAAGGAGGCATTCCATGTCGGTAGTTGAGTCGCCAAAGTAGACGGTTGGATGAGAGGAGTGCTCTTGTCTGGAGATGAGTTGGTTCAGAGAATTGGCCTTGTCGCGCGAGGTAGTTAGTCTGACGCCGTCGTTGAATTCGTCGGGGCCTTGGATTGTGCCATCAGCGGAGATGTTGTTGGTGATGATTGGGATGTTATGAGGATGAAGCACGCCCTCTATAAACGCCCTGGACCAATTCACGGAGATGACAGCAACATGCCACCCATTCTCACGCGCCATCTCAAGCATCTCGACGAAGCCCTCTCTAACGACAATGGATCCGCCGCAAACTTGGTCCCTGCCCATCTGAAACAAGTCCTGGGCCGTCAATCCTCTGAACAAACCCGACTCGTCGACTCTATCCAGCGACGCATTCTCCGTGTCCTTGAGGCTAGAGAGATAGGCGAGTTCCTGGCCTGGCGAGCGGCGCTCGTGTGAAGCCGGCGTAAAGGCGTTTGCAAAGGCCGTGTGGTCGTCGCCGTACGCTTTGACGATGTGGTCCCATGATGCTTGTAGATGTTTGCCGTCGTTGCGCTGGGACTGGACGGAGATTGCGGATTGGGCAAGCTGGAAGATCGTGTCTTTGACGGTGATTGTGCCGTCGAAGTCGAAGATGAGATTCATGGCGCTTTGGCTAGGTGGGGATGCTTGTGCGGCTGGGAGGAAGATTTTTGCAGATGTCGCTGGTCGTATTTGATGATAAATTATATTGAAATGTATACCGAGTTTGGATTGGTAATAAAGTTTGTGATTGCATGGGCGAAGATGAAGCGGAGGAGAGCGGTGGATCTGCAATGGCATCAAGATCCGTTGAGAGCCGGCGTATAGAGAGGTCACATGTTGTCCCATATTGCTTCTTGTCTGACCGTCTTCCACTCCTCTGTGTGTTGGTTGACAGCCCTTTTCCGAGCCACTCGGCGTATAATTGACGAGCTCATTTCAATTATTTGTTGCTTGCTGTTACTACTATTAGGTACATTTTAATACACTGGTCAACCAGGGTCCACGATGGCATACATGCATGACTAGACATCTATATTTCTCATATCTTGGGTAATGCATTGCTTTACGTCGTTTGCCTTGGCTTCACTGTCGTATAGTATATCGACCAATCAATCATCATTACTGAAAATTAGTTTCTTTTTATATATATAGTCGTCATGTTTGCTGCGATGCCCATTTACAAGGCACTGGCAACTCTGTAACAAACCACCCCTGCACATGTCCCGTCACGTGCACCGGCCAAAGCTCCCACTAGCCTTGTCGGTACCTTGTCAACTTGTCCATCTCCAATCGCAGTGGCGCTATACGTATCGGATCGTAGCTTGCTGGCAGGAAAGCAGCACAGGCCAGATTCGCCAGATCGCATTTGTCTCGTTTCTTGCTCCCGCAACCCCAATTCTCCCTCTATATTTCAGCATATTCGCAGTTGCACCTTCAAGATGGTAAGATGCGCAGCTCTTTGCAGCTCCTCCTTCCCCCCCATTGCGCAATTCTCGAGGTGGCTAATCAGGACATGTTCATCCAGGCGGCGCAGGTCATCTCCAACTCCGGCCATGATGATATGATTGTATGTTCGACCTCTACCATTGTTCACCTCGACTTAGCTTTGAAATCGCTATGCAATGCGCTTCAAACCTTTGCCGTGCTCTCTCTTTACGGCCGAACGACAAGCAGCAAAGGGTGCGCCTTGGCTAACTAGAATCCAATCTAGCATGATGCCGTTCTCGACTACTACGGACGAAAGCTGGCGACCTGCTCAAGCGACCGAACAATCAAGATCTTCGAGATTGAGGGCGAGACACAACGCCTGGTTGAGACTTTGAAGGGGTGAGACGACGCCTTGTCTTATATATGCCGACATTATACCCTCCCGCCAACATAGTCACTAACACGACATCTCCTTTAGTCACGAAGGTGCTGTATGGTGCGTTGCCTGGGCGCATCCCAAGTATGGCAACATTCTGGCATCGGCTGGTTACGATGGCAAGGTCTTTATCTGGAAAGAACAGGGCGCCCAGAACAGCCAGTGGCAGCGAATCTACGACTTCCCCCTGCACAAGGCCTCGGTCAACATTGTCTCCTGGTCTCCTCATGAGGCCGGCTGCCTCCTCGCCTGCGCATCTTCTGACGGCAACGTCAGCGTCCTCGAATTCAAGGACAACAGCGTCGACCATGTCACATTCCAAGCCCACGGCCTCGGCGTCAACTCTGTCTCCTGGGCACCAGCCACCTCACCTGGCAGCATCGTTAGCAGCGCCCCAGGCCCTGGCGCCACTGGTAACCGACGGTTCGTCACTGGTGGTTCTGACAACTTGATCAAGATCTGGGCGTTCGACCCTGCCACACAGTCATACAAGCAGGAGGGTGAAGCGTTGACGGGCCACAGCGACTGGGTTCGCGATGTTGCGTGGTCTCCCACCGTCTTGCAAAAGTCATACATCGCATCGGCTTCCCAGGATAAGACAGTCCGTATCTGGACGTCAGATCAATCCAGCGGCGGCCAGTGGGCAAGCAAGGTGCTCACCTTTGAGGCCCCTGTTTGGCGTGTTAGCTGGTCCCTGAGCGGCAACGTCCTCGCTGTTAGCTGCGCGGACAACAAGGTGTCCCTGTGGCAAGAGAACCTGCGTGGCGAATGGGAGTGCGTCAAGTCGATTGAGGAGTAAAGCAAGGAGAAGACAAGAGACAAAGGAATATGAAATTTTTGATATCATGACTTGGCGTTTGTTGGTGAGCTTGGTGTCCAAAGCAAGACGAGACAAAAAAAGAGAGGAAGCAATTATGGATAGGATAAAGTCGATTTACTATCCGTGCCCTATTCAGTGGAGAGAACGCAGCACTGCGGAAACGATGCCAGTGCCTAATGGCAAATTAGTCACGTTAGATGGAATCATTATGGCTACATACAATAATTCTTTGGAGAGCCTTTACATAGATGGTTAAGCACCGCTTTTCACTTTGAGCCAAGAGATATAATGAGTTTAACATGGCCACGATGCTAAGATCTCCTTATCCTTACTTGGTTTTGCTGATTGCTGACTGTTCAGTGAGTGTTGACAATTATGTGCTTTGTCCAGCATCGCCACTGAACTGACTTCGTCTGAACATCTATGGGCCAAGGCGATCTAGAACGTTCAAAAGCCATTTATAGCGAATGCGTTCAACGAAGAGAAACAGCAAGGGATTGAGGGACAGTTATGAAAGCCGCCAAGATGGTGTCCAACGTCAGAAATGAATGTGCATTCATATCTCGAAATGTTTAAGGCTTCGAACCAGTATAAATCCAGTCGAGTTGGCATATCCCAGTTGCCCTTTTAATTATTCGTCTTCTCAAATCCTACTACTATCACCTCCTCCATCTTACTCGCGCTTCATTCTCTCCTGAACAGCCAAGATGGTAATGTCCGCACCATACATCTCCATTCCAGGAGTGCCCAACTTTCGCGACATCGGTGGCACTCCCATCGCCTCGCAGCCAGGAAAGGAGGTTCGGCGCAATATCGTCTTTCGCTCAGCCAGGCCTACCATGGCGACACCTAGAGGACGAGCAAAACTCCAGATGCTTGCCATTACTCACACGTATGATCTCCGCTCAACGCAGGAACTTTCTTCACAATACTACGACCAACGCAAGGTGATTTGGGCGGGCATAACAACTCGAGCGTCAGTGCCAGTGTTCCGGCCTGAGGAATACGCTCCAGACGCTGTTGTTGCGAGGTTCGAAAAACACGGGGCAAGTTGCGAGGTACGTCCCGTCTCTCTACTTGGATGCTGAAGAAGATGCCACTTTCTACATTGAAACTTACCTGTTACTATTATACTGACCAACTCCAAAAGGGATTTGCCCAGGCCTTCTCAGAGATCCTCTTCTCGGCAAGCCATGTCCAGAATAAAGCGCGCCCATTCGCAACAATTCTTGAGCATCTATCCTCTGATACTAATGAACCGACTCCCATGCTGATTCATTGCGACCTAGGAAAAGACAGGACGGGCGTCATCTGCGCCTTGATTCTATCCCTCTGCAGCGTGAGCGACGAGGCCGTGGCCAAGAACTATTCCCTCTCAGACGAAGAATTGGCTCCGCATCTTCCGTCACTTGCTGATAAAATTTCAGGGAATCCAGCTTTTAAAGGCACTCGCAACGATGCAGAGATTTTGGTCCGATCACGGTACGTAGCTGTTCCCTCTTATAAATGCGAAAAGCGTCATGCGGACTTTTAGCTGACTGAAGGTTTTGTTGCAGAAAGGAGAATATGCTGTGCTTCTTGATGAAGCTTCGACAGAGGTACGGTTCGATTGAGAAGTGTGTTATCAAGCACAATTTGCTCCAGGCTGATAGCATTGCTCGACTGAGGCGCAATATGATTGTCGATGCCTCTACGAACCACTCGATCGTCGGTAAGCTATGAAGTTCTAAACCCCATCTTTTAATTTGCGCTGAATTCTGCTAATACTAGTCAATTGGGGAAGATGCGTGGGATGAGGCAGATTTTGTGTGATGGTCTGGTCTGTTGCCCAAGGAGCTGGATATATACTACGATCTGTGGTGTTTTGCGCCTAATTGATAACATGTAAACTAGATTACAAGATGCTAAATAGAGGTGTGTTTGGTTATCATATAATACATCGACAGCAATAAGATGATGTAGTATCAAGATATGCAAACTTCCGACTGCTGTTTGGCCGTCTAAGAACTAGCCCATTTGTATGCGCTTATTTGTATGTCCCCCCAAATGAGACAGATTGCTGCCTGCGCACGACAACTAGAGAGACAAAGACTTCAACGTTGCATATACCCTCTTCACTTTGTTTCTTCTCCTTTCTCACAGCTCATTCCTTCCGTATAGATAAAGTATTTTGTGTGAGAATTGTTTTGCCGTTCTCATCTCTCTTCATAATCCCATGGCAACTGCAAACAGCAATGCGCCAAATCACAAAATCATCGGCACCAGAGACCCAACCAAATCCTACACAGACCGCAAATCTACTCGCGTCGTGGCCCTCAAGCCCTCAGGTGAAATCGCAATAATCTACGTCAAAGAAGGAAACTACTACAAACTCCCCGGCGGCGGCGTCGAGGCAGACGAGAGTCACGCCGACGCCGCCCTGCGCGAAGTCAAGGAGGAAACCGGCGCAATAGTCGCTCTACGGAGCACCGGCTGCTTTGCCACGACTGAAGAATTTCGCTTCCATCAGCATCAGATTTCGTATTGCTATCTGGCTGATGTTGTTGATGATACGGGGGAGCCGAGTTTGACGGAAGAGGAGCTTGCGGATGGGTTTGTTCATCAGTGGATGACGGTTGATCGGGCCTTGGAAGCCATGTCTGCGGCCGAGCCAACGACGGAGTTTGGCCGTTTCGTTAAGGAGCGGGATGTCTATGTTTTGTCCAAGGCCATAGGGTATATCGAGGCATCAAGTTAGATCGTAAAAGAGTATTATGAAGGACTGCAGGAAAAGATGCCTCATGTCAAAGTTGCAATTCACGAGAACATTGCCTACCTTGATATATGATCAGTGGAAGACTTCCATCTCCTCTTGCTTATAGTTGGGTGTAATTGCTATGGGGCTTGTAAAAATTAGGATCATCACAGCCTTGATACATATGTGTGTGTGTGATTGTCGTGTCAGAATGATCTATTCCCAGATCCTAAACTTAGTCGGTGTCTGCTGTTACCAGTATGAACTATATAACATCAAAGTTCCTCATAGCAGAGCAGAGTGTCGCATTATTAGCGGTGAATTGCCATGTGCCCCATCCATTCAAGATCTCCAGCGTTTCCATAGTCGGGAGAAATCAAATATGGAGTAAGACCTCGTTTCCCCCCGCTCCATTGACACCATAAGTTTTCGCATCAGCGCTGAATCAGTGCCACTGGGATGGATTCCATAGACCGCCTCCGCCAGCATTCGCAGTTGCATTGGAAAGAGACGATCCCCGTAGTGCTCGATAATGTCGCTCTTCTCAACCGCGTATTGCAGACTTGACCATTGCGATGCCTCCATCCCCAAACGCACACAGGCTGCTTTTTTCTCCTTATTCCACCATGGGGGCAACAGGCCCGGGATAGTGCCAGCTTTTCGCAAAAACTTTTGAAAGCCGCGTAACCCACTCTTTTGATTGGCATAGAGGCTGTCCTCCATCAACTCTCCTTGGAAAACATAAGTATCCTCAACACGAAGACGGTAGGCGTCGATGAGAATCTTATATACGTCAGTTTCGGGGCGGTTGTGAAGCCATGTACCTTCATCAAGGCGAGTGAAGGGCATGGAGATGGGCTGCTCGAGCCCTTTCGGGGGAGATAGATGGGGGTTTTCCGAGTTCGACGATCCAGATGATGATTTTGATGATTGAGTCTTGCCGCGGGAACTTGTAGCATAGTTGCTAAGCGTCTGGCAGGTGTTAAGTGCGTATGCCACTTGAGGCATTCGCTTTGAACCTGGCCAGGGAAACCCCTTTGTTGGCCAATAACTACCTCGGCCGGCGCCCTGCCAATACCGTCCAGCCCTTGATGCTAAATTAAAGCCTCCCCTACGGATAGCCATTCTCTTTTCTGCTGGGTTCTGATTGTATTTGCAGATGCGATACACGGGAATGAGAAGAAAACTTGATAGCACCGCGTACAGAGCCGGAAACCAATATCCAAAAGGGCTGGTAGGATAGGAGTGAACCGAAGAAGCTGAATTGTGCAGGAGTTGAATTGGTCGTGCGTGGGAGGCCAACAACCTGGCAGGTAGGAAGGCTGAGCCTCAGATGTGAATCCTATGCGGCCCGCGATGTTTATTGGCCGAGCTCACATGTACACTGCATGTATCCTTGCCATGTGGCACCAATGAGCCGCGTTTGAGTCAGTGACAAGCGGATTACGTGTTTAGGGAGGTGTTTACACGGATATATCTAAACGGTTATAGTTCATCGGGAGGCGACTTTATTTGCATCGTCACTAGCTTCATGCGATTCACCCATTGTCTCACGACGCAATACATTATTCCATGGAAACCATCTTAAGCAAACTATTAGCCAATTCAATTAACAGTATTCTTGAAATCTCCAACAGATAAACAAATAACCAGTAGTTACTTATTCAGTGATTGTGTATGAATACGGTTGATAATACACAAATAGTGCCTTCCTCCCCTGACATGCTTCGTTATTCACCAGCAGCAAGCCGAAAATGATAACAATCCTGTTTCGCAACCGATCAAACAAACACTCAAGATTTAGCGGTCAAAACACGAACTTAACATGCCTCATCACCCAATAAACGGCACACTTCGTTGTTTCTCACTCTTCTTCGCAGCAAAATCGGCACGCTCAGCATCCGTCATAGGGGCAAGACTCAACGATTTCCGTCTAGCATCCTCCTGAGGACAGTCCGGGCACTCGCAGTCCGATTCGGTACCCAAATTTTCGCAGCACTTTGTGAACACGCCAATCTTATCGAAAATATCGCCGTCGCAGTTGCCATTGTTGAAGATTCCGCCGGTGTAGGTGCAGCAAGCGTGGGTGTACTCCGAGACGTGTCTTCCGTACGAGTTCCAGCATTTGCAGGCTTCAGCAGTAGAGAAGAGGGTGATGACAGCGAATATGGCAGAGTAGAGCTTCATTTTGACTGTATATGTTGAAAGAAGCCGGTTAAAGGATGATTCTTTAATTTGTGTAGATATTGGCAACAGGGAAATGGGTGCTGTTGAGTAAAAGGTGCTTGCTTTGGACAGCTTTTGAGGGGGCTTTTATAGTTCTTATTATTAAAATTCTTTTGGCGGAGACCCAGAACCCTTGAATTTTCATGTACACGACTTTATTTGTCTCCTGACTAGGTTTATGTGTCATGCCTCAGAGAGCACGGCGAGGCGGTAAGACATCTACGTTCTTAATCCATACCATTAGATCAAGAGAATATGCGTATTACACCCGATTTGAGACATCTCATGTAAATTAGAGTAGATGATCCAAAGAATGTGCACATGGGCCAGGTCTCGTTCAACGGCATGTTAAAAGTATCCCTAACCAAAACGTCATGTACATACCAACTCAAGATCTCTTGTCCTTGTGATGCTCATCAGAACCTTGGCCACCCGTCATTTTGGCTCCGCATGAATCAACTAAGTCCTTATTGCCTCAAGCTCTTGTCCAAAACTTGAACTCCGAATTCCTCGCCCCGACAACGTGGTGATCACGGCCAATCTATATTCATCACCATACGATCGCCCATATTGTTCAAGCTCTAGGATTAGGTGATTGTATCCTGAAATATTTTTACCGAACAGGCATCTGTTCAAATGATAAAAGAAGCAGATATAATAAGTTCATCTTACAACTCTGGAGGGTGCAAGAAGACTGTTTCCCAATCATTTATGTACTATTGACAGTATAATAAAAAGAGCGGAATACCTGTGAATCTCTCACAAGAGAAAAAGTGTAAACACACCCCAAGCCCATAAAAGCAGTTAAATATAACTAGAAAAAGTCGTCCACTACCTTACTTCAAGTAAGCAACAAACCTGCCAATACAGCCGCCTGGGCAACAGCCATAGTGCCAGGTCTCTCTGAGATTAAACCTCCCGCGGCATTGTTGCCATCGCCAGAAGATGCGCCACCAGCTCCGGTACTATTCGTTCGTTCGAGGACAAAGATCTCTCCAGTGGCATCAGACGAGAACCACAGGCGGCCAGAAGAGTCCCAAGCTAGTCCTACAGGACGGAAGCATTGATTAGGGCAGTTCGAAAGATCTGGGTTAGTAATGATGTCGGTAACAGCGCCAGTGCTATTCTGCAGAGCGGTGGGCTGGCCATCAGAGTCAAAGGCAACGGAGACAATGCGGTAGCCTGTAGGATCATTTCGGTTCCCTTTATTGAGTCAGTCAGCATTGGCATGCTTATAAATAACACAAATGATAACTTACAACTGCCGTGAAAGCTCACAAACGCCTCCGAGGCATTAGGACTGAATTTGATGTCCAAGGGAGCCGAATGCGCCTGGAAAGCAATCCGAGGAGCAACGAAATCAGCGTTGCAGCTTTGGTCTGTCACATTAGATGGCGCTCCATCGTCAGCAAACTGGTCTCCAACTTGGAGATCCCCTAGGTCAGGAAACCCAGATGTCGACCAGACGGTATAGCAGTCAGGATAGCCATAATTGCCTCCCTGGTGATCGCTAGAACCCAAAACACCATGGTAGTTGAGCTCTTCGCCGGGATTATCTTGGTGAATGTCCTGGTCGTGGCGTTGAAGCTGGTCGACGGAGTTTTCGACAGACCAAATACCTCCAGAAGAAGGATGCTCAGCAACGCCAACGGAATTCCTCAACCCCCAGCCAATGAGATCGCCATCGAGAAAGTCGAATGGCGAATCCCCAGGCCCGATCTTGGTAATGTTGTAGCTACGGATCTGAGAATGCCCGCTTGTGATATCACGAGCATCGTCATCTTCGTTGGAGTTGCTACCGCGGGAAACGAGAAGTGTATCTGGCTGTTTCTTGGATACGAGCAGCGTACGAGTCGTGTGATCCGAGTTACTCATGTTAGTAACAAGAGTGAGATTAGAAGACAGGTCGACAGAGATGGCCTGGCTATCATATGCGAAGGAATAGACACTCTCGGCCGTGGAGACGTAGACGGTCTTGCCACTGCCCGAGAGAGCAAGCCCATGGTTGAGCTGATGTTTCGTTGATTAGCGTAGCCCGACAACTCGTTGGATTTTGGACAAGCTCCATCCAGTCTCATGCTATAAAGGACCTGACACCCATCACTTACATTCTGATTCGCAATCAGCGTCTTGTTGCTCTTCACCGTCAAACAAGTCCCGCCCTCATCATTCAGCGTCAAATGCGTCAATCCAACCCCCGATTCCACAACCAAAAGCCCCCCAGCATCATCAAAGGCAATCCCCCTGGGCCTCTCCAGGCCATTCGCAACAAGCCGAAACTCCCAGCCACTCGCCGCCACCGGCGCGGGGTACGTAACGTTGAGTGTATTGGAGCATGTCTGCGCCCAAGTGCCCTGTTGGAGCACCTGCAGCAGCATCAATATCGGCAAGAATTTCGCCATCATGGCCGTGATCAACGGAAACAATGGTCAGAGCCTCGTCCGTAAAGGTTGTCGAGTTGAAACTACAACGGCAGCATTCTGAGGTTATGGGATATACATCAATGATGGCATCGCAGGAAGGGCACGGAGGGTTTGAAAGACCCGAGACACGCGTTCGCCTCGGACTAAAAGCAGTAGCTACGGGCCATTTTTCACCCTTTCCTACGCCTAAAATACATCCATCATTCCGTGGTTAATAACCCGGCAAGAGAGATCGCCGTCGCAGCGTCCAAAACAAGGGAGAGGGGAAAGCTGAAGGGATTGGAATTGTTGTCAATACAGGTAGCCAAGCTTTTGAGATCCCTGGATAGCCGCCAGCGGAGTGGGGTTTGCCCCAGATTTGGGCTAAATAGAGTTGCGGAATAAGCTGTTTAATATGCGTTAAGCATATAATGCAACCATCATAATGTGATAAATCATCGAATCAAACATTCTCCTTGGTCCATGTGCGCATTCGCAATGCTTGGGACACAAGTTCAAATACGTGCAAAAACTTAGAAAGCCCGATGAGGAGAGAGAAAAACAATATGTACTTAGCCAGTGTCTATGTGTTTGTTAACCAACATCATATAACAGCACATTTATACTTCATTTCTCATCAGTAAAAGCTCATCCTCAGCACAGCAAAGAGACATCTCTTCCTCAATATGTGGGTAGTAGTATAGAAAATTGCCAAGCCTAACAAAAGTCCAATCTCCTCATTCATTCCTACCTTCCCTCCCCGCTTCATCGCAACTCTACCCTCGGCCTCTTCAGCGGATGTGCTTCGGTATTGAACACATATTCATCCAGGCTGATAACGTCAGGAGGCGAAAAAATGAGGTAAAAATACTTGAGCGTCTCGGCCAGCCAAAAACTCTAGAAAGGATGGAACCACACATTAGTCAACGTTGTTCCCAAAGTAAAAAGTTCGTCCCAACAGCACAAAACTCACCTCCATCGAATCAAGCTTCTTCGTCGGCCCTAAAACAGTCACGTCCTCTATCGCAGAGTTCGCCAGCTCCGTCTCCGTCGCCTTCATGATGGCCTCAAACATGTCCCACGCAGTGTCCTGCAGATCCGCCTTGCCCGTGATGCGATACAGCACAAACAGGCTCTCAATCGCCTCCGGCCGTAAAATGTACCGCGTGTCCCGCGCGTGCTTAAACCCCTTGGGCATCATCCTGCCGCCCTCTTTCTTCCAGCGCGCCTCGTCCCACTCACACTTGTCCAATGTCTTGCACGGCACCATGCCGAAGATCTCGGGCATGATGCCCGTGGGAAACTGGCCATATGCCCAGCCGCACCCGCGCGCGAGACGCTCTCCGATATCGACGTGACCATCAATGTCAAAGAGCTTCCCGCCGAGGGCAAACATGCCTCCGACGAAGCATGTAAGGTGCTGGCTGTCGGCATCAAGCCCGCCGCCAGCACGGAACTCGCCGCTGAACAAGATGTCGTCTTGATCTGGCAGCATGGGCCTAAAGAGGAGATTCTTCACTGCCGCGTCCATGGCCGGGCGGTACAACTTCTCATAGACGTCGTCCACGCCCCCCAGCAGTGCGTGCATCTTGGGCAGATACTCGTACAGCGAGTCAGCCAATGCACCCAGCGTAAAGCTGCTATCGACAGCCGTCTCTGCTCTGAAGTTGAGCGTCGTCGGCCACATGCCCGGCAGCATCGTGTCGTTCTGGATCTTCTCCAGAAAGCGAGTCACACGATCGGTCGCATCGTAGTACTTGCTGTCGCCAGTCAGCTGCGACAGCCTCGTAAACTCCATGCTCAGCGAGCATGGCGACGCCGACGGATCATTGGTCCCAGCAACCAGCTTCCCCGACTTGGCCTTTTCAAAGTCGAGCCAGAAGCCGGGCATCCTGTTGGGCGTGTCGAAGCCCATATACAGCATCTCGCCCAGCTCAACAGCCTTGCGCAGCAGCACTCGCTCGCCGCTCAGGTCGTAGGCGCTCAGCAGCCCTCCCAGATGGCGGATCGTCGTCTCAAACATGTTGGCCGCCGTCGAGTCCGTCACCGACCAATCGAGCGTGCCCACAGCTCCCGCAGCCTCGGCGAACTCGTCCTTGAAGCCCATGATCCACATCGTATCAAGAGCGTCGACCAGCGTCGCGGCCCAGCCGCCAAACGGGTCCTTGGCCGATCCAGACACAGGCGTGAGTTCGTCCCTCATCCAGGCGTGCTTCTTGTAGGCATCGTAGCTGCGCTTGAAGGCACTCCGCACCGCACCGCGGCGCTTCTCATTGACCGCAGAACGGCCAAAGAGTCCGGCTTCCGCCTGGATTCGAGGAAGCGCCGCTGGCTTGCCCGTGGGCAGCGGCTTGATGTCCTTGACGCCGTGATGCTGCTGCACCGTCGACCAATTGAATGAGCTCGCCACGAAGACGGGCTGCGGTGTCCTGGCCGACGTCAGGTAGTACACAACCAGCGCGGTCAGCAGAATGGCGCTGAAGAGCACCAGACGCCCAATCCTCCGCGGCAAGCTTAGACCATTGATTATCCCCATCATGAGTCGATGCTGCTCTTCATCTCGACTGCAATTTGCCTCGAAAGAAGGAATGGAAGGAGAAGAAGGCAAAAAGAGATGCCAACCACTGCCAGTTTAGACGCACAACAAGGGAAAAGACGCCCGCGGTTCATATGCTGCTGTGCAGGTGTAATAATTCCAGTCAGCCAAACCCCAATTCAATCACGGCGCCGATCCCTAGTGTTTAAGGGGGGCAACCGGCCGAATCGAATCCGTGCCACATGTAGAGGGTGGATTCCCCACAGCGCATTCTGCCTGTACTTTACAGTATGTTTGCTTGTAAGCTTCGTTGAACGGCCTGAGTCAATAGTGCGGCATTAGCCTATATCAAATAAGGTACTCCGTAGTTTATGTATATGGCAACTGTATTTAGCCCGTCTGGACTGGCCCCCAGACAAGCAGATCAACTCAAGCAGAATAATATTTATAATTTTCTTGGTTTTTTATAAATAAAACATGAATATCAAGAAGAGAGAGAGAGAGAGAGAGAATTGAAAAAGAAGAAGAGGGGTAAAAAATCATCAGTACGTACTAGGATAGGGCCAATAAAGTCAGGAACATATGCATACAGTCAGGCTACTTCAGATAAAAATGCTAGGCAATAAAGAACAAGAAAATCGATGAAAGAGCGAAAAGGAAAAGACAAGAAAAAAATCCAAATTTGATGCTTTCCTTGTTCAGCACCAAGATTTGGTTACCACCTGCGGGACACCCGCAATCTCAGGATTCCATCTAGTATCATCTCAATATTCGCCATTACTCAACAGTTGATGAATTAATTCTTTGAGTTTCGCGCATTCCAATGCAGCTTGTATAGGTAATACGAGTACATAGTATGGAAATGCCAGATGCTAGATACCACCTGTATACAACAAAGACAGAGGAAACTCTTTAGAGAGGCTAGGGAGATGTGAAACAGGAAGAGAGACATGAGAGAATTGCCAAATTAAAGAAAAGCAAAACAAAACACAGCAAAACAAAACAAAAATTCATATAATCCCCTATAAAGCACACAAAATCAAAGGGTAGCTATATAAAAAGGGAATAAAAAGAAAGAAGCAACATGTAGCCCAGGCGTTCTGCGCTGGAATCGACACCAATCCGGATCTGTTGTATACCCTGACGCCCGTCAACAAGAAAAGAACAGAAAAGAGAACAAAAAAAAAATGCCAACAGCAGCAATCGCTTTTTCAATGAATTCTCAATTCCCCCTCCGAGCCCCGCTATCAGCGGAGCCCAATCACACTCATCTCCAGCGTCCACACTCGTCGAATCCAGACTTTGAGCTTGCCCTCGACGCCCTCAACGTTGTCCAGCTCGATGCCCTCCCACCAGCATCGTCTGGCCGGTTTCCGCCAGAACAAGAGCAGCTTCTGCGCCATGCCGACGGCATTGTTGCCCATTTCATTGCCGCGAATGTCGCTGCGCAATCGAGCTAGTGCCAGGCTGCAAATAACGGCCTTGTTAGGTTCGCCAGCCCGATGGCCCCAGCAATCATCGTGGTTAAAGCCACTGTGTAATACAAAGTTAGCCGACATCCTCCCTTTGACCAAATCAAGCTACAAGAAGAGCGTGGCTCCAAGGCGGGGGAAGGGTGAGGGGGGGATAATCCAATAATAACATACCCTGCCGTCAGCATCTCAATCAGGTGAGCTTCAGTCGTTCCGGGTTCATCGCTTCGTTTCAATCCAGAAAAGATGCCATCCTGCTTGAGCAACGCACGTGCCGCTGCGCGCTTGACTTCAATCATGTCAGGCTGGCTAATATCTGACTTGGGCGGGATAGCATAGAAGTCAAGATCTTCTCTTAGGACGATGATGCCGGCCCTCTTTGAGGTATCCTCTCGGGAGCCCATTGGATCCAGTGGAACAATTTCCCCGTCTTGAGACGTGCCGGGCGATGATTCGGTGGGGATTGACTGAGCAACAGTCCGGAAGAAGTCTAACATGTATTGCAGAGATGCAGGGTCGTACTGTGTTGCCGTTAGTAAGTGTGTCACTTCGATCAGCAATCTGAGATTGGTGGTTTACGAACATCAACCTGCACCGCATCGCTATCGGGAAACCCGCTCATGTGGCCTTCTGGAAATAGCCCGTTGGGAAAGAGGGATAACAGCACAAACTCAGGCAAAGTGAGTAGCTCGTCACGCGAAAGAACGAATCTGGTACCCCTGTTCTCGTTTGTTAGGCGCTTTGTCGCATGTCTTCTTCCGTTTCAAAAATTGCCACTTACCGTAGGTCCATCGTAATTGTCTCATCAGCGCCGACATCTAGGATACTGTTAACAAATTTGCTCTATTTGTTGGTTTCGCCTATCCCCTTCTTCCTTTCTTTTGGAATATTGAGATAAAGACTTGACAAGATAACTCACCTCCAATTGCATTGATAGGTGGTCCACCCTGCTGCACCTGAGTAATAATACTCGAAGCTCCTCCGGCGGCCGCCATTACGTATGAGAATGTGTGGAGAGGACTGTCCCCCTCAGAATATGCGGGCGGTGGTTCGGCGTCGTCGTCCTTACGACTTGACTCTCCCTTGGTGTCTCTGGGAAGCGCACGCTTGGTCTCGGCGACAGGGTCTTGAAAGGCGCGCGCAGCAGCTTGATCGGGGTCAAAGGGCTCCGGGGCGCGAGAGTCGTAGCCGTAAGCTGGCGCAGCGACAGATGCAGAAGCGCTTCCTTCGGGAACAACAGCAGGAAATTTCCCAAAGGGTTCACCACTGAGATGGTCCTGGACCGACGAGAAGAGCGACGAGAATGGCGGAGGGCGGGAAGATGAAGCCTCCGAGATGGGGTACTGTGGCGGCGGCGACTGCTCGGCCTCGTGGGCAGCACTCTCGTTCTCTGCGGCGTCGCGATCTAGGTCGAGATCCAGTTGTTGTTGTTGTCGGGCAGCGGTGGCCGTAGCGGCGTGCTTGTGATGCACCTTGGCCTCGATCAGCTCCGGGGACTCAGACGGTCCGGTTCCAGATTCTTCCGTCTCAGACAACGTGGCGGATTGTTCTTGACAGCAGAGGAGCTCGTCTCGGCGAGGTAGCGGTGATGGTGACGGCGATGGGGGCTGACAAGGGAGATTGACTCGGGCGGGTCAGTGCATCTGGCTCTATCACCGGCAAGAGATTGATGCTGCTAGTAGGCGTGCGGAAAGGAGGCGGGCATTCGCGTGCGAACAAAGGCTTCGCGGCGGTACGATCCAGCGGCTGAAGATGAATTTCCGTCTTCTTTCAGGGCCGAACTAAGTGCTGTGAGCCCGCTGATTGATGGTGCAGATTGGTCTGGTCGATTGATATGTTGACGATGGAGTTGCCGCTGATGAGATGATGGTTTGGGTGGAGACGAACAAGTCAACGCCATAGGCTGTCCACCGAACCAGTCCAGTGCATGATGCTCGTACCCAGCCCGGCGTTGGCCAGCGATGTTCCAGCATCCTTTTAGGGGCTCCTCTGCCAAATACAGGCGGGTTAGCCTCTCATCAAATGGTCATAAGCCCCACTGCAGATGGAACAGACAGCTAAATTGGGCACACTCGCCAGCCAATGGCAGAGCTCCAGCCACACCAAGCTTCACATTAGCCGCCAGAGCCAACAGTGATTGGGAAAAAGCTACAGAGCACCTGCGGAACCACCAATGAAAACGGGCAGGACGGCTCAAGGTACATCTGAAAGAGTATAGGGGCCAATTTCACGCCTGAAATTTTCCTCATTTTACCTGATCCGCTAGGACGAGGCTGATGAGCAAGATGCATCCAGATGTCAAGCCACAACTGCTACCTGCCCGTGCAAGTGCATTTAATACTCCATGTCATACTCCGTACTGTAACTCCATACTATAATTCTAATCCCATAAAACTCCAGTGCCTTGGCTGAATCAATGTCTTTTCTTTACCCGCTTCATTCGCTATCACTATCACCAAAAATAGCCCGTAGGACTGCGGCATTGGCCGTCTTTCCCTCAACAGCCTCATTGCGGTCTGGATTCACTTGGCTTTCGATTATGGGACTCTGCTTGCGCGGCTCCGTTGCTGTTGCAGCTGCTGTGTCCACGCCCACAGGAGATTCGTCCCGAGTTCGAGATGCCGAGAGCAAGGCCATCTGTACGTCTTCCATGGGACTGTCATAAGCCGGCCTCGCACTCGGGCCCGGGGCTGCTTTACCAACTTCGGGCTCATCGTCTCGGCGAGCGTGTGACGGCGGTTTGACATTGAAGCGCTTGCAGAGTAGTCGCGTAGGGTAGAAATCTTCCACCGATCTCGTCATTTTGCCAAACATGCCCATCTTGGCAGCCTCTTCTGCCGGGTCTGGAAGCTTTGGCTCGGGCACAGAGATCAATTCCTTCTCCTGGGCTGGGTCAGCCGAAATGCTATGCGGCGCTTTGGCCGTCGTAAACCTTGATGCCATGAAGCCAGTCATTGGTTTGAATATCCTCGCGCAATTATGGAACTCTGTCATCTCTCGAAGAAACTCGTCATCCGACATTCCCCTGGGCTTATCCGGAAGTGACAATTTGGGATTCGTATGGTGTTCCAGATAGCGTTTGTAACGAGCCCTTTTAGACTCATCGTCTGCGTACGGTCCTCGCAATCCCCTCGCAATGGCCGCTATTGCCGTTTCACGGTCGAGCTTGGGAACTTGCTCCCATAGCATTGTTTGCCTTTCTTCTTCTGACATTGCGAATTTCTCTGGGATCTCGCCTCGGCCGGGGGGCAAATCTGCTCTTCCTGACGCCACAGCCAGCTTCTCTCTGGAAGCGGCAGATATATAGTCAAACACGGATTTCCCAGGAAGGGCCGTTTCTCCAAGGATGGCGGCCCGAGATTTCGCATCGAGGGTGGACGACTTAGCTGCCTCGGCAGTGGAAACAAATGTGGTAGCTCGATCTTCAGCATTAGTGAGCTTAGATGACATCCAGCCGGGAGGAACTGGCGGTGGTGCATATTTGGCCATGGTAATTGTCAAATCTTGCATGGCATTTGCCAAGACAAACCCGTCCAGAGGAAGCCGTCCGTCCTGGCATTTCCGCAAGTTGCTACCAACTCTGGAAGTTTTTGGTATAAATGTCGGAACATTTTTTAGCGACGGGTTCGATGCGGCGGATAACTTCTTTCCTTTCTTCTTCTTTTCGCCTCCAACAACGCGATTATACCTAATCTTAGGTCCAATTTCGTAAGGGTCTTCGTCATCAGAGCCATTGTCATTGAGTATGCCGATTCCTATACCGCCACGCTGAGGCTTCTTCTTGGCGTCTCCCCGAGATAATATCGACAACGTGCTGTCGCGAGAATCAACTTCCTCGTCACTGTCCGCTTTGCTTTCACGGCGTAGTGAAGAAAGCTTTCCCTGCCCATTATGTCCCAGGCCCATACGATCTGTCTTGCGGACGAATCGCAGGACCTCGGCATTATCAGGTGCAAAGAGATGAGTTTCGCCATCTGCCGCATTAGACTTTCCGCCCAGGTCCAGGCGTGCACCTCGTCGCACTTTGGGTCCAATGCCCTGACCGTCTTTCCAGCCCATTCTCCGCAACAACTTTAGGCCCATTGTATCTCCGTCGGCTCTGAAAAGACCCATCAGCCCCCCGGCACGGAGTTCCGCCTGGGTGGACGACCCCAGCCCAGCAAATGCCTGGGTAGTCTTGAGCGTCTGGGCTTCCGCGGCATCCGCAAGGTCCTCTTCATCCATATAATCTTCGGCGCGCTGTTGGGAGTGACCAGCTTCATCTTTGCGGCGATTCGAGCGGCTCGACACAAAGGCAGACGGAGTCCATCCTTCCTTGGATCCGACCGTGTTGAAATAGCTTTCTTGATGGTCAGACGTTAGTGATCTAGGTTGGGGTCGAGAGAGCTGTGACTTACCCTGCGCTCCAGCCACCTGTAAAGGCTCCATGCAGTCTCCGCCTACCCTTTTCATCCCTCACCTCCTGCTTCCACAAGGGAAGATATGAGCCATCGTCGCGTTCGCCCTCCTCAGGCAAAGGGGTGCCGAAGATGGCGTAAGGCGCATGGAGGTCGGCCTCGAAAGTCGCCCGCGATCGTTTGTAGGACATAGGCTTTCGTATTCGGTTAAGTGCCGTGCAAGTGTCTGTGGCATTAGGGGAATTCGAGGCAGCTCAGATCATGGCGTATGCGCGTCAATCGGCGCTTCTGTGATGAGGCGGTCGAAGGGATGGCGATGTCGGTCGTGGGACGAATGAACAGGTCAAGTGTCGGGACAGTTCAGGAACAAGCTTGTCATAGATGCGCTATCGATAAAGTTGAAGAAATCCGACATACATAGAGGTACCAAGGTACCTACTAGCCCGCCAGCTGCCGACTGGTGACCCACTACAGCCAAGACAGAGTCCCAACTCGAGGATGACGGCACTCAGCTCCCTAGGTATGTCATTGCCTGTTGGGTACTAAGGTACTTGCTGCTGAGTGCTTTCAGCTGCTCCAGTGAAGTACTTGAATGGATCTAATCTAAAGCCAGTGCCCTCTTGTGTGTTATTTCCGTTTCCGGCTTTCTTTTGAGTTTGCTCAAGTGAAATCATCCACGATGCAAAGAAGAGGATGACCAATGTTTGCAAAACCCACTGCGCATGCTCTGGCCCTTGTGATACCTCACTCGTCAGCTTACGTGTCAGTGAGGCATCCGTTGTTCTTAGTGATGGTTATGGAGATGTGGTTCCAAGGCGGGTGATTCTGCGCCTAGTTGGAGCTATCGATGCCCTTTTGATTTGCGGGCTGCTAAGGCCACACGAGTCGCGTTTAGTGCAATTAGCTTTCAGCTCCCTAATACGATATAAGTGGTCTGCAATAGGGGGGCTTTTCTGCTGACAGCCCGGGCAGTTGATAACGCATTATCATCATACTGGTGGAAGTAGAAATTGGACGCCCAGCCACCTCGAGCACAATGATGAAATAGGGCAGAGGACGGGGTAAGACACAGACAAAAAGGGAGTCAGGAGCGCACAAAAAAGGGTGAACAATGGGCCAAGACAAAAAGAAAAAAACGGAAAAGGAAAAAAGAGCCCGGTGCATTGATGTTTCAAGTCATGTTTATCAGCGACAGGACGGACAGGGAGCGTGCTGGCATCCTCCGGACACTCAATGGGCCTTGTGGTGGGACGACAGCCAGCTGCAGCACAGATGCCCAAATGCCAGCTCAGGCGTGGACAAACAAACCTTCAGGTTCAATGACCCCATTCGAACGAACATGTGCTGTGGAGCCTACAGCCGTGACGGCGCTGAGGGGATGCCTTAGTAGATGAGCTGGCCCCAGCCCCCATCCAACCACTGAGCGATTCACGGCCCCTGGTGTGCTAGTTCCAGCGAGCCAGGTTGAGCCACGAGCCCTGCAGGCCCTGATGGAACAAGCTGGGCGAAAGGCGTCGAGTGTCGTGCTGTGTTGTGTTGTGAATGTCTACGGGTGTTTTTCTTTGTTCGTACGAGGGGCGTGGTACTGTAGCTGATGTACCTACCTTGGCCCTTGTACATACATGCTGAGTCGGGGCTGCTGTCTGCACAGGTCCTCACACGCAGGTACGAAGTACCGCCGTGGTGGATTCGCAGCGCTGGCTCGAGGTTAATGGATAGCACTGCGGAGCACCAGCTGCCGTACCCAGCCGTGCCAAATCTCGCCCATCTCGCCCATCTCTCCGTGTCTCCGTGCTGGCAGTACCTCTGGCAGTACCTCTGGCAGTACCTCTGGCACTGCCGCTCCGTGATATCTCGATACCTCGTGAGATACAGCCCCCCGGCGCTGCGTTACCTCATCCATCCTACCTGTACCCATTCTCACCCTGTTCTCCCCCAGCCCTCGCCCTGACAACGCGTGGATCTTCTCCTTTTTTATCTCGCAGCAGAGGAGGGACATTGATGCTTCCGTGACGCACGCGGGCCTTGCTTAATCTCGCCTCGCCCAGCGTTCGACGGCCTCTGTGAGCCTTTTTGCAGCCCGAGGCCGGCCCTGGCATCCCAAGCACTGCTTGACCACTTTGACCGCTCGCCATGACAACCACAGCGTCTCAAGGCTCCGACTTCTCCCACACCTCCCCCTCGCGAGCCCCATCCCGGTCATATTCCACACGCTCCTCCCGCCCCCCTCCCGTGCCAGTATCCTCTTCTGGCGGCGCGGCTACTCCGTCTCCCAACTCCAACTCCACGTACCATCACCATCACCATTACCAACCCCAAGCTCAAGCCCAGAGCCAGAGCCAGAGCCAACCTCAGCAGGCGCAGCAACAGCAGCAGCCTCGCCACCATCGCCGCAGCTCCTCATCGTCCCGCCCAGCTCAGGAGCCTCCGTCGGCTCAAAATGACTACGAAACTTCGCAACTAGCCGCATCCCAGTCCAAGCGCAGCTCCAGCCGAGATCGCCCACCGCTCTCCTCTAATAACAGGGCAGCGGACGCCTCTCGATCCCATCGAAGGAGCACCAGCATCCGTTCCGCACACACTCGTCAAGGCCACTCCGAAATGCCTCCCTCGGCCGTCGCCAACAATGGCAGCGCTGCCGCTGCGTCGCACAGCGCTTCACATGGCGCCGCCGACGCGACTCACGCCTCGTCCAGCGCCAAGCAGTCGAGGTCGCGCACCACCATTCCCACGCAGTCTGGCAAGTGGATCTTGGGCAAGACCATCGGCGCTGGCAGCATGGGCAAGGTGAAGCTGGCTCGCAAAGAAGATGGGAGTGAACAGGTTCGCGGCTACCCCCTTTGCTTATATTAAGCTTGATATACTTGGTTTATGACGTCGTCTGCTAACGCTGTTGGCTGTTTCAAAGGTTGCCTGCAAAATCATCCCTCGTGGCTCTACCGATGATGGCCACCAGAGTCGGGCGGAAAAGGAGCGCGCAGATCAGTCCAAAGAAATCCGAACTGCTCGTGAAGCTGCTATCGTCACCCTTCTCCACCACCCTCACATTTGTGGGATGCGGGATGTGGTCCGCACAAATTACCATTGGTACATGCTCTTTGAGTATGTCAACGGTGGTCAGATGCTCGACTACATCATTTCCCACGGCAAACTCAAGGAGAAGCAGGCCCGTAAATTCAGCCGTCAGATAGCCAGTGCTCTTGACTATTGTCACCGGAACAGCATCGTGCATCGCGATTTAAAAATCGAAAACATCCTCATCAGCAAGACTGGCGACATCAAAATCATCGATTTTGGTCTTAGCAATCTGTTCTCGCCTCGCGGCCATCTCAAGACCTTCTGCGGCAGTCTTTACTTCGCCGCCCCCGAGCTGCTGCAAGCAAGAGCATACACGGGACCTGAGGTTGACGTGTGGAGTTTTGGTATCGTCCTCTACGTTCTCGTTTGCGGCAAGGTGCCTTTCGACGATCAGAGCATGCCTGCTCTTCATGCAAAGATCAAAAAGGGACTTGTCGACTACCCAAGCTGGCTTTCAAATGGTGAGCACCCATAAATCCCCTGACATACAATGGAGTACCAGCTAACATTGATTTCTCTAGAATGCAAGCATCTCATGTCCCGAATGTTGGTTACCGATCCCAAGCAGCGAGCCACCATGCAAGAAGTTATGAACCACCCATGGATGGTTAAGGGATTCAGTGGGCCTCCAGACAATTATCTTCCAGTCCGAGAGCCACTTACCGCAGACCTCGAGCCAGAAGTCATCCATGCCATGCAGGGATTCAACTTCGGTTCGCCCGAAACCATACGCGCCCAGCTTACAAAGGTCATCGAGTCTGAGGATTATCAACAGGCCGTCAAGGCATACCAAAGAGAAAAGGATCAGCCGCAGCCCACCAAAGACAGCGAGAAGAAGCGCGGATTTGGCTTTGACTTTTACAAGAGGAGAAACTCCAACAGTCGTGATACCCTTAGCGGGCCGAGCTCCGAGGCGTTACAAATTGGCGCTGACCCCCTTAATGCGTTCAACCCGCTCACCTCCATCTATTATCTCGTCAAGGAGAAGCAAGATCGTGAACATGCGGAGATGAGCCCACCCCCGGCTACGGCACGTGACAAGGAAAAAGAAAAGGAACGCGAAAGAGAAAGAGAGCGCGAGCGCGAGCGAGAACGTGAACGGGAGAGGGAACGAGAACGTGAAAAGGAGAAAGAAAGGGAGCGCGAGCGCGAACGTGAGCGCGAGCGCGAACGTGAGCGTGAGCGTGAAAAACTACCAGAGCCCGTGCCAGATTTGGTACCCCCCCAAGCAGCCCATACTAATGCTGCAGCGTATGAAATGCCGGGCGAGAGACCTACAGGCGGGCGAACTCGACCTAGAGCTCGTACTCACGGCGAAGATGATGCGCCGGATTTGGTGAAGCAGCAGCATGTGCCTGTCGCACCCGAGACAAAGGCCGAACAGCTACAGAAGAAAGAGAGCACCACTGCCGGCATACTGCGGCGCTTCAGCACTCGAAAACGCAGGGAGCCTGCGGAAAAGGAGAGGGACCGCTCCCACCCACCTGTGGTGCATGTTCACTCGCCCCCCGAAGGTGCTCCTACAGCGCCTAGAAAGAGTTTCAGCATCCGACGTGGTCGGCGAGAGCGTGACGACCAAGGTCGCATCGCACTACCATCTGGCGGCAGCCAGCCGCAACATAGTGAGCTTCTGAGCCCCCCTCTATCAGCTGGCGGCGTTCGTGGGTCGCGGAAATCGGGTCTTGGACGATCGACCAGCGTAAATTCAGCAGACCTTCGTCGACGAGACAATGGCAGTATGTCAACGAGAGAGCCACCGTTGACGAGCGGTTCGGACCAATCCGTTTCAAACGACCAGTCCTCAACAGTACAAAGGAGCCATGGGCACTCGCAGTCGGTGGCAATGAGAGCCAAATCACTGGGACACGCACGTCGTGAGAGCGTTCAGCAACGTCGACTTCGTAGAGAAGCTGCCCAAGAGTCTAATGTACCTGAAGAAACGGACTTGGAGCAAGAGCAAAGCGGTGTTTCCACTGATAGATTAGACAGCGCTGAGTTAGCGAAACCGGTATACCTCAAGGGTCTTTTCAGTGTTTCAACCACCTCGGGCAAGTCGGTTCCGGCCATCCGTGCTGATATTCGAAGGGTCTTGAGACAGCTCAATGTCGACTATATCGAAATTCGAGGAGGCTTCAGCTGCAAGTACACGCCAAGCATCGACTTAAACAGGGTTCATGATGCACCGAGCAGCCCGCCATCTCAAACCCCGGGGCACCGCCGTCGCTTTAGCTTTGGTGGCCTCATGCGAGGCGAGGACCGTGATCGCGACGACATCCCCCAGATGGAACGATCTCCCGTAACGCCAAGAACTCCGGGACGACAGGATCGCGATCGCAACCGTGATCACAGCTACTCCAACTCCGAAGAGTCGGTGGATAGCATCCCCCGAAGGAGCGGAGGAGCATCGAGACGCGTGCCCGGAGAGACGACAACGCAGGTGCAAAGCGATCTGGGAGGCAGCATGGTGATGGAATTTGAGATATTCATTGTCAAGGTTCCTCTACTTTCTCTACACGGCATCCAGTTCAAGAGAATGACTGGGAACACGTGGCAGTACAAGAACATGGCAGAGCAAATCCTCAAGGAGCTGAGGCTTTGATTTGTTTTCTCTCTCAGGTCCTTTTAAAAAAAAAAAGCAAAAGCAAGGAAAATGGCGCATATTTTGGGCTAGCGATGTTGTTGGTGGACGCATGGAACAGCTGACTTGAGGTGGAGGCAAGGGGAGGAAGAAAAGAGGTATGGGAAAGGGATCCTCCATCTATTGCTACGAAGGGGAGTCTCTTTCGCCATATCGGCGAGTAATGACAATTATTGAAAAATAGAAGGAGAGGGCGCCTTTGTATATGGCATGTTGCGGCATTTCACGTACGTAGCCGGAGTTTTCTTTTCTTTCTTTCGTTTTGCACTTTTCATTTCTACCCTTGATAGTGTGAGGATTTCGGGACTGGCAGTCGGACGAGCGCCAGCGAAGGGATGAGAACTGTTTGGGGTGGCGCTTTAATCATCACATTGGGGAGCACATGAGGCATACATCTTGGTTACTTATCAACGCTTAGATTACGTACTAATAAATAGCAATATGATTCGCGATATGGGAGCCTTGCCTTTTACCTTTTTCCTGTTCATTTGGTTTTTTAATTGTAGCCATTGGAGTCAAGTTGAGTGTTGATGGGTGTAAATTACCTTACCCATGATGTGGAATTTGGTGATGGTTGCCAGTCATTGTCGAGAGGTATCAATGTTTCATGCAACGTGAGTTGCGCTAACATTTACAGAGTAGCACGGATGATATAATACCTGTACCGTCTGTACTACCAAGGTTTGTTTCACCCCGAAACACTGTTTGCCTGTGTTTCTCATTTGTCCATTGTTTGCGTATGGCATGAATGCCAAACAAGCCTCTTAGTGCTCCGTGCCATCCAGGTCGGTTATTTAGTAGAACATCATGCAGGTTGGCCATGTCAATTGGTAGGGGTAACGAGGGCTATGAAACCCTAGGAAGAGATGCTCGTACAGCAGAACCGCTGTTGGTTGTCTCATGCTATGCGTGCTTTTTCGACCATCAATTTGGATCTGCAAGGGAAGACTGAGACAAAGATACCATGTAAGTACCTCGCCAGGTACTACTCGCAGTCAGTAATAAAGCACTCATGAGGTACTTGGCAACAGGGCTCTAGCGCGGGCTGGATAAGGCAACTGCAGCCCAGGACAAGGTATACCAGGTAGTGCGAAGTACGTGTATGCGCGTGTAATTGGAAGCGACCTTGGACGGCACTCCATTGGTACTTTTCCCAGCGCCGCATGCACACCATCGCGCTCCGTACCTCCCACCTACGTAATCGGGTCCTCGCCTACCAGGTCGCCTACAGGCAAGGCAAGGTAAGGCAAGGCAAGGCACGGCAAGAGCATGCGGGTCTCGATTTGCATGGTCACCTGCGTCGCCGCGAGTGCACGCGGACGGCAGAAAAAAGGCCCGGCAGGTGCAGCGTTGTGACCCTCTTTTGCTCTTGCTCGTGCCTCTGTTTTTGCCTCTTTGCCGCTAGACACTCCAAACGCGGGGCCTGCTATGCTGCTTTCGGCGATTCTGCCGCCTCTGACCGTCCACGCAACCTGCAGCCGCCAGCCTCTTTCGCTCTTCCTCTCTCGCTTGATAGCAGCTTTGGCCTCGATTCTCAGCTCCTCACACTAGCCGCCGTCCGTTTCTTCATCCCTCAGTCGGCTCGGCCTCTGTGCTTGTTATTTCGCTCACCTGCCCTGTTCCTTGGACGATTCACCGGACTGCTGAAGAAAAAGGAACCCAGAACCAGATCCCTGGCCCAGTGCTCACGAGAAAGCACGAGATTCCGGACTCTACTACCAGAACGCGGACTCTAGGTTGCCCGCCATGACTGAGGTTTCATCCACCAGGCTGTACTTGGGAAACCTCCCTCGACATGGTCCATCTCCATTGCTTCCCGCTCCCCGTGGCTACCACTAACTGGCTTCCCGCAGCTACCAAGGCCGATGTCGAGGCTCACTTTGCGACCCACGGTACCGGAGAGATTACCGAAGTAAAGCTGATGAATGGCTTCGGCTTCATCGAGTACAAGGACGCAATGGACGCCCGCGATGTCGTCCCAGGTTCGCCCGCCCCGTCCAATCAACGCTTGCTATGGGGTCCATCGTTGCTAACCAGTCGCGCTTTCTTGCCGCCGTCGAATAGCCTTTCGTATGTCATCGCCCTAACATTTCTTCTTTCCCCGTCCAAAACCCCCGTCGCCTTCATTCCGCTCGGGTGCTAATTCGCGATTGAAATAAAGATGGATCCGATTTTATGGGAGAACGCCTCACCGTTCAGTTTGCCCGTGGAACTCGACACCGAGAGGGCGGTATGGGGCACGAGCGTGCTCCGCCGCGACCGCGTAGAACTCCTCATCGAATGCAGATCACAGGACTTCCGAATGATACCAGTTGGCAGGTCTGTTCCCTCTCCCAGTTTATTGCTCCTGGACTCCACGGGAATTGCGTGCCTTTTCTATCATATACTTGGAGCGTTTTGGTTTGCTATGCCTTGCTTTGGGTCGGCGCATGCACCCCGCATCGTCCTTCCCTCCCCCTTCGTTCTGGACTGGCGACTCCGGCCTGGCATCCCTGGTTCCTGACTTGATGGATTTTTTGGCTTGCCGATACGTGGACTTTTTTTTCTCGAGGCTTTTCTCCTCCTTGGCAACGACTTACATGGATTCTGCGAATAGGACCTTAAAGATTTCGCCCGTCAGTCAAGCCTTGACGTGGTGTACTCTGAGACTGGCCGTGACTCTAATGGTCGAGGGTGAGTTTTCATCAGCTGTTCAACTCATACGATTGCTGCTAACAAAATGACCCTTAGCTTTGTCGAGTTCGAGACTGCAGCAGATCTGAGAACAGCTGTCGAAAAGCTGGATGGCCGCGAGTTCAAGGGAAGTCGCGTCCAGTGCCTCGTCGACGTAAGTTGCTGCCACGACAGCCTCAGCCATGCCCCTCACACGGGCCAATTGCTTACCCATGTACACTTCAGACTCAACCCGACATGCCACCTGGGCCACGGGATCGTGGCCGATCCCGCTCGCCAGGGCGCCGGCCATACCCGCCTCCAGCATTTGATAACTATGACCGCCGAGGACCGCCTCACCGAGGATACAGTCGCGAGGCCGGCCCGTCGTATGGCTACCGTGATCGAAGCCCTCGTCGCGAGTATTACGATGACAGAGCACCCCGCTATCGTTCGCCCCCCCGAAGACCGGTGGAAGATTACCCGCCGCCTCGAGGACGTTATGAAGAGCCTTACCGCCGTGATTATCCGCCCCCTCCCGACCCTTACGCAAACGGAGGTCGACCGGCGTATGACCGGCCACCAAGAGAATTCCCCCCAAGAGAGCCAGCATACCCCAGAGAGGGTGGGTATGCGCGTGACTACGATCGTGGCGGGCGCTACTGGTAAATTCATTCTCTATTCCATCTCTTGTCTCAGAGCACACATCGTATAGCTTTTACTTCACCTCCCCTACCGCCCGAATTCTTTCTTCTTTTCGTGTCTCTTATGTATACACTCGCTCCCTTGGCGGAATTGGCCTTGACCAAAGGTGATAGATGACCACGGATTTTTTTCTCAATTCGAAAAGTTGGCCGCCTGGCCTGGAGAGACTGGTTCTTACGGGTTCGTAGCTAGTGCGGGGGGTGGGAGTTTTTGGACTTATCAATAGGTCAAACAGCCTGCTATTTGCTATTTCGATAGGAATGGATACCGGAGGAGGAATATCAGGACCGAAGCTCTTGAGGAGCAGAATGAACATGGGACTGCTAACCGGCTGGAGGGAGGAAACCTCCGGAACACATGATATCACATGGGAGGCAAGAGAGTCAGGCTGTACGATTTAACGGGATTTATGCAGGGTTCTATTTGGTCTTTTTCCTTTACACTTGATTTGCTTTTTTTTTATTTATTGTTTCTATCATACTTTGACACTTTTGCAACCAAAGATATGTTGACTCAGGCACGTGCTAGTCGAACAGTATATAAACAAAAAAACGTAAAAGATCCAAATATTTGACATGGACATGGTGAAACGCGATATAAAAATCCACAAATGACCGGTCAGTTCAGTTAACAATGCTCTCAACAGGAGAACTGGTCGTTGGTATTATACACAGGCCTTGTTTCTGTTTCGCTCCATTCTATCCGAGGATGGGCGCTGCTAGTACGGCAAACATGTATGAGAAGCTCCTTATTTGTCTCGAATGGGCCCGTCTAGGCAGTCTTCTTCCATTGAGAGTAGACGCCGATCGCGCTGCTGACAGTTCCGGCCAGGCCGACGAAGCCGTCATCGAAGCCTACCCAGCCGAGGGCCGCAGAGGGAATGGTCAAGTCGCAAACGTCGGAGATGAGTTGCAGATGGCTGGCGGCTCGCTCCCTAGAGGGATTACACACATTAGCTGGGGTTTTCTACAGGGATGATGTTTGGCGGGGAACTCACTTGAGGATCTGCTTGCTCTCGACGACGCCCTCGCCGTCCTTGCGGTCGATCTTGGCCTCGCGCTGCTTGAGGCGGTACAGTGTGTATGCCTGGCCGGCAATGCTGAAGATGAGGCCCATGGCCCAGAAGCGGTATGCATGCTGCTGCAGCGTCTTGGCCGCGTGCCACTTGCGAATGCCAGCGGCGTCGCCCACGGTCAGGGCATCGAAGGAGAGATATCCGGCATAGCCAATCTGGCGGCCGACGGCGGCGTAGCGCAGGAAGGGCTCGATGGCCTTTGCGTCGGCGGCCTGGGCGGCGGCCTTGATGTGCTCGACGTTCTTGCCGACGCGCATGATCTTGCGGGCGAGGCCGAACTGCTTCTTGATGGCGTTCCAGGGGGCCATCTGCGAGGGAGAGCCATTCGTGCGGAGGAGGTACCAGGCGAAGAAGCGGGCGAAGTACTGGAGGGTGCGGAGGATCTTGTCGCGGCCGACGGTGGTGGCGACGAAGCGCAGGTAATGGGCCACCGTGGGGTGGTAGACGAGGGTGTCGGCAACCATGTTGGAAGGTTTGGAGGGTTTTGAATGAAGTCTTGAAGTTTTAGGTGAGGTGGATGGAGCACGCGCTCATCAGACAATGGCTGCGCGATGGGGACTCGATGACGTCTCTTTTCTCCTAAAGTGAAAAAAAGAGAATATTAAAGAAAAAGGCGGTATCAAATTGAAGCAAACAGAAAAAAGTATGCAAATAAAAAAAGCAGAGGAAGTAAAAAAAATAAGAATCTCTGGTGAGGAAAGTTGGAGAGAAGGGTGATGGTTTAGCCGCGACTCTTCGTTGGAGTCGCAAAGCCGACGGCAGTGGTGTGGTGTGAAGGCCACATGCCGAGGTAACTTGGAAACTCGAGAAAAGAGATTCCCCCACAAAAGGCAAGGCCAGAGAGAGATTTGAGCCTTGGGGAATTTTTTCTGGGACGAAAAGCCGGGGCTGGGGTAAAACCGGGTTCCGGAGTAGACCCGCCCACAAACGGACGAGATTTAACACGTGAAACTAGATTGCTTATGTAAGTGAATATGGCTTATGTAAGGGGGTGAGCTTATGTAAAGAGCTGAGCTTATGTAAACTCGACCTCTGGACACGTGCTCCACGGAATTATACCGGATAAATTGCTGTGCCCCAGCCTTCTTCGCTTTTGCCCAGCTCAGCTCAGCTCAGCTCTAACAAAGTGGGCGCCTTATTAGCTAATCGCTCTCTTCTCCCTCTCTCTTACCCCCCCCATCTCGGCACCGCTCGGCTCCCCATCCCGAGCTGCAGCAGCCCAACTCACGTGGACCCTCTTCCGCCACAGCCCCGAAACGGGAAACTTTTTAGCTCAAGTCCTCCCCCTTCCTGTTCTTCCCGGGAAATCCTCTTACAAGTACAAACAAACAACTTTCGTTGGGCCCTTTCGGCAGTCTGGGCAACGAACGGGCTTAGCCGGGCGAGGGAGAGGGAAAAAGACTGACCCTTTTTCCGTCTGAGTGGGGGGAAGGGGGAACGATGTGAGTAGCAGAGAGAGATAGAGAGAGATAGAGAAGCTCCAAAGGGTCCGAACGAAGAGAGAAGGAAAAAAGCTCCCCTCATCCGGCGAATACCGTACGGGGGCCAAGTTCCGTGCCGGGTGGTCCCTTCGGTATAGTCGGTTAAGCATGACCACTGCTGTGTAAGTAGTTTGTCAACTGATAGGAGAGAACAAGGAAACCAAAAGTAAATGCCCAGAGACCCCTGGGGGCAAAAACAAAGGCCTAGAGTAGCCGCTCCCGTCAAACGAGCGCACAAGCCCCCAAAGGAACTTATCCTGGCCAACCCGGAGGAGGGGGACCTGCGTTTTTCAATGTACCTAGTCGTTCCGGCCGGATGGCAGCGCGCGGGTTTACGCGATCGCTTTTTTCGATTTTCGGCGTCTTGTGATCAACGTCCGTAGTCAGGGACCTTTTTTATTTTGGCCCCTTTTTTCTACTTCTTCTTCCTCTTCTTCTTTTATATGAAGTGTAGTTCCCCCCAAATCGTGCCCTCTTGAAACTCTCTCCAACAAAAACCCCACGATATACCCCGCGTCATCGCTTTGTATTGCCGAACTGTACCAGTGCTAGCCGCTACCTCACGGCAGACGTCCCTTTTTCTCCAACAAATCCCCAACCCTTTCCTCAAAGTCTCAATCCCCTTCAATTCGATTCATTCAATCCAATTGCTCCTCATAACCCCCCACGTCACCGAGATTTCCATCCAGGGACACGCAATAACCACTGCGAATCAAAGCTCCTCAGCTGCTATAGCCAAGCTCTCTTCCCCCAATTACATCATCGCCATACAAAACCGTCACCATGTCCGAGTCGGGCGAGAAAGTCAACACCCACATCATCACACTCACCCGCTTCCTCACCGAGGAGCAGATTAAGCACAAGGAAGCCACTGGTGACTTTACGTATGTCCAATTCCATCCACCCGCTGACTTATTGCACGAGCATTGAATAATACAATCCTTGCGCCGCACTGCACTGCACTGCCGCTGCTCCTCCACACAAAGAAGCAGAACAAGACTAACATCCAATGTTGAAATTGAAAAGATTGCTTTGCCATGCTCTCCAATTCTCCTTCAAGTCCATCGCCTACTACATCCGCCGCGCCACCCTAGTCAACCTGACGGGTCTGGCCGGCTCCTCCAACACCACCGGCGACGAGCAGAAGAAGCTCGACGTCATCTCCAACGACCTCTTCATCGAGGCCATGCGCTCCTGCGGCAAGGTCGCCCTGCTGGTGTCCGAAGAGGAGGAGACCGAGATCTACTTCCCCAATGCCGTTGGCGCCCGCTACATCGTCTCCTGCGACCCCATTGACGGCTCCTCCAACCTCGACGCCGGAGTCTCCGTCGGCACCATCTTCGCCATCCACAAGATCCCCGACGGCATTGACATCGCCCGGAAAGAAGACATCCTCAAACCCGGCACGGAGCTCGTCGCCGCCGGCTTCACAATGTACGGCGCCTCCGCTCAGCTCGTCATGACCATGAAGGGAAGCACCGTCAACGGCTTCACGCTGGACAATGGCGTCGGCGAGTTCATCCTGTCCCACCCCAACATGCGCATTCCCAAGTCGCGTGCCATCTACTCCGTCAACGAGGGTAACTCCCTGTACTGGGAGGACAAGACCATCAACTACTTCAACTCCCTCAAGCAGGCCCAGGCCAACGGCAAGCCCTACAGCGCTCGTTACATCGGTAGCATGGTTGCCGATGCCTACCGTACGCTTCTGTACGGAGGCATCTTCGCCTACCCGGCGGACAAGAAGAGCCCCAAGGGCAAGCTTCGTATCCTTTATGAGTGTGCGCCCATGGCCATGGTTTTTGAGAATGGTGAGTCGTCACATCATTCCCGCTTTCCCCTCCCCCCCTTTGTGTATTTGACCTGGAGCTAACTTTGGCATGTGATAGCTGGCGGCCAAGCTGTTGACAGCACAATGAACAGAATGTTGGAGGTTGTACCAGAGCACATCCACGACAGGTCAGGTATCTTCATGGGCAGTTATGATGAGATTGAAAAGGTCAAGTCCTTTTACAAATAAATAACACAATCAAAGGTAGCGGGTGAAAATGAGAATAGAGTGTGAAAGCATGACATGAGGAATTTGCATCATGGTCCATTGATTTGCACCAAGCATGACGTATATGTCTCCATCTCTTCTAGACGGGACCAAATCATATAAACTTATATAATTGTACAAATCTCAAATTATAACCATCTGCTTTTCTCTCCAAGTGCCCAGTCTCCAGGGAAGAGACTCCAAGGAGTTAAGGGGGTGAAACTCACCTGACGGGCTTACCAAAGTCTAGGTATCAGTCTCGGTGTATTCTTCTTCCACTCTTGATAGTCTTTTCTATCTCCATACCGCTTGTCATACTTTCCCTCGGAGAGGGGTATGCCAGACACCTTGAGGAGCAAAAATGCTGCAAAGGCTGGACTGACGAATGACAAGGTAGTGGTCGTGAGGATGCCCAGGGCACCTCCAGATAGACCAAGAGCTTGTTGGATGGGTGACCGGGAGAGAACACCGGCAGTTGCAGTGGCAAGACCAGTCCAGAGTGTGATTTCTCCAAAGTAGTTGGGGAACCGACTATCAAGTCATCCTTGTTAGATTCATGCTTTGTGCCCAACCAGGTTTTCAACTCATAGATTCTATACATGCCTCTTTGAGAAAAGCCCGCGCGCCATAAACTCTTCATCATGTAGCTTAAGCTTCTTCTCCTTTTGCCACTGGCTCTTCTGCACATCTGCCAGTACCTCGTACGCAAAGCCTGCCAGCCAGAGCGACAGGCCAAGCACGTCTGTGGCAACAATCGTTGGGAGAGCAGATGCCAACACTGCCGCAGGGACGGCGTTGAGCATAATCACTGGCATAAGCTCAAGTGAGACCCAAACGGCCTGGAAAAAGAAAGCTCGAGAAAAGCGAGCGGGCTTGTGGCGGATGGAATTGAATCTGGAATCATGGCCGGTGGTAAGAATGCGGTGGAAAAGGAACGAGCCAACTTTTTTTTGGTGGTGGAAGAGCAATTAGTTTCAAGCTTTTTTTTGTTTTTCAACCTAACAGATAAGGGGAGGGAGGGAGAGAGAGAACAGTGTGTGTCTTGTTGGAAGGAGGATGACAATGGGAGGGGGGAAGTAAATCGAACCTCCTCGGCTTTGAGGAACTTCGGGATTAAGAGATGGAGAAGGAGAGCTCACGCCGCACAGCCCAGGCCGCTGTCATTCCCGTCACGATGAGCTGCCTCCAGCTCAGCAATCCCGCAGTGACATCCGCACCCGCACCCGCACCCCCCCTCAGCAAGTCCAGCAGGCCCGGCAGGCCAGGAAGCTTCGCGCCGGCGGCATAAGCAGCAGCACGAGCTCGCAGGGCGGGGAGATATAAGCTTAGCGCGCCGACAGCCAGGAAGGTCGCGGACCCGGACACGTCAAAGAAACGCTCCGATCCGGCAAGCACTGAGGGGATCGCCACGGCGCCTTGGACAGCAAAGGCGGTGGCGATGCAGGGTGCCAAGGACCGCAGGAGGGGGGAGTGGAAGTCGGTGATGTGAAGGATGAAGCTGAGAAGTGGCATGGCTGCTGAGGCGATTAGAGTCTGACTGTGCTGCGTAGTACCGGATCGGATTATACCTAGTATTATAGTATTATAGTATTATAGTATTATTAGAGTGTTGTACTATTGCCGTAAGGTGGGCGCTGCTTGCGTGGCAGTGGTGAGAATTGCAAATCAACAAGCAGCCATAGAGTCGTAGATGCCTAGGTATAATCAAGTCAGAAGTGAGTGAGGCTTTAAAATGGGTTTGCCTTGGCAGCATTGCTGTGAGGAGGAAGGGCGTGCAATTTATCCGATACTGCGATGCGACATGGCGTTGGGAAGTTCAGGTTCGTTTGGGAAGGAGCTGAGCTGGGTTGCGCCTAAGTGGTGACGACATCGATGTGCTGCAAGCGCTGCGATCCAGCTGCAGGAGGTTTTTAACGCGCATCTGCTCATTGGGTGGACAATCTTGCATTTGGGATGGAGATGTTGCATTCAGAGCACGAGATAGTGCATTCAATGATTCAACAGGCGTTGATTAGCAGTGCAGTGTCTGTCTGTTTGATGTATAAGTTCCATGTTGTCGTAAGCCGTATACTCCGGCAACTTGGAAACTGTAGATTATATCCTTCATTATTTTCACTTGCCCCTCATCGATTCAATCGAAGCAGCTCCTTCAAATCAACCCGCATAGCAACCGTCGCAACCAACTTCGACGAGTCTGCGGCTTCTTCAACGCTGCAGCTTCCACAGCAGCAGCCTTGGGGTCATCGGCTTCCTCTTCCTCTTCCTCCTCCTCTTCAATCTCCCTCCTCGCCGCAATGGCGTGGATTTCGATGGAGAAATCTCCCTCTTGATCTCCAAAGAAACTATTAATCTCACCCCGTCAGTTACTGAATCTGCCACGCAACGAGCCATTTCATAAAGACCAAACTCTGGTCCTCCTCACCTTCGCATCATCAAACCAACTCGCTTGACATTGGACAGGTCCAACGGCTTCGCATCCGGCTTCGGCCTGCCTCGATACGTCGGCTTAAACGCACTCCACGGCAAAAAGACCGTCTTCAAGTCGTAATCCGATCTGCCCTGCGAAACCGTGAATTCGGCCTCCCAACTAATACCGGCCTCTTCACGCCCGTCGCCCCTCTTCGGAGGTATCTCGTCCTTGAGCGTCAGCGCGTAGCGTTTGCCATCGGCTTCGGCTACCGCAATGACGATGCCCTCGTAGCCGGAAAGGTCCCAGTCCAGCACGCCCAAGCTGTGCTGCGATGCGAAGCCGGCACCACCAAGCGTCTGGGTATCGAGATGGCCGTAGAAGCGGGCCTTTTCGGGGTTTATCACGGAGAGGTGGGACTGGCTGGCGCCTCCGCGGACACGATCATCTGAAGTGACCCATAGTGAGGAATCCCAGGGCCTTTTGGTGGTCGGGACCCCAAGGGGCGGGTTTCAGTTAGCCTCGAGATGCTTCCCTTTTTTTTTTTGGCCCGGACGCTCGCTCGCGTGCTCAAGTGGCTTCATCTTCCCCTTTCCCCAAGTCATGCATGCTCCCCCAAGGGGTGTGCTGCGTCTCCAAGAAAAGAACAAAGCAAGAATACCAAGCCACCGTCGCGGTCTAGATTTCTGATTCGCGTCCAACTCATTCCCAATCGAGCCAATGATCAAATTAGGGCAACGCAAGCTCCCACAGTGTGTATATCGTGAAGAATAGGTAGAGGGGTGAGGGGAAAAAAACAACGAGGTCATCACGGCGCAGGCAATGGATACAAGGCGGATAGAAACCAGCACAAACTGAGGGAGGGGGAGTCTCTTACTGGTCTCCACCATACAGATAGAGCAATTGCTGCCAACGAGTCGTGTTGTGCATCGTGGTCCTTTGCAAAGACAATGGGCGGGGGGCGGCGATTTCCTGTCGATATGGCATTATTAATGGCAAGCAGGAGATGGCGAGTTTCAATTGCTTCAGTCGAGCTGTAGCCTCGCCAGCAGTAGCCTTGTTTGGTCAAGAGTCGAGGCTGCAGCGAGTAAGTTGGCTCGGCTAGGCGTTAATAGCGGATACTCCAATCGGGCGAGGCCGCCTCCGCGGAGTATTCTTACTCCGGCATCTGGTCGGATCCCTTAGTAATTCTTGCAAACTCCCGAAATGGCCAACGGAGATAGAGTAAAGCCAGAGTGACAAACCTGTCAAACGGGTTGGGGGGGCGTTGCGTAGGCCAGCAAGTCCGATCAAGCCACGAGCCCACGAGCCACGAGCCAGCAAAAGCCAAAAAGGATGCCAAATGGGCGCGAATGAGCTCATCAACGCCTCCATTCCCACGTGCTTGATGGGTGACGGGGGTGGCTGTTCCTAGAAACAAAGGAAGCGTTAGTAGCAAATCCTCCCCACGCAATGGCAAAACAAGAAAATGCCACTTCGAGGCCAAAGAAAGCCTCCGCTTTTCCGGGCCAATTCTCCCCGCAAAACTTTCCGCAGACAAGCAAAAGAATATAGGGACAAAAGCAACGAGCCTTCGCTTGCGTTCCAAGCGCCGGGCACATGTGGCGCTACTATTTTTACCGCTGCGGCCGCAAACAAACTATCTCGAGGTGGCGTGGCCCGTCCACATGGCAGTTGGGCAGTGAACCAAGCCATTCAGTAGCGTCGCCGGTTCGTCCGTCGACTCGGACTTCAGATCACCAGTTACTTCTCTTTGTAGCCATGTAGTCACGATGCAGAGGAGAAGATGGTGTAAGAACAATGTGTTTTTGAATTTTGAGCACGCTTCTAGTGCCCGATCCGTAAAGTATTCCGGCGGGGATATCTAGTATAATCCAAAATGGAAAATGAAGTAAAAAAGAGAAAACACCAAAAAGCTGTATCCAACAAACCTGTGCTGAGCATCAGGTTAGAGTACATGTACCCAATAGACCAAGCCAGATGAGATGCTAATCACATCAATCCGTTGCTCCTTGGAACGCCCGCCAACCAAACCCATCTTTCAAGTCATCCCAATTTCCACTTCGTAAAGAACAAAGAAAAGAACAATAAAATATAAAAAAGGTGGTAACACAAATATTGAGCTCAACCAAGGCTCCCCAAGAAGAATGAACGAGACCCACAATCGCCATGCTATTTGTCCTCATAAAAAACCCTTTGCGCACTGCTAGTGCTGTAAAACCCCTTGCATAAAACCAGAAATCATTTTTCGTGATGTCAAATCACCACCTTGTTGAGCCCGATGATCGGACTCGATGAAGAGGCGGGATGAGTAGTTGTTTTGTGACTAGGTGGTGTATATGTACGTCGGTGTGTAGACGGAAGGATGGAAGGGTGATGTATTGTATGAAATCTGGTGCTTTTTTTCTTTTTGCGTGTTTTTTTCTTTGTTTTGCTTTTCTGTTTTTTTGCTTCCACTTTAATGCTGGTGCTGCATCATGGCCGGGGATCCAGGCATGGACAGCGGGGTTGTAGGGTACTCGAAGCCAGTCTCGGAGCAGGCAGCCGAGTGGTCGTATGAGTGCGACAGAGGAGGAGTCTGTGGCATTCCGAATCAGCAACGCAGATCCCGAGAGTAGGAGAGATGCCTAGCCGAACTCACCAGAGGGTTGGATGGGTCGTAGGGAGTGGGCATGCCCATGTCGTGAGTGGGCATGAAGCCATAGCCGATGTAGGGGCTGATAACGTTGTCGGGATACAGGTCCCGCTTGATGGGCTCGCTGTAGTGGCCCAGAGGCGGCAGCGAAGCTGGCATGGCAGTGGCCGTCAGGTAGTTGGGGTAGGCCTCAGCGGTGGTCATGGTGGGATAGGCGTGGGCAGATCCATAAGGGTTGATGAGCAGCTCATCGGGAGCTGGGTAGGTTGTGTAGGAGAAGACGGGCGGCGTGTTGGATCGCTCGCGCTCGTCGTGGTGGTGGTAGGCGGGAGGGGCAAAGGCAAGCTCCTCGTGCGACTCCATGGGAGGAGTGAATTGGCCCTGGGAGACGATGGCCTTGGGAGGAGTCGGCAGGCGAACGGGAGCAGACTGGTGAGCCTTGTGTGCCTTGGAGATGGACTGGCGCTTGGTGACCTTGTTGGGGCTGGCGGTGGACTGCACTGGGGAGGGCTGCTTCTCAGCATCACCCTCTTCGGATCCAGCGCGGCGCTCAAGGTCCTCCAGACGGCGCTTAAGCTTCTTGCCTGCAAATGAGTGTTAGAGGGAGAAAAGAAAGAAGAAGAAAAAATTGCGCTCCCAATTCCAAAGAGGGAATGTGAGGAAGAGACATACGGTAGTTGCGCTGAGCGATGCGGTTCTGTATTCTCCTGCGCTCGGCAAGATCTGAGATCTTGGTCCAATCCTCGTCAGGGTGGGCAGAGCTGCTAAAGGCGCTGCTGGTGCCGTGGTTTGAGCAGTGCCTGGGAGGAGGAGGAGCCGGTGCCGCAACTTGGGCGTAGGCGTAGGGGTGTTGTTGTGAGATGGCGTACATGGCCATTGTGATGTTGTGTTGTGTTGTGGTGGTGTTGTGTGTAGAGAGATAATGAGCCGATAATGGCTGTTTGGAGGGGTGCAGAGCAAGGCGGACTTGGGTGTAGTAGGCAAAGAGTAAGAGAAGCCTTTGAAATGAGATGTTGGGCGTGAAGAGTAAAGATGAAGATGGATGATTGGGATGAGATGTCGATTGGTATTATATAGCAGATGTGAGTCTGAGCAATTGTTGGATCGGAATGGTCATAACGGGCTGGAGCAGATGGGAGGATGACGAGAGTTAAATACTAGATGCCTCGACTTATCTGCCTGTGTCAGTCCAAAGCTCAGTGTGTATGCGACGAGACCCTGGACGGACGCTGCAGGGCTGCATGGGGCAGGCTTGAAGCCCGCCCAGCAAGGCTTTGTACTATGTAATTAGCGTTGTTCTGGAGGTAGTTGGAGGGGGTGGGGAGTGTGAAAGCTGTGACAGGCTCATCCCGTCCACTCGAGCAAGGTCGATCTGAGCCGGGCGTGGCGGTAACACGTCCAGCGTCCAGACACGAGGTCTTGGGCTGCGTGGAGCGGATCTGGCTGTGTTCTGGCTGCTTGACAGGGGGTGCGGCAGGAGTGGCCTTTGCTGCACTTGCTGCAGTAGGCACTTGTACATTCTATGTGGTACTGGTTGACTGGCACTGGTGGCAGGGGGGGTGTGGCCAGCACATCGATGCAGTGCCTGTAGGCGATGGTGTGGGAGACTGCAGTCGAACTTGCGAGTGGGATAGAGCGGATAGAGCGGGGGGGCCAAAGGTAGCCAGAGCAGCCAGAGCAAAGGCAACAAGGGGGGCGTGGCGCTACTGCCGCCTGTCGGGAGGCGTGAGGTAGAGCCTGTCTGTCTCTAGCTTTAGGGACGCGGACAGGGACTCCCGGGAGGTACTTTTCTTAGTGTCAGTGCTGCCCCCCCTCCCAATACGTGCCTAGCGCCTGTTTGCTGTTGTGCCGCTACTAATTGTAGCACCACATGGCTTTGGCTTTGCTGTGGTTTTTGTCATGAGCCAAATTTGCCCGGTTTTTTGACGCTGCACATCCCATCCCATCCAGTGCCCCATCCGGCAAGCATTCATTCATTCATTCAATGCTGTCTGTCTGTCTGTCTCCCTTGCCTTGCCTGGTATGGCATGGCATGGCCTCACTGCCACCAACTCTTGCCGCGAGTCCCAGAACAAGTACCAAAGCCAGCCAGCACAGGCCAGTCCGCCTCTCCCGCCTTTTCCCCCTACATGACTGCCCTCACCTGGCAGGTACACGCGCCGCCACTCATGTGCTGCCTGGTACAAGCCCGACTGCCACCCTCAGGTACTCGCACCTTACATAGTACTACTGTAGAGCATGATGAGCAGGATGCGACAGCCGGGGCTCCAGGCCGTGCGCCGGGGCAATTGTTGGGCCCTCTCCGCCTCTACGCCCGACGAATACCCGCTGGCTGTCGGCACCTCGTACTCGCCCAGGCGGACGCTGTTTCGCAACTCGCACCAGCATGGCCTCGTACCGCCATGTCCTAGGCATGATATGACACGATACGATGTGATGTGATGTGAAAGCTGCAAAGTTGCGGCATTGGGACTGTCGGTCTGCTAGGTTACCGACAGGCAGGCAAGTAAGGTACAAGTGGCCGGACTAGGATGCAGAGCCAACGCTGTGCCGTCGTCGTCATAGGGCTGCGCTGACATGGCTCTAATGCCATTCGATGCTCAGAATGCTAGCAGGCGCAAGCCTTGGGCTTCTCCTATCCTACTACATACAGTACAGCACTTTGGGGCATGGTCGGCGTCTGCTAGGCCCAAGCCATTGCTAGCCATTGCTCCTAGTCGGGGGGCCTTCTAGACGTCGAGACGTTGCATTCGAAACATTGCGCCCAGAAAGGAACACGCATGGCTGAGGCACCGGCCATTCCTTTTTGCTGTGCTAACGCTGTGGAAGGATCTTCGGACGAAATCGCATTCTGGCGTTCCACGCCTCGCATTGGCCAATCCGCCTTGGGAGGAAGGGCTTGCCGCCACCTGGTGGAAGAAGGGAATGCTCTGGCGGGACTTTTCCCGCGGCGGCCGTTCTCCGACCGGATGCCTGTGAATAGATACAGTACGGCAGTCCGAGGGAGCAGAAATGCCTCTCTCTGTTCGTGACCATTGCTACAGTATCTGCGAGCACAAATGGTCTTTTGCGTCCCACAGCCCGCTCTGGCACGCATGCATGGACGGCGCCGGTGTACTTTAGGCTTTCTACCGGGTCCCGGTAAAATCGGCAAATATGAAAACGTGCTGCTCAAAAGGCAAAAAAGTATAACGGTGCGGACTGGATACTGTGCCTGCCCCAAAATCGCTCTCACTCCCTCCGATACTGTACTCGTACTACTGTACGGTTATGGTAAACCCCGTCGCCGCCGTAGAACGAGTTATTCTTGTCCTGTTTACTGCCGTTCGCCGCTTCGGAGTTCGAATCGCAACTTGTCGCTGCTTAACCCGAGCCAAAGGATTGGGGCTCAAGTGCTCGAATCGGCCAAGGGGGGCGGCCTGGCTCCGATGCGGCCCCCCCTTCCAATCTTGTCCTTGTCAATCAATGCATGTCCCGCTCTTTTGCCCATGACTCGAAACAGCTTCCAAAACAGCGGCAGCACGAATAACAGCTGCTGTTTCTCCGGCATCTTCAAAGAGGGCCGTCTAAAAGGCATGTCTTTTTTTTTTTTTTTTTTTTTCTTAATCGTTAAGGGCAAGTGGTGGATGCGCGCACTGTAATCATGAGTGCAATGCCGGGCAGCTCCGTACAAATATGGCTCTGCGTGGGAAAAAGGTACAAAGCATCCATTCAAATCAAATCAAATTAAATCAAATCAGATCACTATCGCCAGGCGGGTGTGTCGTGGCTGCTCCACGTTTCCCTATCGCGGCCAACCTTTTTGCCGTCCTGGTGGCGAGCTTGTTTGTTGTCTCCCCCTCAAAATAAGAGCCAACAGCCCAACAAAAGCATGTATCCGTACCTTACTTTCTCCGGTGGCGTCGCTGTAGGGCTCATGCTGCTCCGCCCGTAGGGCCAATGGCTCAGGCGGCACATCACGATGGCTACGAGTACCGGACGGACGTAAGTTTTAGGTTGCGGCATCAGACAGAAAAAGTATGGAGAAGAGGTGACGGGCGTGCGACTGTGACCTTTTGCACGGTTATCGCTGTGAGCAGCCAGAACTGTGTCTTGCACATGTAATCAAGTCAAACGGTAACGCCCCTGGCGGCGTGGCGTTTCTTTCATCCCGAGACAACGGCCGACGTCAAATGAGAATCGTGGTTTGCAACAGCCATGGCGCGCCATGATAGGCGAATCTTGGCCAAACGTCAACGGTGACGCAGGATAGCCTCGTAAGGCGGCAGCTAGCAGCACGACAACGACTTGGAACAGCGGCCGGCTGTCGCCAAGAGAGAGCACCGCCCGTCCCCAAATCTCAAATCCTTCCCCCCATGTTCATGTTCACAAGTCCAGTGCAGTCCCCTTCACTGCTCGCTGTACTCCTACTCGTACACAGCACTGTACTGTAAATAGAGGAGCCAACTAATCACCAACTAACCAACGAACCAACTATACACCTGCCAATGCTAATGCTAATCAGGAGCTTTCTGGCGGGGAGGGGCGTGCGTGGCCACCTTGACCTTGGATTTGAGTTGAGGGAAAGCTTGGGCTCAGCCTTCACCGGAGACTCTCGTTGCCGGCCGGCGGTGTCCCAGACCTTTGCAAAGGGCGCCGCCACCAGGAGGTTGAATTCAGCCTAACCCGTGGCAGCACACGTGCTTGTGTAAGGGCAGCTATTTTTGGCCCGCCCATGACGACCATTACCAAAGCCATGCCAAAGAAACGGATCGGTAGTGGTCGGGCCTGTGATTGGCCTCGTCCGGACCTTGATGCGACTCCAAGCCCCCTCTCATCCCAAGCATCCCAATCATCCCCATCCCCCCCCCCCCCTGCCTGGCACCTCTTGCGCCTACGACTAACTTAGTACACTGGCGATATTGGGAACAGCGCGCGTTGCTTCCAACACCTGGCAATGGTCCTCCAAAAAGAGCCGCGGACAAGCGCCGAGCACCCCCAATCACGCCCAGTCCTACACGCGGACGACCTGGGAAGTTTTTCGCTAGCTCTTCTAATCCGCCGAGTCTAGCAAGCGAGGTGGGAATACTTTACTTGCGAGCATTGCCGGCTCAAAAGCTTCACGCTGACGCCCTCGTCGATGATCTCGTCACTGGTTCCTATGTATAGCAATTTCAAAAGAGCCTCTATCGCGTCCTCTGGGTTTCTGCAACGTTGGAGAGACTCCCCTCCCCACCCCCGGGGGGAGCCTCTTCATTTGCAGCACATGGCGATTTCATGGCACCACTGTCAGCGCCCAACCGTGCCGTCCCAACCACACCTTCCCCCATTCACGGTTTGCCAGTTGTTACAGAAGTACGGAGCACAGCATGCGTGCGAGATGCGCGTTGTCTAACCCGATCCGCCTACAACAAGCGCAAGCAGAGGTCCCCCCCCAACCCCCGTTCTCCCCGTGGGATGTCTGCTCTGCTTTGTCTGCTGGCGAGTCGAGCCCCATGGAGCCGCGCGGGGGATTGCTGTGTTGTACGAATGCCCGTATTGCTTGTATGGAGCTCTCCATATGTGCTTCTGCCAGACTTGCCTGGCCCCAATTAGACGACCCTGCTATCTGGGTCAGGTGGCCGCCCACACGTATATTGAAGCAATACTGCACGTACACGTACTTGTACTCCGTACCCAGCACAGAAATGGCTGGTCAAAGTGGATAGACCGGTGACTAATCCCCGTTGTCTGTGCGTGTACGGAGTACTCTGTAATCACGGTTTCCCCAACTGGCATCTGATACGCGGCTAGCGGCACATCTGCCTGCGAGAAGCGCAGCACGAGAGCCCTACGGTATAAAGTGTGAAGTAAAGAGGCCCAAAGCATCCACATCACATCTCAAATCCAGCCCCCGGGCCAAGAGGGGAGGAATGAGAAATGATTCGCATCGCCTCTTGCATCTAGAAAGCAAAGCAAACAGGAGACCAAAGAAAAAAAAATGACATGCTGCTGCTGCGAAAATCGATGCCATCTCCAGCAGGGCCACCAGCCAAATCTCCTCCCCCCCGGGAGGCAAGGGGCCAGAGCATCAGCATCATCATCATCGTGAGCACCCCTTTCATTAACTTTGGAGGTATTATGGGTCCGGTGTGCCGTGCCATGTGTGAGCATGTTGTGGTGGTTGGGCTGTGGTCATCCCACGTCCACCGCGGCAGCCCGGGAGGCTCTCCAAAAGATCCCGACCCCGGCTCGAATGGCCGTCGCAACAGACGACGGAGGTTGGGAGAGGACGGCGTATACCAGCAACGCCGGAACAACTCTGGCCACAGCACAAAGTAGCGGCGGCCGATCCCTTGCCTGAGCAGGGCCTTAGATCACTGGTGACCTCTTCTGTCATCATCCAAGCTCAGGGGTGTGGGGGCCCCGAGCCCAGCCAATGGGTCGTCTTCCCTAGCCGTCGGGACGCCATCTGCCACATGTCAACGTCTGCCGAGCCTCCCTCTCAGCCCTACTATCCCAACGCTGTGGATAGGCAAAAGCCCGGTTGGTTCTCATGCTGTCGTCAACGGGAAGAGGGGGGGGGGGATCGTAATCCCTTGGATCTGGTTCGCCCTATGAGACGCTCTTGTGCAGAGCTCAGCTCCTTAATTCTTACCACAACCGGCCATAAGAATCGGCGAGCTTCCCCCCTGAGTCTAAATAAAGCCTGCAAACAAATATGCAGGGTCGCGGGCTAGAGAAGCAGAATCGAACAAGAGGAAGAATAGAATAGCCGAGAAGAGACGACGGAAGCAAAAGGTGTCGCCGATAGCTTGTGATTCCATAATCGTCTCTCGTGTCTGCAATTTTAAAAAAGCCGCTCCCACCATCTCGAAACTGTCTGCCTAATATGGAATCCGGACTTAAGTCGTCCGGACTAATAATGTTCAAGTACGGGGTAGGAGATTGGAGATTGAAGATTGCCTAAGTGCCGTTCCAGTTTCCAGTAGTGGCGCCACCACACGCAGACGCTACCAGCCACAAAGCTGCGCACTGCCGCCTTTTTAAGTTGGCCAAGGTGCAGAAAACGGACGATGATGAAACGCGTCTAAGCAGAAGCTTTTGTTTCTACTACTACTACATACTACTACTGTAGTTTGACAAATGCAAATCAATGACGGAAATACGGGGTCCGTCGCTCTGCCTCATGGCAAATCTCGACAGCCGCGGATTCGCGGGCGCAAATCCCTCTGCATGGATTTCCAAGTAAAAGCTAGTTTTCTTTGTATTCTTTTTGCCCATTGATGAGGGGCGGTTTAAGATTTGATTTGGAAGAGGGGGATCGTCAAGCTACGACAGAGTGCCACTACCAAAAGCACGTACCTCTCTCTCTTTTGTCTCACGCCCATCACATGGGGGGCAAAAATGAAAGGGAAAAAAAGGGTCGTATCTGATACAGACGTCAAAGACATCGCTTAAGGTCGTTCAGAATGGCCCCCAAATTTCGCCATGTGAGCGAGAACCATATCACACGCATGGCCTGTAGAGTTGCCAAAAAGCAGGTTCGGTGTGCGCCCGCAGAGCCGGCTAGCTGCCCATGCGCAAAGCAAGAAAAGTAACATGTAACAACGGGCGAGGCGAGGCAAGGCAAGGCAAGGCGAGGCAAGCGAGAGCGAGAGAGAATTAGAGCGGGTGGGGGGAGGGTGTCCCGACAGAAGGGAACGATGAGATCGATGACCCAACGTAGAATTTCGTATGAGAGAGATTACAAAAGGGTTGTGGTTTCATGGGGGTGCTACTTTGGAATCGGGCCACGGCGGCGAATTTTTTTTTTTTTTTTCCCCTTTCTAACTTAACCCTTGCCTCTCTATTCTTGATCAAGACTGCAAACTAAAAAAAATTCAAGTTGCAATATCCCAGGTTTGATAACAGGACAGGGACGGGGCCCAGGCGTCCTAAACGAAAACGGCGCACATCAAACCCTAACCAGCCCGCCGGGAAGCTCAAGCATTGCCCGTTTAGGTAAGCCAAACGCCCTCTCTTTTCCTCTCTCGCAACTCTGTCTTGAGCCAGCAACAATTGGCGGATAACCGGCATTTTTGGCACGATCCACTCCCGGTGGACTGGATCCGTACGACTGGGACCCCTTGAGGGCGCGAGCAAGGGGAGGTGGATTTGAAGACAATACTATGTAGACGGCTGCCCCAATCGGGGGGATGGGCAGCGAGCTTTTGCCTTGCGACGATGGGCTATACTGTTGTTACAAGGCGTAGGCTGCGACTTTGCAATCTCCTGGGCGCTAGTGTGACGCAAATTGTCGATGCAAAGGCGCTGCCGAGCATGATGTGTACATCGGTAAGCTGCCAAGCAAGAACATGTTATCATAGCTACATGGGTGGTGACGACAAGGCTGTAGTTTGCGAGAGTCAGTCAATCAACACCAAAGGAGCCTTTACAGTAATAAAAAACAATATTAAATGAATAAATAAAATAAAGGCAAATAATTCGATAAATTCAAGAGGATTGAGGCATACGCGTTGCTTGTTCCTATCTCCGTTGCCACCTTCACAAGCCAAAACTCCCAAACTCCTAAAACACCAAACACCACAAAATCTTGCCGCAAAGTACCCTCAAAGTCGCTCTCCAGGCACATCACCACCAAACATCAACCTCCCAGATACACCAAAAACCCCCCCCTTGCGGCGCGCGCGGCCATCCGGCGGCATGAAATTGTGCGCCGGGCGAATCTTGCTCCGTGCGGGTGGAGTTTTCGCAGCGTCTCCAAACGGGGCTGCTTTGGCAATCGCTCGCCTGTCTCTAACACTGATTGGCCGGGCGGCTTTTTCCCGCGGCACAAATGGGCACTTGGACGTGAATTGATATGAGGTCGGGATCTCCATGCTCCACAGCGGTAGAAGAGGCCCAATCACAGCGCCAAGCGACAGCCGTTGGGTTGCTCTCGAGCCTGTTTCTGGTGCTGGGCTCTGTTCGGGACTCCGATACCCAGGCTGCTGTTCTTCATGTTGATTAATCTGCTGTCGAGCTTCATTTTGGAGTCTACGGAGCACGGCATCCGTACCGAGTACAGGAACCGACAATCTCTCTCTTGTACGAGTATTTGATTTTACTTTTTTTTCTTCAATAGCAGGGGGTTACCAGCCTTTTGGTTTAGTCCTGTCAGTGGCTCTAGCTTCATCAGGACAAAGCGTGCGGAAATGTTTGTTTCGACGTGTGCCCATTTTCCCACTTCCCCTCTCTCTTTTTTTCTTTGGCCCAGACGCCAGCGCCTCTTCGGGTTTCCGATCCTGGCAGCTTCCTCGTCTCTTTTGGGGGGGTGGAGGCTACCGGGGAGCGAGCTTGGGCTCCTCATATCCATGTCCGGCAGCTTGGAATCTATTTACGGACGGGGACGAGCTATTAGCTAGCTAAAAAAAAAAAAAAAAAAAAAAAAAGCAAAACAAAGAAGAAGGGCAAAAAACCAGTCTTTATCCGTAACAGCGCCCCTAGTATGAAGTCGTACGATTTTTGGAACACACTACCGTCCCGTGCGGCCTGTGTATTTTTTATTTTCTTTCCATAATGGCACTTCATTTATTTCGTGTGCCATTCCGGGATCGTGACAGGGCATGGCGCTTCTTTGTCGTGCAGGTTAGCGGTGCCCAGGATCATGTAAGTCAGTCAGTTGCTCGGGTCGCTCCACCCAATATTGAGTCAAGGGTCACGGCTTTACAAGGTAACGACACCTGCTCGCATCTCCGTGCAGTCCACGCAATGAGCATACGACAAGGCACGGTATGTCTTCCCAGGCAGCAGGGAGGTTTGAACGGAGTATACGGAGTGTACGGAGCTCCAGAAAGCCGGAATGCTCGCAGTATCGCCTCCCAACACTCCGTTGACCTTGCGTACTCCGAAGCCCAGCCTTTGGTTTGGCCCTTGATCGCCCACGAGCGTTTCCCCACAGGGCCTTATCGGGGAGCAAAGGGCAACAACCGACACAGCCTTATTCCCGACAGAGCGTTTCTCGCTGCCACTTGCGAGTGCCGCGGGCTTATTCGAGATGTGACAGATTGACACTTTGGACTTTTTGCTTTTGGATCCAGAAAGCCAAAAAGTCAAAACTCCGCATCTCGCTCGGTTTCCGTCTGACTTGGGTATCTCGTGCCGCGCAAATCAATCTTTTGGTGTACTTTGAGCCGTCCCGTTCAAATGTGCGCAAAAGGCCGCACGAAATCGGATATTTCGCGCTCCGTAACCTACACCATTTTCCCATCTCCCGCCCATCAAAAGCAGGCTAACTCGGGAATAAAGGCGACAGACTCGACTTAGTCAGAACTTCCCTCTCCCGTACCCGACCGACAGCCATACCATAAAGCTCCAATTTGCGCTCGGGAGATGGCCGAGTTCCAATTTACCCCTCCCCCTCTGGCCTCTTTTTAAGCTGCTCCAGGGCTTTTGATTGGTTCCCACACGCCCCCGTCTGTGTCCAATTGGAGAGGCGAACCCCCCGCGTTTGGCTCTCTCAGTTTGGTTTTTTGCCCTACTTTTTTGGGGCCCGGTTAGTCAGTGCTTGCTAAACCGATTCCGGCATTTACACATCGAGCTGCTAGCCAACCTTGCCTGCCCTGCGCCTTTCTCGCCCCCCACCTCCCGCTTCGATTTGCCGCCAACCTTGGGGGTTCTCCATAATTGGGGCTCGTGTTTTTTGGGCCTTGCAAATGAGGTCAATCAAAATTCCCCAAAGCAAATCTGCCGCACAGCAAAAAAGCCCAAAGTGCGTATAGCACAAAGCGTCCCCACTTTCGTCCGTCTGGGACTCCGTCTGGGACGCGGCTCGTCTTGTAAGTCCTTTGTATCTTTTTTAGATGGATGGGACTGGGCTCCATAACTCCATAACATTAACCTCGCTTCCGTCTCAGTGCCATGATACGTACCTGCGGCTACCGCTGTAGTGAGAGTCTTTTAAGTGGCGCCATTTAACTGTATGTACTGTATGTAGGTACGGAGAACTGTTGCCGAATACTATCGAGACACATACGGGAATACCCTGGAGTTGCCAAACTGGCGATGTGGTTTTTGCGGGTAGTTGTGTCATCACCGTCACCCTCGCTTAGGACAATTAACGGTGAACGACGTATCGATCAAATCAAAAAGGGATGACAGGTGGCACGCTGTTGCAGTGCTGATTAATACCAGGGGATGATTACAATTCAGCATCTCATCTCTGCATGGCCTCAGGGCTGATCTGTGTCCAATTTGGTCCGGTTCATCAACTTGCCATGGGGTTCGGCGTTCCAATGGGGAAATTATACTCTCGAGAAGGTACCAAAAGGCATCTGAGACATTCGTGTTCCAGGTCGTCG